TTTCTGAAACTGGGGGGGGGGAAGAGGAAGGACGACAGTTTGACTCACACAGACTGCACTCATCGCATGGGCTGACGGGCGCGCGCGCGGGGCGGTGGCGGCGCGTGGGGGGCTCTGCATGCTGCTGGGATGGGCGTGGTACGGTCGCTGGTCTTCCCTCTGTCCGCGGCTGGTCGCTGGTCTGGGAGCAGTTCATCGTGTCGTCGCTGGCGTCGCGCAAGGACACGCACGTGATCGCCATCGACAAGCACACCGGGAGGCTGTCGTTTGAGGGCAGGCGAGGCGTGGACACGTTTACGTCGTCGGCAGAAGCACTGGCGATGCTGACCGGGCGTGGGTATGAGCTCGTGGAAAGTGCGCAGGTCGACGCAGTGGCCATTGTCGGGTACATTGTCCTCGGCTCGACCGGGTATCTGCTGGTGGTGACCGAGGCGACGCCGTCGATGCTTTTGTTCGACAATCACACGGTGTACACCATTGCGGCGTCGCGGTGGATCGAGATCCCACTGGAGCACCCCGCGCCGTGTTCCAAGGCCGAGGCCAAGGCCATGGCGGCGCTCATGGGCTATCCGCTCGACTCGCTTCACTGCTTCTGCGAGTCGCTCGACCTGACGCGCCCGTTTCCGTCGGTGGAACCGGTTGATTCGCCACATCCAGCGTTCACCTACAACTCGTGGCTAGCCGAGCCGTTTGCCACGCTCGGCCTCCGCGGCTTTTGCGTCTCGCTCATCCAGGGCGCGGCCAAGTCCAAGACCCTGGTCCTGCGCGGCGAGGCTGCTCCTCAGGGCCGGCGCGTCTCGCTCGGCCTCATCACCAAAAAGTCGTGCCTCAATCCGGGTACCCGCTACAACGCGCGTGGGCTGAACGACCTCGGCGAGCCGGGCAACGAGATGGAGTGCGAGCTGATCATGTGGTGGCGGGCTGACATCAGCGAGGGTGAGGGCGAGGGCGGGGGAAAGGAGAAGGAGGGTGCCGAAGACGGGGCGAGCGGCTCGACTGTTGCTGCACCCGACTTTGAGTTCTATTCGTTTTGCTGGCGGCGCGGCACGGTGCCTGTTCGGTTTTCCAACGAGCTCAAGTCGTCGGTGGCGATTGGGCAGGCGGCGATGATCATCGGCGACGAGCCGTACAAGTCCGTTGACAAGTACTTTACTCGGCTACTCTCGCGCTACGGCGAGGTGCCGATTTCGTGCATCAACCTCCTCCGAGTCTCACCAGACTCGTCCGAGACTCTCCTCTCGGAACACTTCCAGACGGCGGTCCGGTCGCTGCGCGAGTCGATGGCCATGGAGCTCTCGCTCATCAACTTTGACTGGCATGGCATTTTCAAGATGCTCGGCCCGGACGAGACCATCGGCGCACTGTGGCAGCAACTCTCGGTTCCGCTGGGTAGCATGGAGGTGGCCACCGGCGCCATTGAGCTTGTCGACAACCCGCGCTCGCCGTTCTCGTCGTTTACCTACCGTCTCGAGTCTGAGCAGGGCGCGCTGCTGCGATGGAACTGCGCCGACTCGCTTGACCGGACGAATGTGGCCTCGTTCTTTGCCTCGTTCCAGATTGTGGGCGAGATGCTGCGGCGTCTAGGGCTCGGGTTGGCGGTGCCCGCTCAAGCAGCGGCGGCGCTGGCGAGCGATGGGCGCGACAACAAGTGGCCGCTGCTACGGGCAAGCCTGGCCGACCTGACAAGCTGGATGGAGCCGAGCGTGCTGGCGGCGCTGGCTGAGATGTTTGTGGCGCACGGCGATGTGTGCTCGACGTTGTACACCAACTCGCCGGCGGCACACTCGTCAATGATCCGCAACTACTCACCTAACGTCAACGCGGCGCCCAACAACACGCTCATTTCCATCCAGCGGCGGTTCCAAAACGTGGTCCACGACTCGCAACGACACACGCTCTTCACCATGTGGCTTGGGCTTGACAAGGCGCGGCACTTTCCGTCGCTGGTGGCCCGGGCCGGGCAGCTGCCGCGGGCGGTGTGGATGTCGGGCCCGCCAGCGTCGTTTTTGGTCAAGCCGCTCTTCTCGCTCACCACCGGCATTGGTGCGGCATCGGCCGACGATCTGCTGCAGCACTCGGACGCGGTATGGGAGTGCATAGAGGGCTCCGAGGTTGCCGAGCTGTACATCTTCCTTCGTCGGCCGTGCTACGTATCTGAGCTCTCGGTGACGTTGGTCCAGACCGCTGGGACGGTGGCGCCGGTCCTTGTGGACGTCTGGGCCGGCGAGCACGTCGACTCATGTCGCATCCTTTACCAGGCGCTGGCGCTTCCTGCAGTCAAGTCTGGGACGCGGCTGACGTTCCGCATCGGCGCGGCGTCGGTCGAAGAGCGGGCCGGCCTGCTGTACGACTACAAGGGCGCCGAGCCGGGCGTCCGGGCGCCGGAGCGGTTTGTGCACGTCTCGTTCCGGGCGCCGCCGGGCCACAAGCCGATGTCCCTCGGCGCCGTTGCCGTCTTTGGCACCTCGCTCGAGTCGACCGACGCGCTGGCGGCGTCAGCCGAGCTCGCGTCGGTCGGCCTCGCCTCGCGCGTCCTCGAGCTTACCCGCGAGCTTGGCGGCAGCAAGTCGCGGCGGCGGCGACGGCGAGCGACCAAGTCACCGCCGCCGGCGGACGCGGACACAGATGCGGCCAAAGCGAGCACAGGCAGCCCGGATGCCGGCACCAATTCTGACGCCATCGAAGCCGATGCCGACGAACCTGGCGCGAGCGAGGCAGCGGAAGCCGCGCCCGGAACCGGGAGTGCGGCCGATGTCGAGCAGTACCGCCAGGCGGCGGCACAGCTTGTGGCGTCCAAGACCAAGATGACGCTGCTGGCGGCGCTGCAGCTCGACTTGCTGCGGCTGCAGCTCGGCCTGAGCCCGAGCCAGCGCGACGTTGCGCTGCTTGCGCTTGGTCTCCGACTCGAGTTCTTTGACCCGAACCGGTTTGTCAACAAGGTTGACGTCGACTTGGTCAAGCAGCTCGCTAAGAGCTCCAAGTACGCGAGCGTCATCTGCTCCAACTCGGAGTGCACCAACATGCTCTCGGCATCTGGCAAGTCGTGCGGGCACTGCCTCCGGCGGTTCTGCCAGGACTGCCTCGACCCGGAGCGTCACGTCATTGTCAAGCATGTGACGTCGGTCAAGGAGGTTGTGTGCATGCGGTGCGGCTCGGTTCTCCGCGACCAGCTTGGGGTGCTGGCACAGGTCGACGAGCTGGCGCGGGCACAGGCGCTGGCGCACTCGGAGGCCGCGCGGGCGCACCGCTCGCTCCTCCTCACCGCAGCTCGGGCGTCAACGCCGAACCTCGCGCCGTACCACGAGCAAGGCACGCTCTCGTCACTGGCCCAGTATCCAGCGGCGGCGCTCCTGGCCTCGGTCCCGACCGCGGCCGAGAGCCACCCGGCCGAAGTGCTCCTCTTCTCGCCGCATCCGTCGCTCGACGGGCTCGCGTGGCGGGGCCCGGACGGCGCGAAGGCGCTGGATCTCATGATTGTCCTCTCGTCCGCGGCCATGGTGCACTCGGTAACGATTGTCGCCGATGGCGCCGGGTATGGCGGCGAGTCTGGCCGGCCCGGCATCCACGTCGAGCTCGCGGCAGGCGCTACCATTGTCGACCGAGCCATCTGTGGAGCGTTTGACGTGACTGAGCTCGCGCCACGGGCGTCGCATCGGTACGAACTGGACGCCCCGACGGCGCCGGTTCGGATTCTCACGCTCACCCTCTCGCTGGCGGACGGCGAAGCGGTCGGAAACTATCTCAGTGCCGGACGGGTGGTGGTCGAGGGACTCCCGGTCCCGACGCCCGTGGTCTCGCCGTCGCCGTTGCCGTACGCGCCGGCGCCGGCACCTTCGCCCGCGCTCTGCAAGATCCTTTGGACCAAGACGCGCAACGCACGGCGGACGCTCGACTTTGGGGTGGAGCCGTTCACGCTCTCGGGCGTGGTCTTGACGGTCCGGCACTCGGACGACGGTCCTGCGTCGCAGGTCCGGCAGGTTCGCATCGTGGCCTGCGGCGTTGACGCCAAGAAGCGCATTTGCTCCCAGATCCGAGTCGGCATCTTTGTGGTGCCCATGGCCCAGGTCGACACCGTCCTCGCCTTTGACTTTGAAAAGCCCGTGACCAAGGCCAACATTGTGACCGTCGAGCTCCTTGCCTCGTACGGCGCCGGACCGGCCGAGCCGCCCAAGGTTAGCTTCTATTGATGAAATGAACTGTGTGTTCGGATGAAGAGGCTGGGTGGGAGAGGGGGAGAGGGGGAGAGGGTGGGGGGGATCTGGACATGGCCACACTGCACTCACATTAGCGTAGCGATGGGCGCCTCGGGCTTTGTCTCTATTGTGTCGTCATTTGCAGCTATTGTCCTCCTCGTTGCTGCTCTTGGCTTTATTCCCTGGATCCACATGACCTTGGTGTTTGGAGCCACCGAGTCGTCACGCTCGCACGTGGGGCTGCTCTCGGTCACTGTCCCACACAACGCCCTCTTTCCGTTCCAGGTCCAGTATGTCTCGTGTCTCTGGGAGAGAGTGCTGGGATGAGGCGTGTGCGGAGGGTGTGAGAGGGTGGGGTAGGGTGGGGCAGGGGAGGATGTGGGAAGGCCGGGGCGGGGGGACTCATGCGGCGTGCGGTGGGTTGCGGGCGACGTGTGGTGGTGGGCGATGTAGTCAGCCCGCGACTCGCTCGATACCAACCAGCCCTCGCTGCAGCCACTGGTGGACTACGGCGGCCTGGCTTTTGCGGGCCTGATTGCATCGGCGTTGTTTTCGGGCCTCGCCATTGTTGGCGCCGTCTTTGTCCTCGTCGTCGGAAACCAGGCCGGGAAAGATACCGTGTCCAAGGCCACCCGTGCGGGCGTGGTCGTCTCGCTTCTAGCCATGCTCTTCTCGCTCGGCTCGGCGCTGGTGTGGATGCTTGTCGCCGTCAACGACATCTCGTACGATTGGGCTGCTGGTCCGTGGCTCGTCATCGGTGCCTCCATCATCCAGTTTGTCGCCTTTGTCGCCCTCTCCTCCGCCATCCGCGGTGTTCGCACCGGGAACTACTCGCCGCTGCTCTCGCTGCAGTTTGGCTCGGCCTCACCATCGCGGCGCTCCTCGGGTGCCCTCTCCGAGGACTACTACGCCCTCCGGTGATCGAAAACACTCACCACCGGTTTACCACCCATGCACACATCAGAGTCCACCCATCGATCCACGACAGCCAGCCAACCACATCATGACGTCATTCGCTCATGCTGGCAGCGCTCGGTTGTGTTGCACGGCATCGGACGCAGAAATCTTTGACGTGGAGTTTTCAGCCGAAGCGAGTGCATCGCTTGTCTCGGGACGGAAGGGCGCAGTTTTACTCATGGCCAGGGCTACGGGCATTGCGTATGCACTAGCACTTGTGCTTGCGCTTGTCACCAGCAGCGAAGCCACACTAAACTGTCCCTACACTATTGGGGGTCGGTATGTGATCCGAGCACCGGCCTGGGCGATGTGTGTGTGTGTGTGTATGGGCGATGTGTTTGTGTGTGTGTGTGTGTGTGTGTGTGGGGGGGGATGCGTGTGTGTGGGCGATGTGTGTGTGTGGGCGATGCATTGTCGCGGGCGATACATGGTTGCGGGCTATGGATGGTGTGACAGGGTGACGCTGAGAGACTACGTCGAGTTCTTCCAGTCAGCCCGCGACTCGCTCGATACCAACCAGCCCTCGCTGCAGCCACTGGTGGACTACGGCGGCCTGGCTTTTGCGGGCCTGATTGCATCGGCGTTGTTTTCGGGCCTCGCCATTGTTGGCGCCGTCTTTGTCCTCGTCGTCGGAAACCAGGCCGGGAAAGATACCGTGTCCAAGGCCACCCGTGCGGGCGTGGTCGTCTCGCTTCTAGCCATGCTCTTCTCGCTCGGCTCGGCGCTGGTGTGGATGCTTGTCGCCGTCAACGACATCTCGTACGATTGGGCTGCTGGTCCGTGGCTCGTCATCGGTGCCTCCATCATCCAGTTTGTCGCCTTTGTCGCCCTCTCCTCCGCCATCCGCGGTGTTCGCACCGGGAACTACTCGCCGCTGCTCTCGCTGCAGTTTGGCTCGGCCTCACCATCGCGGCGCTCCTCGGGTGCCCTCTCCGAGGACTACTACGCCCTCCGGTGATCGAAAACACTCACCACCGGTTTACCACCCATGCACACATCAGAGTCCACCCATCGATCCACGACAGCCAGCCAACCACATCATGACGTCATTCGCTCATGCTGGCAGCGCTCGGTTGTGTTGCACGGCATCGGACGCGGAATCTTTGACGTGGAGTTTTCAGCCGAAGCGAGTGCATCGCTTGTCTCGGGACGGAAGGGCGCAGTTTTACTCATGGCCAGGGCTACGGGCATTGCGTATGCACTAGCACTTGTGCTTGCGCTTGTCACCAGCAGCGAAGCCACACTAAACTGTCCCTACACTATTGGGGGTCGGTGTTACATGGTCGAATCCAGCCTGAGTGGGCGTACCTCGATTTGGCTCGCCGAGCACGCGTGCAATGAGTGGGGAGGCCACCTGGCGTCACTTCATTCCCCGCTCGACCTCACCAATCTCCTGACCATCCTCACACCACCCGAGAGCCCCGAAGGGGACTACCTCATCGCATACTATGATGTACGTGTCTGCTAGGAGAAACCCTTTGTGTCCTTGACGTTGTTGTTGCCCCTCTCGTATTTCTCATCCTCTGCTCCGCCCCCTTCGACACCCCCCCCCGCGCCTAATCCCCCCTCCCCTACTCCCTCCCCTCCCTACTCCTCGTGCCCTGTCTCCTTTTGGCCTGATGTTGGCACCTTTTTTTTGGGCAGCACACGCCCTCCCGCCTTTGTCCCACTCACCATGTTCACCGCTGCTCGCTGCACCTCTTGCACCTCTTGACTTGATGTGTCCTTCATGTCGTCATCGGTCCACTCGTCTCGCTACAGGCCTCGGGAACTGACTCCACTTTTGCCAACACTGATGGGACGCCGGCCGATTTCAGCGATTGGCCGCCCGGCGAGCCGTCAGACTCGGCAGCCTTTGCGACATCGGTCAACTCGCGCGATTCCGCCGATGTCTTTGTCGAGCGCGATCCAGGCACGAAGCTCGCGTACGTTTGTAGCGGGCCAATGTGTGACCCTTCATGCTGGACGTGCGGGGCAAACAGCAGTGATTGCACCGAATGCATGATCGGGCGAGTGGGCCCACCAGCGTGCACCGTCGACACCAGCTTTTGCCCCGCGCTCGCGTCGCCGACCTCGGGATCGATCTCGTGCACCAACAGCGGTGCCATTGGATCGGTATGCACCCTCAGCTGCGACGCTGGATACGAGTTCCAGGGCTCGCCTACGCGGACGTGCATGGCGCACCCGCGATGGGACGGCGGGACGCCGTACTGGTCCGGCGTCGAGGCCGCGTGCCTCTCTCCGATCGACGTGTCGGACGACCGCATCAACATCTACACCAACCTCTTTGGCGGCCGCGTCTACAGTCACGTTCACACCTCGCGCACATGGTCGGATGCCCAGGCAAACTGCGAGGGCGAGGGCCTCCGTCTCGTCTCGCTCGAGAGCTACGACGAGGCTGTCTTTGTCTCGCAGCTGCTCGATGGCGATTGCTGGGTGGGCATGACCAAGGATCCGGCGTACGACGCCACCCTTCTCTACGACCACGAGGATGAGTTCCGGTTCTTCTGGCTCGGCAACGTCACGTCACAGGTTCTCCGGCACACCAAGGTTCTCAACGAGCCGTTTGTCACGCTCGACGATACCACCGGCGAGTACAACGATCTTGAGCTCGAGGACGAATCGGGCGGAACGCGGTTTTATATCTGCGAGGGGCCCAAGTGTCCAGGCAACTGCCGTCGGTGTACCGGTCCAGCGGCAGCGCCGGTCTGCACCGAGTGTATGGCCGGCTGGGGCTTGGTGCCTGATTGCAACGTTCGCCTCCTGGACGTGTGTGATGCGGTCGAGGCGCCGGCAAATGGGCGCATCGTCTCGTATTCGAACGAGCTCGGCGGCGATGCTGTTGTGGCTTGCAACGCGGGGTACTACCTAGCCGGCTCGGCGCGACGGACGTGCACCGAGTTTGCCGAGCTCGGCGAAGTCTTCACTGGTGATAGCGAAGACACGCACGAGCTGGGCGACGGCACCGTCCTCAATGTCAACTCGCTCTGGCTTGGGGCCAACATGTCCGCCGTCGAGGTTGACATCGATCCCATCGCTCGGTACTCGAGCCTCAAGCTGCGGTTCCGCTGGCGGAGCCCGTCGCCGGTAGCACCGGTGAACGTTCGTATCTACGCCCACGCATCGAACAACCGGACGCCGCGGCTCTCAACGTCGGACCCGTTTGACATCTCATCACGACCGCGAACCTCGCTGTTTATCCCATGGACCATGCCGACAGAGTCGGCCGAGGGCACCGCGTACACGCCTGAGCTTATGCCGCTCCTCCACCACCTCTACACGCTCACTGATCCGCCGCAGATGGACCACAAAGTTGTGTTCATCATCGTCGGCCTCGGCGACCCGCACACCGACAACGTTAATCAAGTGTACTCATCGATCACCGTTTTTCGCGATGGCTACCCGCTGGCATGGTCTGGCGTTCAGCCGACGTGCGTCGCCTTTAGCAGCGAGGGTGATTGCAGCACTGGACAGCGGTTCGGTACCTCGTGTTACGCTGCCGATCTAGACAATCTCTACACGTATGCAGAGGCTACCGAGTTTTGCCTGGGCCTACCGACACCGGGCTACCCCGTGGTGCCCAACAGCGCCGAAGAGTTTGCCCACATCCAGAATGAGGTTGTCCACCTGGGCATAGCGACCAAGAACACATGGTTGGGCATTTTGCGACCGGCGTACTACGCCAAGTTTGTGACGGTGGACCGTGGCATTACGCTGCAAGACCAGTTTACATTGTGGCGGCCGGGCAGCACCCAGCCGAACGAGCCGATTAGGCAGAATGGCCTCGAGTTCAACACCGAGCCGTCGTACTTTCCGTCCGAGGCCTGGCAATGGCAGGACCGCGAGACAAGCTCCCCGCGACATGTGGTGTGCGAGCTGCCACTCTGCGTCTTTCCGTGCGTCACCTGCGTCAACAACCACACCGAGTGCGCGAGTTGCGCACCGGGGCGCGCGATTCCACCCGATTGCACGCTCACGCCGCCTGGCGCACCGGACGCACTCGGCCTCATTCGTGCGACCAAGACGACGCTGCTTCTCTCGTGGCTTGCGCCGCCATATATCCATCCTGACGAGGGCCTGCTCTCATACCGCATCCTGCTCGACGGGGTGCCGGCGACAGATCCAGAGACCGGTGACGCGGTTGTTGTTGCCGGCACCGAGCACACATTGCGAGGCCTCACGCCCACGACCCGCTTTGCGGTGGCGGTCCAGGCGGTCGGACTTGCCGGCGCTGGTGGAGTTACGCCGGCACAGATCATGGCGACGCTGATGCAGTGTGAGCCCGGGTATGCCGGCGATGCCGAGGGCGCATGCACGCCGTGTACGCCGGGCTCGTACTCGCCGACCGGCGACGGGTGCAATGTCTGCCCGATCTTTACTACGTCTGTCTCGCAGGCGACGAACGTATCGGACTGCCACTGCGTGCCGTCATACTTCAACACGGCAGTCAAGAGTAGCGTGCCGTCATGCGTGGCGTGCCCGCCGGGCGGTGTGTGTTCTGGAGGCAACGCACCGCCCGAGGCCGGACCGGGCTTCTTCCCAGGCTCGGATCCAAGCGTTTTCATTTCGTGTCCCAACAGCCAGGCATGCACCGGATCCGGGCGGTGCGCGGTCGGGTACGGTGGGCGGTTGTGTGCGTCATGCGTCTCGGGTTACTACCAGCTCGGATCCAAGTGTCATAAGTGCTCACCGCTGGGCTCGCTCCTTGTTGTGGTGTTTGTGGCGGTCGCCTTTGGGGGCGTCAGCTTCCTGGTCTGGTTCAACACACAGTCTCGATCGCTGTACAAGTACGCGGCGCTCATCATCGGGCTCACCTCGCTGCAAATCTCTGCCATGTACGGTGAGCTGCCACTGGCGTGGCCCGAGTACGCGCGGGCGGTTTTTGACGTGCTCTCGTTTGCCAATCTCAACATCGAGCTCACGTCGCCCGAGTGCGGGCTCGGCGCTTCACACGTTTACCGGTTCAAGTACGTGCTCACCATGCTCGGCCCTGTCCTGCTCCTCATTCCGTTCTGTGTCATCTACGGCATCAACTGGGCGTATGGACGCTGGGTCGATGCGCACGGCGAGGCTTATCTCCGCAACCACCCGGGAGCTATGGATGTGCTGCCTGCTGCGGCGTCACGCCGGGCGCGGTGGACGCGGCGCAAGGCGCGTTTCCGGACCGAGATATTGGTCCGTGGGCGCGGGATGCTAGCGGTGATGGTGCGAGCGTACTTTCAGCTCGTCACCATTCTCTTTCTTCCGCTCGCATCTGTGGCGCTGTCGTACTTTGACTGCGCGCGCGACCGTGACGGGCGGCTAAGCCACGTGCCGTCGCCGAGCGACGAGTGCTTTTCGGGCGGCCACGCGGCATGGATACCGTTTGCAGTCTTCTTCACCACTGCATACTGCGTTGTCTTGCCCTCAGCGATCATTTTCCTCCTCGTCAACCGGCGCAAGGTGCTCGGTCCGATTGAGTTTGCGCTGCGGTACGGGTTCCTCGTCGCGCGCTTCCGTGAGCAAGCGTACTACTTTGAGGTTGCGGTGATGGCGCGCAAGCTTGGAGTCGTTTTCGCGATGACTTCGTCGTACGCAGTGTCAAATCCGTACAACAAGGCGTTCTACGCGGTTGCCGTCCTCGCGGCGTCTGGAGCACACGTTGCGTTTGTCAAGCCGTACTTTGACGTCTTCCACAACGCCCTTGCTGTCTTTTGCATCGCCTCGTCGACGCTTGTCCTCTACTTTGGCTCGTCACTCACGGTCTCGCCGCGAGTCCGCAACGTCGGCATCGTGTTCTCGCTCGGATCCAATCTTCTGGCCATTATTGGCGGCTCGATCTACGACACCTACCGCTGGCTGGCTATGGCCAAGGAGGTGGACGACCAGTTTGCGGCAGTTGGCGAGTCGGCCGACGAGTCATTCGACATCGGCGAGTCGCAGTTTGGCACTGTCGGCGACTGCTCACTCCGCAACGAAGTGCAGATGGACGAGTTCTCATCTGCTCATCCGCAGTTGGTCCACGTCTCGTCAGGCAACTCGCCTCCTGACTCGATGGTCGACTCGGGGCCTGAACTTGTCTCGTTTGACTCGCGTACTGCGCAGACATCGCTCAACGGCACAGTCGGTGACGATGTTGTGTCTAGCTTTGCCGTGCCGCCGCCGCCGCCGCCTGCACTCGACACGCTCGAGTGAGGACGATGTGGTAGGCAATAGGGCCGCAATGGCGAGCTGGAGAAAGATTGAAGGAGAAGTGGAGGACAAAGGCAGTCAAACGGCGTAGTAAGAGGTGACATGCACAGCGACAGGCTGGATTGCGCCTCCCGAGTGAACCGCCGCGCCGCCAGTAAGGCTGCTGGTCGCGCTGCTGCCAGACGAGATGGAGTCTGACGAGGTCGAGCCCGAGGCCGAGGAGATGTCCGGGACAGCCGACGCGGTCGTTCGCGCGAGGACCGGCATCGAGCCAGAGTCGCCAGACTCCCACCGAAACTCGGAGCCCTTACTGGAGTCGTCATCGAGGCGTGACGAGTCGGAGCTGGCGGACGCCTTCGTGCTCTGGGCCTGCTCGGCATCAGCCTCGCCCGCATCTGCGGCCCTCGACGCACCTCGTCGCCGATACCACAGCGTGATGTTGATGATGACAATGATGATGAGGAAGGCACAGACGAGCGGGAGAAGCCACCACATCCACGACATGGTCGTCCTGGTTGTCGACGGTGACGACGTCGACGACGCGCTCGCCTCACTCACCGCCACGCACCCATTGGAGGCGCACATCAGCGCGGCGCGCGGCATGCGCTCGCCATTCATCTCGATGATGACTGATGTGAACGACGATGTTGAGTCGCCAAAGACAATAATGGGAATGGGGGTACCCATGTTGAACGCGTCAGCCGCGGAGTCATTGAGGCGGACAATGAGATCCCCTGCAAGCGATGCGGTCTGGTTGACCACTATTGGGACCGTGGTATTGCCCATTAGATCACTCGTCCACAACGTCAAGTTGCGGAGGTCGACAGTGATGGTGGAAGTCGGATCAAGGGTGAGCACGTCTGTCTCCACGGCAGCGTCGGCGAGGACGAGCGAGCCACCCGACAGCACACGAAGTTCGCCGCTGATAACCACACGCGTCAGCGGTGCGAGCGCAAGCTGGCTGTCGATCGAGAGCTCATTAAGCCGGCAAGAGCTCGAGAGGCTCGTCGCGTCCGCTGGGCATGGCGGCGGGCTCAGACACGGCACGATGCCCAAGGCCGAGCTGGCGGTGTCGACGCCGATAATGACAGCATCGAGCAAAGGGCGCGCTGTAGCAAGAGGAATGGTCGATGGCGCCACCGGCAAGATAGTGCAGGCGAGACTGCTACCGAGGCTACAGACAAGCTGGATGGCGTTGTTGCTGGTTGTCACCGCAAAGACAGCGAGCTTGTTGACCGCGTCGTCGACCACAATCGACGTGGCGCGGAGAACAGAGTTACCCACCACGTATGTCGTGCATGAGTCAAAGATAATGGAGCAAACGTAGATCTTGAGCTTGTTGCTGCCGTCGGTGGCGGCAATAATCGCGCGATCGGTGCCGCTAAACGCCAGGACCGGCTCGGTGCCTGTGTTAAACACTGGATCAATTACGCGCCTGTAGCAGCCGGACATGTCCGACTCGCACTGGATGACCTGCATGTTGCGGCTCGGCAGCGCAGTCTTGCCGACAGCCACCAGTCGGTTCGAAGACGGAGTCAGCCCGGCAGCAATGCTCGTGCCGGAGGCCATGACGCTGCCGCATGAAATGTCGTGCGCCGTGCATCCGCTTGCATCCGCCGCGTTACACACATACGCATAGAGAGCATCAAACAGACCGCCGTTGATTGCAACGGTGATGAGCTTGTTGTTGGCGTTGTCAAGCACAACCTTGGGCGACAAGCCCGAGTTGGCTCCCTGCGCTCCCGACACATCGTGGCTGGTGCACGGCGACGCCCCTTCGTTGCACAAGAAAAGCCAAGGTCTGTTCGCCGCCGCCCCGTTGGTCGCCGCCACCACAAACCGGGATCCAGCGTCGTCAGCAACGACATGCGAGTCCTTGCCCGAGTTGGCGCCTTGGCCGCCAGACAAATCACGCGACTCACACGACGAAGCCATGTCGAGCGGGCAAGTCACCGCATGCGGCTTGTTGTCGTTGTCGACGTTGGCGCCGACGACAGTCACTTTCATGCCCCCACTCGTCAGGACAGAGTTTGCTCCGTCCAAGCGTAGCCCATTGATGGCCACAATAGGTCCATACTCATCGCATACAAATGCGTCAACGCCCATAGCATAGGCGAGGAGGCCGAGGGCCATCACCAGAGAAAGAAGAATCTTCATCGAAACTTGTTGTTCTGAGTGGCCGAAAAAAAAAAAAAACAAGTGAGTTGCGGGTCAACCGTTGGGGAACATAATATATGCTGCGCACGTCGCTTAAGCAACACAGCAGGTACACAAGCAACTAATATGATAGAAAAGCAAATTGCAAATCGAACTTGCAAGGAGAAAGAAGTCGGGATGGTTTATGTGCGGCTGAGGTGCCTTTGAAGTCTACGGCTGTGCCGAATGGCAGCTCCACATATGGCAGCTCCACATGGTCACCGATATCTCTGTGTGATTTTGAGCATGGTCAACGAGGAAAAGGCGTGCCTGTCGCAATCGGGGAGCGGGAGGGAGAGAGAGGGGGGAGGGGGGTGGAGGGGGTGGGGGGAAGGGGGGGGGAGGGGATGGCCGCCAGTAAGGCTGCTGCTCGCGCTGCTGCCAGACGAGATGGAGTCTGACGAGGTCGAGCCCGAGGCCGAGCCGCAACCTCGTCAAGTGTTGCCTCGGGACTTTGTGGCTCGGACGGGGTTTGACAGCTTGCTTTTGACCTTGTCAAAAATATTCTGTGCGGGTAAACCCCGTGCATACAAGCGAGCTGTTCGGTCTGCGGTCACACTCGGTCCTTCTGCACCGACCAAGCCACCATAGCACTCACAAGTCTGGGAAACAGTCTGAGTACCACGCACATATGAGCATACCTCTGCGCTGGGTGTTCTGAAAGGTGTATCGCTGGTGACCACTGCCGTGCGGCTTGCAGCTTGTAGGCGACCTAATCATAGCCAAATCGCTTAATTATTTGTTCTGTCACCACGTTGCTATCCCGCAGGCGGCACTCGCCAGGCCTCGACCACCGCGGATAACAGCACTTGACCTCCCCAAACTCAACACACCCCATAACTTAACAAGAGCAAACCAACGCAGGCCGTCACATCTATCACGTGCGTGAAAGTAACGGCTCTCTTCGTTGTCTACGCCACTTGACAGGCAGGGGCATGCCAAGATGTTTGACCACTTGGCCATGTTGGTTTTGTGTGCTCTGGCACTCAGCCTGGTCGCGTTCTCGCATTTGGCGCTCGCGTGCGACTACACGGTCTCGCCGACGACCAACTCGCTCTCATCGCTTCGGTCTCATCTGTCATCGGTGGGAGTGACGCTCAAGACCTTCTCCCATACCGTTTGCTTTGCAGGCGGCAACTATGGCCAGAGCGGAACTTGTTCGGTCCCATCGCTTGTCGTCTCGTCGCTCTCGCCGCACATCAAGTTCACCGCGTCGAACCCGGCGGAGCCGCCGATCTTCACTTGCGCCAGCCCGTCCGGGACGCGTCCTACTTCGGCTGGGCCGCTCTTTGACCTCCGCACCGGCCGCGCGAACCAGCGGTTCACACTCGAACACATGGTGTTTGTCAATGCCTCGTTCGAGTCATACGTCTTCGAACTCGATGCTCGCGATGAGAACGCAGAGCTTGTGCTGGCCGACGTATCGACTGCAGCCTTTGGAGCTGCATCCCTCGTCCACGCTCACGCCCCGACAAGCTCGGGGGACGGCATGACCGTTGCCCTCAATCGCGTCACCATTGCTGATTGGGTTCACAACATGACGACAACCTCATCCATTGTGGCGGTCTCGGCGGCATCAAGCTTCACAGCCACTACCACCGCCATCACCGACCTCGCCATCACGCACGCAACCACTGGCGTCTCGCTCATCTCAGTCGAGTCAGCCGGCCCGTCCGCGACCTGCTCGCTCGCCGTCTTGCGCGCGAGTATCGCAGATGCCATCGGCGGAGCCGTCGGAGGCGCCGTCCGCGTTGTCGGGTGTGATGCGAGCTTTGACGAGCTGGTCACAACCCGCGTGTATGCGTCGGCCAGCGGCGGGTGCTTAGCATCGCTGGCACCTGGCGGTGGATCGCGGACGCTCACGCTTGCCAACACGCACCTGCTTGACTGTCATGCCCCGGGCTTCGGTGGTGGCGTTTACTCAGAGGCCGCGTCCACCAGCCTCGATGCCACGATTGTGGCCAACTGCAGCGCCAGCTTTGGTGGCGGCGTGGCGGTCGGTCCTGGTGTGGATCTCTCGGGCACCGATTCCTGCGTTGAGGGCAACTCGGCAGAGATTGGTGGCGGGCTCTTTCTCCCGGCGTCGAGCTCGATCTCGCTCGACAGCTGGCGGGTGGCAGCCAACACAGCGGTCAATGGCTCGGCGATATACGCCGCCGGCGCAAGCCCGGCCTCGAGCTTGATCGACACGCTTGTCACGGGCAACCAAGTAACGTATACGTCGTCGGCCGCCATCCACCTTGTGGATCACGTGCTCAGCTTTACCAACTCCTCCGTCTGCCTCAACAATGGGCCGGGCTGCGAAATCAACGTCGTGTGCGACGGCAGCAGCGGCGCGCCCGGCCTTGGCTACGGATGCGGACTCGGTGGTGGTTGCAGCCATGGCGAGCATGTATGCTCACTCTCGGTTCTCGCCGACACGTGCACAGGCCCGTGTCATGACGGATGGTTCGGTGCATCGTGCAACGAGCGCCCGCTTTGCGCCAACTTGGCGGCCGACAACGGGACGTGCAGCTCCCCGGCGATGGGGTGTGAGGCATGCGTCTCTGGCGCCGCACGGACCGACGATGGTGACGGCTGCTGGCACTGTCCACCTTTCCGGTACTTTGTGGCCGAAAATGTGCCTTGTGGTGTGTGCTCTGGATCGTGCGCGTCGTGTACGGGAACGAGCACCAACTGCACGTCATGCGCGCCGCCGTTGATGCTTGTGTCTGATGGCGGCAACTCGACCAGCTGGAGCTGCGCGCTGCCGCCTCCGCCTCCGCCGTCACCGCCACCGCCGTCTCCCTCGCCGCCGCCGCCTTTCCCGCCGCCGCCATCACCACCGCCGTCACCGCCGCCTTCACCGTCGCCTCCGTCACCTCCGCCGCCTCCGCTTCCGCCTTCGCCGCCTCCGCCGCCGTGCGCGCCGCCGGCTGCCCTCGACGACTGCGGTGTGTGCTCGGGCTCGGGATCCGGTCGGTTCCCCAACACCGACAAGGACGTGTGCGGCGTGTGCTTTGGCGGCGGCAGCGATGTCGATGCATGCGGTGTGTGCTTTGGCTCCAATGCGTGCGTCGATGGCTGCGGAGTGCCGTGGGGTGACAACTCGACGTGCGCAGGCTGCGATGGCATTCCGTACTCGGGCATAATCGTGGACGTGTGCGGCGAGTGCGGCGGCGATTCGAGTTCGTGCCTTGGCTGTGATGGAGTGCCGATCCCAGCCGGCGGAGCGCACTTTGATGCCTGCGGCGTGTGTGGCGGCCCGGCTACCGGTGTCTGCTTGCAGTCATGCGACAACTCATCGGCGACGATGGTCTCCTTTGATTGCAACGGTGCATGCAATGGAACGGCTTTCATCGACGACTGTGGCGTATGCGTGGGCGGGACAACAGGGCGGACGCCCAATGGCCATCGCGACAGCTGCGGCTCGTGCTTTACCCGATGCGAGGGGTGCGCCAATGCCACCCAGTCTGTCGATTCATGTGGTCTGTGTGGTGGCGACGGTCTCTCGTGCCGCGGATGCGATGGCGCCGGCTCGGTTGTTGATGCCTGTGGTGTGTGCAATGGCACAAATGCGTGTGTGGTATCATGTGATCCCGCTCTTGGGCGTGATGCAGCTGTCGACTGCGCTGGAGTATGTGGTGGCACAGCGATCATCGACGACTGTGGGATGTGCACCGGCGGAACCACCGGAAAGGTTCCCAACATCTTTCTCGACTCGTGCGGGGTGTGCTTTGGCGGCAATGTCGCTCGCGATGGCTGCGGCATCTGCTTTGGCGGCGACGCCGATCGAGACGACTGTGGCGTCTGCTTTGGCGACAACGCTGCCAAGGATGCGTGCGGCGTCTGCTTTGGCGGTAACGCGCTGCAGGACGCATGCGGGGTTTGCTACGGCAATCGGACTCGCTGCGCCGGCTGCGACGGCGTTCCGAACTCGGGCTTGACGTTTGATGACTGCGGTGTGTGCGGCGGAGATGGTGTGTCGTGCATTGTGCCCCAAGGCGCAGACATGATGGCAACGTTGACAGGGACCACATCGGTGACGGTTTTCTCCTTGGTCTGCGCCGCTGGCCTCATTTTCCTCTTCGTTGGCCTCTCATGCCGGCGGCGGCGGCTACAACGCAACTACCTCCGCGACCGCGCAGCGCGCGAAGATGCGCATGCGCCAAAGGGCGAAATCGCGATACTCATCTCGGACGTCATGTCATCAACAGCGCTGTGGGAGGCGTACCCCATCGAGATGGTCGACGCTATCGACGCGCACAACGCCGTGTTCCGCGCCAAGATTGCCGACCATGGCGGATACGTGGTGCGGACCGAAGGCGACTCGTTTGTGGTTGCCTTTCAAGCTCCGGTCGATGCGGTATGCGCGGCGGCGGCGATCCAGCATGCACTACTGGAGATTTCTTGGCCGCGGGCCATTCTTGGGAGCGATATTGTAGCATCGGATCCGGATGATGCCCCCGATACGGTTTGGCGCGGACTGCGCGTGCGGATGGGCGTGGCGGTGTGCTCGCCAACGCGCGAGTTTGAGCGGCGAACGCTGAGGTTTACGTACTCGGGCAATGCCATGACGTACGCACAGACGATTGGCGACTGTGGATCAGGTGGCCAAGTGGTGCTTGACAAGCTGGCGGCGGCGAGCGTGGCATCGGACATTGTGGTCCGGCTCGGTGTCTTTGCCACGCCGCTTGCGCATCGATACGAACTGTATGAGCTGCGCGAGGGCGTGCTGGCGCTCCGCGATCATCCGCCGGAACTGCGCGGCCTCGTGCGCATCGACTCGGGTCGACTGCGGTCGGTGCGAACCGAGGCTCTAGATCTGGTCGAGAGCTGGACAGACGGCGCTACGCGGAAGGAGCTGGAATCAGATCCCAAGCTGACGCTGTACTCGCTGGCGGCCTCGCTCTCCCGCTTTGACGGTCACCGGCCCAAGCCCGAGGTGATGGCCCCGGGTGCAGCTGCGGTCGCCACGCTCTCAACGTCGTCGTCGGAGCTGTCAAGCTGCAATGGGGGCGAGGTAGAGAGTTTCAAGTTCCGGATCCAGCCGAGTGCGGCCATCAAGTCGTCACGCCGGGCGACCATCGCCAATGGATCGGAATCGGTGGCGGCGGCGAGCTCGATGTCGCAGGCTAAGCACAGCGAGTCACTCTCGTCGCTTCGGGGTACTGGCGGGCGCCGAAATGGAGGGCGGAGGCGGCGGCGGCGCAAGAGCCGCAAGGTGGTGCCGTCCAGCACGCTCTCGACATCAAGTCAGACAGCATCGTTCACAGAGACCACCAACAACAGCGTGGTTCTGCCGACCATCTCGGAGAACTCGAGCGATGTCGGGACGGATGCCACGGCGCAAGTGTTGTCGAACATGGGTTCGTCACTTGCATCGTTCTCGGTCTTTGGCTCGCTAGCCGAGCTTGACGACGTACTGCCGGCTATCGATCCGCGCGACGCATCGATGCCGGCGCGGACAAACCTCCCTCCCGTCGACTTGGACCTTGTCGTTGCCGCAGAGGACTTTGCGCGATCGGCGTCGATGGCGCCGATGGCGTATGGCGGCAGAAAGAAGAGCAGCGATCTCTCGCTCAACGTTCCAACAATGTCGAATGTTAAGCGGCGGAGGCGCAAGACCCATGCTGGCAGCTCGCGCTCTCAACGAGTCTCGCGGAACCGGATCGAGATGGGCACGCCTGCCCAGGTCGGCATGTCGAGGCAGAGCAAGCCGCTCGCGCGCGTCGTCGTACTCGGGATCGTAAACGCAAAGTCTCTGCCGTGGCCGGGTAGGCTGCGAGGCGTCACGGGCTGCTGCTGTCCAAGATCACGATGAGTGTGGGTGCGCACGTGAAGCGCGCGTGTGTTGACGCAGAATTGTTGATCAGTGAAAGGGAGTGACTTTTCATGTTCCACTGGTGATGGAAGGCGAGATGGCGAGAGAGCAGATCACGCACGTCGAGCAGAGCAAGCGCACGAGGTGCAAGGTAGCGTACTGCATTTGCTGCCTTTGCCCTTTGTTTCGTCTGTTCTGATCTTGGAGCTCACGGGCAAGAAAGCTGTGTGGCTCCGGACTGGCGCGGTTGCGCGCACTCGACTCGCGCGAGTAGAAACGGCTGGCTAAACGGCAGCACAAGATGCGCAAGCGGGCTAGGGACGGGGAAGGCGGGGCTTTTGCCGAGTTTGAGGAGAACATCGAAGCAGTCAAAGTGGTTGAGGTGGACGAAGACGCGGTGGCCTTGGAGCAGAGGCAGAAGCGCCAGCGGAAGCTGAACGGCCGGGGCGAGACAGCTCGCAGGGTTGCAGGCGGGACGGGCGAAGCGACCCGATGGGAGGAGACGGGCGGGATGGGCATGCTGGGATCTGATCGGGGGAGGGTGGCGGAGTGGCTGGAGGGATTGGATAGCAATTATGCGGCATACCTTGATGATGATGGCTTTGTGGGCGAGGTCGAGGCGTGGCTGTGGCGGGCGCGGCGCGAGGATGTGCGGGTGGGGCTCGGAATGGAGCGGAGAGTGGACGGCGTTGCGCATCGGCGGCGGGTGGTGGTGTATGATTTGGAAACGACAGGGCTTGGCGCCGGGGCGAACGTGGTGGAGATTGGGGCGGTTGAGCTACTGGATGGGGCAGTGAGCGGGGCGTACTTTCATGCGCTCTGCCGGCCGCCGTCGAGAATCTCGCACGGCGCAGCATGCATCCATGGCATCACCGATGAGATGGTGGCAGAAGCCAAGCCAATGGAGCTGTTTTAGGTGCGTTCTGCGAGTGGATCTCGCGGTCGACGGGCGCGCTGGTGGCACACAACGCGGCGTTTGATGGCGACGTCCTCCTGCGCTGCCTCGATCGCCTCGGGCTGCCGCCGCTCCCTGTCGGCGAGGTCGTCTGCACCATGACCAGGTACCGGGCGCTGATGTCCGGATCTGCTTGTCTTGCAGCGGCCTGCGACGCCGTTGGCATCCAGCTAGACGGTTGCATCCTCCACAACGCCCTTGTCGACGCCTATCTAACCACTCGGCTCTTCCTTGTTCTTGACACCGCGGCGAGCGTAGCGAGCACTGCTGTTGCGCGGGCGGTACAAGTCACTGCCACGCGATCGGTCCAGCGCTTGACAACGCATGCGCATGGAACAACCAACGATGAGTTTGATGATGATGAGCCCATGAGCCATGCCACCAAAGCGGCCAGCGATTGAACCAACGCCCACCGCCACAACGACACCACGAGCATAATGCAGACGGGCGAGTACCACAACAATCGTGTGGGGATCGGCATTCCCACGTCAAGCCAACGCCAATCAGCCACCGATGAGTGCCTCCGTCTTGCAGCAGGAGGAGACTGCGGGGATCGGCACTCCCACGTCAAGCCAACGCCAATCAGCCACCGATGAGTGCCTCCGTCTTGCAGCAGGAGGAGACTGCGGGGATAGGCACTCCCACGTCAAGCCAATGCCATTCAGCCACACCGATGAGTGCCTCCGTCTTGCAGCAGGAGAAGACTGCGGGGATAGGCATTCCCACGTCAAGCCAATGCCAATCAGCCACACCGATGAGTGCCTCCGTCTTGCAGCAGGAGGAGACTGCCACGACTTGGATTCAAACGTTGCTGTGTGCTCCACAGCGTCTCTGCTGCTCTCTCCCCCCACCCTCTACCTCTCTCTATCGGCATTCCCACGTCAAGCCAATGCCAATCAGCCACACCGATGAGTGCCTCCGTCTTGCAGGTGGTGGTGGTGGTGGTGGGGGTGGTGGTGGTGGTGGTGGTGGTGGTGGTGGTGGGGACGGACAACGCGGAGGACAGCGGAAGGAAGTGGGAGGTGGTGGCGATCAAAGGCAGGGGCTGAAGGGATCACGGTCACATGGGCATCTGGGGGCATCACAAGGAATGGGTTCGTCATTGCAGGAGCATCTGGTGTCATCGCCGCTGCAGGGATCGCACGGCAATAAGTCGTCGAGGAAGAAGCATCGCAGACGGAGGAGTACCAGGGATGGAGGCGATACCCGGGAGAGGCAGAGTAGAGGCTCAGGTCGGGTGGTGGAGGCTAGTCCTTCAAGAACGAGTGGCTCTCAGACGCCAGAGTCGGCGACGAGGAGGAAGAAGAGGAGGAGGACTCCAGGATCGGGATCAAGGCGCAGGAGGACGACGCGCAGATCGGCGAGCCCGGAGAAAGTGCAGGAGGAAGCAAAACTGGTGACAAGCGGCCTGCATGATGGTCACGTCCATACCAAGAAAGAGCGCGAGCTGTTGGAGGTAGTGGAGAAGCGGAGGCGAGAGCGGAGGCCGTCGCGCGGGAAAATCCTCTTCAAGAACCTGGTGTCCGGGGTGAAGGACGCGCTGGTGGCACGGTCGTCGGGCCCCGGCAGTGAGGAGCCGTCACCCAAGACCGGGGAAAACAAGGGCGCCAAGTCGTCTTTGTATCCGGACAGGCTCGCGGTGGACGATCAGTTTACGCATGCGCGGTCGCGGTCGAACTCGCGATCACCGCGGCTGTCGCGGTCGCCGAGTCCGCGGCGGCGCAAATCAGGGACCGAGAAACTGCTGGCGATGGCCGGGAACGCGGCAGAAGCGCTTGGCTTTGACTTTCCGCGTGAGGCCGTCTCGGGCATGATGGCCCAAGCTGCCGGCGAGAGCGGCAAGGATGGGAACAAGGCCAAGGCTAAGGGCGTGCTTGGCGCGGCGCTGACTGCCGGCGCCAGCGGTGCGTCGCTCGGCGACAAGGTCTCGACCTTTACCTCGTTCACTACGCAGATGCTGGGCGAGAAGTCGATGGAGTCGTGGCGGACGCACCGGCGCGAGGTGGCGGCCGTGGCTGCTACCCATCGGACAGCGGTTGAGCTCGGCTTGACGGTCATGGGTGGGCGTGTGCTCCGGGAGCCACAGGGTGTGCGGTTGCCGCGGCGGCGGCTGTACTTTGCGGCAGCTCACGCCGAGGGCACGCGGGCGCACAGCTCACTCGTTCAGAGTCTGAGCGAGATCGGGACGCTCCCGCTTGCGCTCACCGACATTTCGGCGGTTGTCCTTCTTGAGCTGCGGATTGCGGCGGGCGAGAAGGAGGACGACGCGGTGCTTTTGGGTCACGCGTCGATCCCGCTGCGGGCAGTGCTGGCGCGGCGGCTGCCGCATGTCCGGCCCGTCTCGCGGCGGTCTGTCGAGTTTGAGCTTGCCCTCTTTCCGCCAGTGGGTGTCGGCGCGGTCCCGCCACGCCAGCCGCTCTCCTCGCTGCTGACCAATCCGCCACTAGCAGCCAACGCCGACGCATTTGCGGTGGTGGTCACGCTTCGGCTCGACTGGCGGTACACTGTGCCAGCACCAGCGGTGGCCATGGTCTCGGATCGATGGGCGCACCCGCCGCGGCCGCTGGAAGACTTTGGCTACATCCGGTCGAACGCGCGGCGATTCGAGGCTATGATCCACCCGCCGGCGTGGATGCGGCTGGTGTGCAGGGCGTTGCTATGGGAGGCGCCATTTGCGTCTCTTGCCGGGCTCGCGGTGTATGTCTATGCGGCGGGCTTTGCACCCGCCTTTGCGCTTCCGCTGCTCGGTTTTGGCGTCTTGCTCTTCCTCTCGCTCCACTCACTGTGGGAGGCGCGGAGCGGTGCGAGGGCAGGCGGGCCCGAGTCGATCTTTGCGTCTCGGCATGCGCCGTCGGGCCCGGACTCTGACGATGAGTCGGAGAGCGACGACGAGGATGCGGATAATGGCAAGAACAACACATCGGGCGTGGGCGGGAGCGTTCTTGGAGCAATGGGGGCGGTGTCGGGCAAGTCGCTGCAGGTGATGGCCAAGGCCCGCAAACTGCTGGTCAAGGTCTCGTCTGCTCTTGAGCGGGCGACGAGCGCATCGGAGCGGATCCGCGCGTTCTTTGGCTGGGCTGACGCCTTGCTCTCAGCGTGGCTCTACATCGGGCTCGGCATCGTCGCTGTGGTGGCCTCGGCGCTTTTGTATGTCTTCCCGCCGCGCCTTGTGGCCGCCACCGGCGGCGCTGCGGTCATGGGCCTCACGCTCTTCCGGCGGATTGCGCTCCTTGTTCGCGGCGTCATCCGCGAGACCCGCCGGGTGCCTGCTGCTGGCGACGCCGACTCGCACTCGACGGTGCCCGAGCTGCGCTCACTCCCGGAGCGCTGGCTTCGCAATGTATTCTTCCGCGTCCCCGACGCCGTCGAGCTCCGCGAGATTTCGCTCTTTGTTGAGCACCTCAATGCGTCAGCCGATCTCCCACCTCCCGACCGACTGCAAGCGAGCGTCGACCGCAATCCAGAGTAGCCGACCTCCACGCTATGGGCAGTTTCAAAACCCCCACACCAAGTACTGCCTCTAGCCAGCCGACCTGGATCGGCCGGTCGACTGGCACCAGCCATCGGCACGGGACCAACAGCGGCCGCGCCGATCTCGCAAAAAAGCCATCCGCCGGCCACCCGCCCGCCGCTGCCAGTAAAGCGACCGAGCCGATCCCTCCGCTGCCGGCCAGCCGGACTGCCGGGGGGGGGGGGGGGGGGGGGGGAGAGAGAGAGCTTCCCAGGTGCAGACAGAGGCAAGGGACAAGCAAGTACACCTCACTGTGTCCACCACCACATAGCCAATGCTGCGGACTGCTATCTTTCTGCGACCTGTTCACGCACTGCGTGCTGGGGCCATGAGCACGGTGGCTGACGCGCCAGTGGCCCATGGTAAGCGCGACGTGTACGACCGAGTCCGGTCAGCTCTGGCATCAGCTACCGAGACAGCCAGCTCGTTCAAGGTGGCCATGCCTACGACGGCCACCACGACTTCTCCGTCGCTTACCTCTGCAAGTGCTGGATCAAAGTCATCGACTGATGGCGTCGATGTGGCAGATGCTCTGCGGGCAGCTCGTGATGATCTGGCGGCTCCCTTTCGTCTGGCCGTCGTCGGCAACTTCAACACCGGCAAGTCGACTCTGGTCAATGCTCTGTTGGGTGCTGATCTGACGCCCGAAGGCGCAGAGGTTACCACTTCTGCTGTCCATCGCATCAACTACGGTTCAAAGGCATCGGCTGTTGCCGAGGGTGATGAGCCGGGCGCTCCCATCCATGTCTCGGCCGACGTCGCCTGGCTCCGCGATCACGCCATCGAGGTGATCGACACCCCAGGCGTTGGCGCTGCTGCCGAGGGCCACGAGTTCCTCTCGCTCGACTCGCTGCCGCACTCGGACTTGCTGCTGTTGGTGACCAACACCACCAACGCGCTCTCGGGCGTCGCCGAGCACACTCTGCTCAAGGCGGTCGGCAACCATCGGTCGGTGATTGTCGTTCTCAACCGCATCGACCAGACCAACTCTGAAGTCGAGCTGGAAGGCCTCCTCGCTCAGGCGAGCAAGAACGCATCCAAGTACCTCGAGCCGGGCACCCTCTACCTGCCTGTCTCGGCCAAAAAGGCCAAGGACGCACGAGCGGCAAAGCCCGAGGCGCCCGAAGCGACGCAGGAGTGGGCCGACTCGCGGCTCGGCGCGCTTCGTGACCACCTCTCGCAAGTCCTCTCGTCTGACGTGCGCAAGTTCATCAAGCTCCGTGCGCCGCTGCAGCTCGGCCTCGACGCGCTCATCCATCTCGACACCCGGGTCAACGACGCGCGCGGCAAGCTCGACGCGCTCGCCGTCCCGCTCACCGAGGCGACCGAGAGCTACGATGTGGCGCTCGACCTCTTCAAGCGTGGCCTCAAGACCGAGCTCAAGCAGGCGGCTCCGAGCTTCAAGGCGCTTGGCCCCAAGCTGGCCGCGAAGCTGCCGTCGGCCTCGTCGGCGTTCTTCACCGGCGTGCCGGCCGACTTTGCACCGGGCAAGGCGCTGAGCGAGGCGCTGCCGCCGGTCCGCGAGACTCTCAACGCACTCACCCGCGACGTACAGATCGAGCTCAACTCGGCGTCAGAGGTCCTCAGCTCCGCCATCGACGACGCTGAAGCGTTTGTGGGCGGCGACGCGCCCGAAGCCATCCGGGCCTCGGGCGCCGGCGCCTCGGAGCTCCGCACCGTCCGCCGCAGCCTCGACCGCAGCGGGCCGGTGGGCAACGCCATCCCGCGGCGGGTGCTCGCCGACGAGCTCGACTCGCTCGCCGACGCTGCACTCTCCGACGACGGCCGCCAGCTCAAGGCCATCGATGTCGGGGCGCGGCTCAACTCGCTCCGCACCACGGTCCTGGCTTACGAGATCGTTGCACTCGGTTCGGGCGCCGGTGCCTACGCCTTTGGCCCGGCGCTCGGCCTCGCGACGTCAGAGTCGCTAATGGCGGTCGGTGCCGCGGGCATCGCCGCCCTCGCCGGTGTCGGCATTCTCAATGTCGGCTGGTCGCGGATCAAGGCCGATCTCACCGCCGCCGCCACCGACTTCCATGCCTCGCTCGAGCCTGCCCTCGCCGCCAGCCTCGAGTCCAAGGTCACGTCGGCGCTCCTCCCGCTTCGCGAGGCTATTATCAACACCAAGGACGTTCTCCGCTCTGAGCACGCCGGCCTTGACAACGCCCACAACGATATCCAGGCCCAGATCACCAACCTGGAGGGACTCCAGGCCCAAGTCGAGTCGGTCTCCACCCCGGATGCCCAATAAAGCCCTTCAGGCGAGTCGGTCGAGCGGCCGATCGTCCATTTGCGAGTCATCTGTTTGGATATACGGGGTTGGCGACTTGGCGGGCAGGCGGTTTGTCGGTTTGTATCTCGCGTGTCGCTTGTCGTCACGTATCGTCGCGTGTCATCGCTTGTCATCGCTTGTCATCGCTTGTCGCCCGATCGGTTGGTCGCTCGTCGGTCTCTAGTCGGTCACCAGTCGGTCAGCCCCCCCCCTCCCCCCCCCCCCCTGGCCACCCCCTCGGCCACTCGACTCGTTTACGCGAGCCATGGCGAGCAGTGAGTCCAGAGTAGGAGAGGAGGAAGAGTACCTCTACGACGTGACGCAACATGGACCGTTTGTCCGAGAACTGCTTCCCGAACTCGCTACCAAGGCTTTCCCCTTCCGTCCCTTGTCCGAGACAGCCACGTGTCGAGTGCCTCCACTGGCCGCCACACTCCGCCGCCACTCTCATGGAGGCCATGACGATGACGATGGCGATGGTGATGGTGATGGTGATGGTGATGGCGACTCAGATTCAATTCTGGGATCCGGCAATGTGACTTTGGCTGGCAAAGTCATTCGCCGTCCGTCTGCTGTTGCGCATGACTCGCTTCCGCTGCTCGGCCTCACATCGGCCGAGCATGTGCTGATCTTCTCAGCCGAACACACTGCAGCACCGCCGGCTCCGTTTGCGCTCTACACTCCGGGCGGCTCGCTGCTGGAGGCTTCGATTGCTTGGCTTCCGGAGACTCCTGTCCTTGTTCTTGTTGTGCCGGATCGGAGCGAGCCGCAATCAAGGCTGGTTGTGCTGCGGTATGTGCCGCCGGCAGGCTCAGCCACCGCCGATCTGATCGTAGTCGCCGACGTCAGCGTTCCGTTCAGCGTGGCCGAGGCTGTGGTGGTGTGGGCGGCGGCGGCGGATGGGAGTGCTCGCGCAGGTGTAACGCGCATCGAGCTGGCGCTGCGGACCGGCAACGGCAGAATTGTTGTCGCCGGCGTCCGGGCCGCTGAAGGCGAGCTCGCCGAGCACAATGTGACAGAGGTCGATATTCTCGGCCAAGTCGCGGATCTCGACCAGCATCACACACTGGTGCGGGCGCTGGCGTGGGATGCATCCCGAAAGACGCTGGTTGTGGGCGGAGCGCGGCGGCGGGCGGGCGCGGCGCTAGAGTGGGCGCCGTCGCTCTCGCTCCACACCTTCCAGGGACCGGGAACGGGCAGTTTCGAGTTGGCGGCAGCGTCGACGTCGATGGCCGAGCCCGTACCGCGGTCGTGGCTGCCATGGGCCGCTGATGGCGTGTCGCGTGCGGCCCTGGCGTGCGGCCTCGTCGGGCTCCAGCTCGCGCCACCACAGCGTGGCGAAGGCGGTGCGTCCTCGTGCTACCTGGCGAGCCACACTGGCGACGGCGGAGTGGCGCTGTATGATCTGGCGAGCGAGGCGCCGACTACGGTGACGGCACTCTTCTCACCGACACAGTTTGCCGAGCTTACCGGCGAGTCGAGCCGTGTTGTGAGTCTCGCATGGTTTTCGGACGAGGTACTCGCGGCCGGTTTTGTGTCGGGCGCGGTGGCGCTTGTGCGGCAGCCGTGGGCAGAGACGCCGGTGGGCGAGGAGGTGGCGTTCAAGGCGTATGGGGCAGCGCCGGTGCTTGTTTCGTCGCCGCTTACGGCTACGACGTGGATTTATGGCTCGCGGACGAGTACCATTGCGGTGCCTGCAGCCTGGGGCGAGCCGCTGCTGGCGTTGAGCAATTTTGACGCCACGCCGTTGTCGTCGCCGACCGGAACGGTTGCCGGCGGGCGGCACTCGCGGGCGGCTTTTGGAGGCGACGACGCCGACGACGAGTGCAGCGATGACGACGGAAGCGAGGCTAGCGAGGTGGCCGAGACCGGTGAGCAGCTGTCGTGGTGTTCGGCGATGACGCGGACGCTGCTGATGCGGCTGACCGGCAACGAGGTCCAATGGGCGCACCCGGCGTGGCTCCAGGTGGACGTGCCAGCACGGACGAGCGGGCTGGCGTCGCTGGTGCAAACGACGCCGCTACAGCTGTGTCGGCGGCGAATTGCTGCGGGTGACTATGGCGCGGCGCTCGAGGTGGCACTAGCACGCGGGCTCTCGACCGACCCTGTGTATCAGGCGCAGTGGCACGCGACGCGAGGCAGCTTTGACGCCGACGCCCTGCACGCCATGCTTGATCCTGTGGTCGACAAAGAGTGGGTGCTGGCGCAAGTGGTCGAGTACGTGCCGGACGATGTGCACCAGGCGCGAGCTCTGTATAGATACGGCGCGGAGCTGCTCGCGGAGCTCGAGCCGGCGCTGCCTGGCACTGGGGCATCGGTGGAGGGTGTGCGATGTGCGCTGCGGCTGGCGCAGTACGCAGACCGACTGGAGGCGTTTGTGCGGATTCACGGTGCCGGCTTTGATCCAATGGCCTTTTTGCAGTTCCGCGATGCCAACCTCGCTGAGGTGGCGCTGGACGCAGCGCGCAGTGGCGCGGTAACTGCGCTGGAGGTGCTGTTTACCTTTTTCCCCACCGAGACGCTGCCGTCGTACCTGGCGATTATTGCCGAGCTCCCGCTGACTGAGCCTCCGGAGACGTTTTCGCTCCTTCTCCCGTGCATCAGCGGCAGCGACGATGACAAGCTGTATGTCGTGGCGTGGTACGCGCCGCCTCAGCGGACAAGCGCTGCGACTGGGCTGGTGCCGAGCCCCGAGGTGCTGAAGGCCGAGTACGCCCATACCCTGGCCAGTACCGATACCGGATGGCTACCAGCGGTCTGGCCGCCTGCAACAAGCGAAGCCGAGCTTGCAGCGCGGAGCAGGCCGCCGTCGGTCGACGAGGTCATCAACTGGTGGTGCCAACGGGCGCTGGCTGTCGAGGCCGAAACAGGACTTGTCGACGTGGCCGAGGCGTGGATCTCGCTGGCGATGGTGCCGCCGCACAACACGCCAGGTCTGGAGCTTGTGGCGACCGAGCTTGACACGCTCTCGATCCTTGTGTACGATCTTCAGGCGCCTCCGCCACCGCGCACGGGTATGTGGAGTATCGCCGCGCTGCGGAGCCTGTCTGCACCTGAAGTGTTTGACGCAATTCTTAGCCCATCGCTCGTGTTTGATGGCGGAGACGGGCCGGCGGTGTCGCTAGAGGCAGCGCTGGCACGGTGGGTGGTGCCGCTGCTGGGAGTGTGGCCGAGTCACTACGAGGCGTCGCTCAGTGCCGAGCTCCCGCGATGGCTGGCGAGCGGGCTTGCTGGTGCAGTGGAGAATCTCGGCGAGGCGGAGATGAGCTCCGAGCAGCTTGGGGAGTGCGTGTGTCAGGTGTTGGCACAAGTGCACGCCGTCGTGGCATCACCAGCGTACCTGGCGAGCTGGGACGATCGGGCCGCGGTCCTGCTGGGCGTGGCATACGTGGAGGTGCCTCAGTCTGCGGCGGCGATCCACGATGCGCGGCTGAGCGAGGCGGCGGCGGCACTGGGCGCAGCACCTCGCGGCGAGGAGACGCTGCTTGGAGGCGATGTTGCGAGACTCGTCGAACAGCTTGAAGCACTGGCGTTGCTGCGCGGACTTGATGTCGTGCTCTCGCCGTCTGCATTTGGGCGGACAGCCCGCGACGGGGCCGACGGTAAGGCGGTGGCGAAAAAGGCAGTGGCGAGTGCGGTGCGACGAAGCGGCGGACGGAGCCGTGAGCAGCTCGCTGCGGTAGAGACTGTGGCGGATGTGTGCGGGGTGCTGTTTGGAGATCTCCTGGGTCGGGAGGAGGTGTACCGGCTGGCGGTGGCGACGCTTCTCGGAGAGGCACAGTTTGACAGCGTGTCTGCGCTGGCGAGCAAGATTCCGGGACATGTTCTGGAGGGCCTCGTGCTCGAAGTGGCGCGCGAGTGGTTCAACTCGGCGGCAGCTCTGGACGATGTGGCGGTGCAGCATGCGCGACGGGCGCTGCAGCTCCTCCCAGGGCCGAGCGGCGATGCGCGTCAGGCGGGCTGCTCTGCGGTGGAAGCTGAGCTGAAGCTGATCGAGGCTGTAGAGCTTGTGGACTCGTATGGTGTGCCGGTAGTGCCGCTGCAAGTGCGACTTGCACAGCCGGTTGAGCTCATTGGGCAGGTGCTGGCGTCCAAGCCGACGGCGCATCGCGACCCAACGGCGGTGCTGCGGCTGGCAAAGCGGCTGGGGCTCGACGACAACGAAGACCAGGCACGGGTTAAGGTTGTGATTGGCCAGTCAGCGCACGCACAGGGCTCGTACGGGGTGGCTCTTCGACTTGCGCGCGAGCTGCGCGACGGCGGTCACGAACGCGAGTTTATCGAGCTGGCGCTCCCCTTGATCTGCGATGGCGAGTGGACTCTGTATCGCGAGCGGCTAGAGCTTGGTCGGGCAGCGCTGGCCGGAGCCGACGGCAATTCGCTGGTGGGGCTTCTGGAGACGATTGGGAGCCTGGAGGTCCAGGCTGCGGTGGTGGAGGCGTTGGGTGAGAAAGCTGCGGGACGTGAGCGAGAGATCGGCGGCGAGGCAAGCGGGCTCTCGCTGAAGCGATTGTCGAGTTCTGCGGCACACGCGGCGTCGTTTCTGCGATCGCGGGTTGTTGCGAGCAGCAGCGAGGAAGCTGGCAGCGGCGAGCCGGCTGTGGTCGTGCCTGACGGCGTGGCAGATGCTGTGCAGTCGTTGTGGCGAGCGCTCGACCGGCCGCAGTGGCACGGCGCACTGGAGCGACGGCTCAAGTCGTGGATGGGCGAGCTGCCGCACCAGCCGTGGGTGTACGCATTGTACGAGGGCTTTGCGCGGCGGCCACAGACGCCGCTTCTGGCGTATGGTGGCGGGCCTGGCCAGGGAGTTGTGCCGCGGCTGATGGAGATGTACCTGCATGCGGCGGCACTGTGTGGCGGTGAGGCGTTTGAACAGGCTGTTGTCCGTGCCGCGCCTGCACTGGCATGCTCTGACGTGGTGCTTCTGACGGCGATGCTGGCGTGCGTGCCGCGTGCTGTTCAGGATGCTGCGGTGGCCGGCGTTGTGGAGCTGGCCACGGCTGCTGACGCACCTGCAGGATCGCTTGCAGTGCTGCGGGGCTACCTGACGGCAGCGAGCGTGTGTGGTCTGGGGCGCAAGGCACTGCAGAGCTCAGTGGATGAGGTGATTTCGGCACTGGCGGCGACGACCGAGACCGCTGCGCTGGGACGCGAGCTTGAAGAGGCCTGCACAGCCGATAAGCTGAGAAGGGTACTCGAGGCTCATGGGGTGAGAGCCACAGCTGGTAGTATGCGCGAGGCACTGCTTGCGCTCGCCCGTGACGACGACAGCGTGGTGGCGGCACTGGAGCTTGCGGCAGAGCATGGCGTAGCTGATGTGGCCGGCTTTGCGCACGATGTGCTGGCGGCGCGGCTTGCTGAGTGTCTAGCGCTGGCTCGGGGAGGTCGCGTGGAGGAACTCCGGGCACGGGCCGCCGCATGCGTTGAGGCTTACCGTGGCGCGCTGGCGCAAGTAGCCGAGCGAGGAGCTGTTCTCGACGCTGTGGTGTCGTGCGGTGAGGCGAGCGCAGCTGCGCGAGGAGAGGAGGGCGCTGTGCTGTGCCCGATGTGGCTGCTGCTGTTTGTGCTTGGAATCGAGGCTGCCGGCGAGGATGCTGCTACGTATGGCGGGCGGCTCCTCGGGATTGCGGCCAGCCAATGGGCGGATCACGTGGAGGGTCTGAGACTGCTTGCACTCGAGATGCCACGGGCCGACTACGGGCTGCTTGTTGAGGCGGAGTCTGGCGAAGGCGCAGTGGCTTCGGTGCTTCTTCGGTGGCTCAATGTGCGGAATGTGGGCGCGATTGCTCGCGGCGGGCCGAGTCTTGTTGTGGGCGCGCTGGGACGCGGAGCGGTGAGCCGATCGCTTGTGGTGTTTGCGGCGCTCGACCGCGTGCTGTGTGGCAGCAACGGGGCGGCGATGGCGCAGCACGTGGGCGCGCTCGGGCGAGCTGTACCGCTGGAGTGGGTGTCAGACGAGCACGCTGGACTTGTGGCGCAGGGAGTGGCGCGAGGGGCGCCGTACATGGGCAGAGCAAGCCGCGAAGAGCGGGTCCGGGTGCTGCATGCGCTGGGCGCCGGGCTGGGTAACGAGCGCGGCTTTGTTGCACGAGAGCTGGCGCTCCATGTACAGACAATTTTGCGGATCGAGCGAGCCGCGAGTTTGCAGTGCGTGCGAGCGCACCTGAGCGCGCTAGACGCCAGTGCCGGGAGCAGCGAGGCGCTCTACGCGGCACTGATGACAATGATTGTGGGCGGAGTGGCGTATGGAGCTGTGATGCGGGTGGCAGCAGCGTTTGGGCTCGGTATGGAGGCCGGCATGCTGTTTGCGAGTGCGTTCAAGTCTGGAATCCGAAGCACAGCGGTGGATGTGAGCGAGTTGCTGCTCGCGCTTGCAACTGTTGCTGACGACGCACCGCGTAATGTGCTCGCCGGTGTTGTGGAGGCCGCGCGCGAGTGCGTGAGTGACGCCGAGGTTTCCGATGAGCGGCGAGCTGTGGCGGCAAGCATTGTGGCGGAGCTTGAGCAGGCAGTGGCTGAGGCCGATGCTGCAGCGTGGGATGGCGGGGCATGGGAGAGCGCAAGTGTCGATAGCGAGTGGAGCGGTGGCGATGTCGACGAAAGTGTGGTGTTTGGGCTCGACGACTGGGGCGGCGGCTCTGCGTCCGACGGCAGCGACGCATGGGCGAGTGGCGAGGACGGCGAAGGTGATGCCTTTGTCTCTGTTCCGACGTCCCCCGCCGGGTTGGCGGGTGGAGGTGGCTGGGACCTGGGGTCTGTGTCGGGTGATGGCGACGGCTGGGACATGGGATCTGATGATGGATGTGTTGTTGAGGCTGCACCCCAGTTTGTCGCAGCAGCGCCTGTTGTCGACGTCGCGTCTGATGATGGCGAGGGCTGGGACTTGGGGTCTGATGGTGGGTTTGTCGTCGAGACCGAGGCCGCACCCGAGGCCACACCCGAGGCTGCAGCCGTGTTTGCCGCAGCAGCGCATGTTGTCGACGTCGCGTCTGATGATGGCGAGGGCTGGGACGTGGGGTCTGATGATGACTTTGTCGTCGAGGCCGCACCCGAGACTGAAGCCGTGTTTGTGGCAGCTGCGCCTGTCGTCGACGTCGCGTCTGATGATGGCGAGGGCTGGGACGTGGGGTCTGATGATGACTTTGTCGTCGAGGTGGAGGCGGCACCCGAGCTTGTCACGCCTGAGGCTGCATCCGAGGCCGCACCCGAGGCCGCACCCAAGTTTATCACGCCTGCGCCTGTCGTCGACGTCGCGTCTGATGATGGCGAGGGCTGGGACATGGGGTCTGACGACGACTTTGTCGTCGAGGCCGCACCCGAGACTGAAGCCGTGTTTGTGGCAGCTGCGCCTGTCGTCGACGTCGCGTCTGATGATGGCGACGGGTGGGACGTGGGGTCGGATGACGACTTTGTCGTCGAGGCCGAAGCCACACCCGAGGCCGCACCCGAGGCCGCACCCGAGGCTGCACCCGAGCTCATCACGCCTGCGCCTGCCGTCGACGTCACGTCGGGTGATGGCGAGGGCTGGGACATGGGGTCTGACGACGACTTTGTCGTCGAGGCCGCACCCGAGACTGAAGCCGTGTTTGTGGCAGCTGCGCCTGTCGTCGACGTCGCGTCTGATGATGGCGAGGGCTGGGACGTGGGGTCTGATGATGACTTTGTCGTCGAGGTGGAGGCGGCACCCGAGCTTGTCACGCCTGAGGCTGCATCCGAGGCCGCACCCGAGGCCGCACCCAAGTTTATCACGCCTGCGCCTGTCGTCGACGTCGCGTCTGATGATGGCGAGGGCTGGGACATGGGGTCTGACGACGACTTTGTCGTCGAGGCCGCACCCGAGACTGAAGCCGTGTTTGTGGCAGCTGCGCCTGTCGTCGACGTCGCGTCTGATGATGGCGACGGGTGGGACGTGGGGTCGGATGACGACTTTGTCGTCGAGGCCGAAGCCACACCCGAGGCCGCACCCGAGGCCGCACCCGAGGCTGCACCCGAGCTCATCACGCCTGCGCCTGCCGTCGACGTCACGTCGGGTGATGGCGAGGGCTGGGACATGGGGTCTGACGACGACTTTGTCGTCGAGGCCGCACCCGAGACTGAAGCCGTGTTTGTCGCAGCTGCGCCTGTCGTCGACGTAGCGTCTGATGATGGCGACGGGTGGGACGTGGGGTCGGATGACGACTTTGTCGTCGAGGCCGAAGCCACACCCGAGGCCGCACCCGAGACTGCACCCGAGGCTGCACCCGAGTCTATCACGCCTGCGCCTGTCGTCGACGTCGCGTCTGATGATGGCGACGGGTGGGACTTGGGGTCTGATGGTGGGTTTGTCGTCGAGGCCGAAGCCACATCCGAGGCCGCACCCGAGGCTGCACCCGAGTTCATCACGCCTGCGCCTGTCGTCGACGTCGCGTCTGATGATGGCGAGGGCTGGGACGTGGGGTCTGACGACGACTTTGTCGTCGAGGTCGCACCCGAGTCTGCACTCTCACCCTCGCCCTCACTCACCACAGCAGCACCACCAACTGCCGCCCACCCTACCCAGGGCGCAGCCATTCCACAGCCCCTGCCTCCGCACGCACTGGAGCTACAGCTGGCCCGTATCCAAGAGTTACGCTCCGCCGGTGTGCCTGACACCACCGTAACTGCGCTGGTACATGGCGCAGCGGCAACGTCCGAAGACCCGGCGTCGCTCTGGCGCCTCACGGTCATGATGCTGCCAGATGCTGCTGTTGTGGACGCCTTTGCCCGCTTTGACTCACTTCGCGACGCGCTCGATCATGACGAGACTTCATTCTTGGTCACTACCCGCCTCGACGTGCCCGAGCCGGCCGTCCAGCGCGCCGCTCTCTGCGTGGCTCTGCTTTCGGAAGACCACCGCGTCCGGACGGTGGCGCTGGACTGGTTGAGCACGGCAGAGCTGGTGCCCGACGACGCACTCATTGCACTGCTGCTGCGGACGTCCCAAGTGCCTCGGCTGGCGGTGACCAACGCACCGATCTTGCGCGCGGTCCTCAACCGACTGGGTTCTCCGCCACCGCATCCCGACCCATGGGCTGCTGCCACCTCGTTGCACCTCCTCCCGGCCGCGATGGCCTGGTCGCTACCGTATGTTGCGGCGTCGCTGGTCGCCAACTCGTTGCCAGATCCAGCCGCCGAGCTGCTCGGGGTGCCACCAAGCAGTCTGCGGGCCCGCCTACAGGCCGAACTCGTCGCCTGCGATCCGTACGACCCCCTGTTTATCGGCCTGGGCGACGTCCTCGAAGGTGCACTAACGTGTCTCCCCTGAGCTCTCATACGCGTACGAGTACGATGAGTAATACGAGCTGCCCCGCGCCGCCTCGGAGAGCTCCGAAAGCAGGTCCGAGCTCACGGCGGCAAGCTCGTCCAGCTCGATGGCACTCGAACCGTCGAAACTGTCTGCATAGCTCGAGGTGTAGTACGAGGCGACCGAGTCGCTCGATGCTCCCAAGTCGAGCTCGCGCGGCGGGAGATCGTCGGCGGAGGTGGTCGACGACACCGCTGTCGACGACGACGCTGAACTCATGACCGGCGAGACAGGGACAACCATCGGCGGCGGCAGGTCTTCGCTCGCTTCGATGTCGTCGGTGAGGCCCTCGGCCTCGCGGGCGATGGCAATGGCCACCACGTACATCAGCACATCCTTAAAGTACACCCCCGACGGATGCGGCTGCGAGCAAAACCACGGGAGCGTCACGCCACAGACCTTCATCGACTCGCCGACGCCGTGGATCCGAAGGCCGGCCTCGGCGACAGCCGCCAGCGCCGACGCCCGCGACTTGGGTCGGCCTCGTCCCACGGCTCCGAGTAGGCCACCGGCAACCGCTGCATGACCAGAATGAGGTCCTGCGGCGTGACGTACTCCGTCGACTCGGGATCCGAAGCCGCCCATGACCGCTTGAACCGTTTGATGACCCGCAGCTTTTGCGGCGGAATGACGGCGTTGTCCGCAAAGTTCTCCATCACCACCGCAATGAACAGGTTGAGCATGACAAAGGTGCCAGTGAGCGCAAACGAGATGAAGTAGAGCGAAGCCCACGACGAGCCACAGTTGTCGGCCGCGGGATCGCACTGCGGCGGCTGCAGCTGCGCCGCCCGCATCACTTCCGCCCAACCATCCGTGGTCGCCACGCGGTAGAGCGTGAGCAGCGCGTAGTCAAACCGCGAGAAAGAGGCACGCGGCGAGAAGCCCGGCTCGCCCGGCGCCGTGGCGACGCGGACACGACCAAAGAGCGAGACGCCCAGTAGCGCATAGACAAAGAAGACGACGCCGACGAGCGCGCCGATGTTGAAGAGCGACGGGAGTGAGTGGAGGAGTGTCTTGAACAGGCGGTTGAGCGTCTGGGTCCGCTTCGCCAGCCGGAACAGCCGCCCGACACGGAGGACTCGGACAGTTGGTGGGGCCACACCCGATCGCAAGGCGAGGCCGAGGAGAGAGAGAGCGACAACAGCGGCGTCGAACCGGTTCCATCCGTCGCCAAGGTAGTAGGTCGGCCCCCAGGCAGCGACCTTGAGTACCAGCTCGAGGGTAAAGAGAATGACAAACACGACATTGGCGACAAACAGGGTGTCTGTCACCTCGCTCGGCTGCTGGTAGTGTGCGATGGTGAGGATGATGCCGTTGAGCAAGATGGCGGCCACGACACCGACCTCAAACAGCGGTGCCGAGACAAGGCGATACGCTTCGAACCGGAATGGGTTGGTTGGCACCGCTGGCGGCGGCCGCTCCGGCTGGGTCGCCTCAAGCACGCGCTGGGTGAGGATAAGTTTGCGCTGTGCAGGCGTGACCAACGACCATAGGCCCGGTGTGGCCATAGATGCCAGCCGGCCCGAGCCAAGCGCAGTCCGGCGGTAAGTCATCTGGTTGAGGTGGTCGAGGACAACGCCGATGTAGAGGTTGAGGACAAAGAGAGAGCCAAAGACAATAAAGGCAATAAAGTAGATGGCTGCAGCCGGCTTGCTCGACGGCGATGGCTGGAGGTCGACCGAAGTCGCGTCGGTGCCCGAGCGCATGATGTCTGCCCAGCCGTGGAGCATCGAGACCTCAAAAAGAGTGAGCATGGCCTCGCCAATGTTGTCGAATGAGTACGGCGCGTTGGCCCAGACTCGCGGAATGGCGGTACCGGCAAGCAGCGTGCCGTTGGTCACCACTGGGTCCGGGTCAAAGGCGCCGACGCACTCTGCGCGCCCAGCAACAGACGGATCATTGCAGGCGTAGAAGAGGCCTTTGAAGAGTGTCACGCCCATGATGCCAAACATGAGCCAAAACACAAGGGTAATGACCACAATTTGTAGCATCGACGGCACCGCGTTGGAGAGCGCAGTGACCACCAGCCGGAGCTTGGCCGAGCGGATGACAAGCCGGAGCGGACGGAGAGCACGGAAGCCACGCAAGCCCCGGAGCACGTTGCCGAAAGGAAGGCCAAGCCAGGCAAGGGCGACGACGGCAGCATCTACACGGTTCCAGTTGTCGCGGAGGTACGCGTACTCGGCCCACCACACGCCGTACACCACCATCTTGGCGAGAACCTCGGCGGTGAACAGAAGGAGAAAGCCCCAGTCTTGCAAAAAGATGGCTCGCCCGAGCGGCGACGCCGAGTCGACCGCCGGGTGGTCGAGCGCCATGAACACGCAGTTGAGCACGATGCACACGTTGATGAACGGCTCGAACCATGGCGCAGAGACAATCGAGTGAAGCCAGACTCGGATCCACGACCGCCGCGAGAGAAAGCATGCGTAGCCAACCAGCGGCAGACCCGAGCCGCGCTTGCGTGGATGTGCGGAGCGCTCGCGCGAGGCGGCGCGCTCGCGGGCATGGGCCTCACGCCCGCCGCGCGGGACAAGGAGCTCATTCTTGACAAGGACTAGCCGCGATGCGGCGTCGGGGAGGCGGCGGACCCGGCGCTTGCGGCGCTTGCGGCGCGGCGCGTCGGCGCCACGCGAGAGCGGTGACCGCATCGACGGGCCGGATGGATCAAGAACCGACGGGTCCGGCGGCGGCTCGACGGCGTGGTCGTGGGCGATCGTCCCGCTGGCTTCCAGTTGTTCGCGGAGCTGCTGCGCCTGCCATGCCCGCTGATGCGAGCGCATGGACATAGCATAGCCCGAGTCGTCGAGTGCCACACCAAGCCTACGGTGGACAGGGACCGAGGATGCGGCGGCTGCAGCCTCGGTCTCGGCCGCGTCCTGCGCGTACGGGTCGGCCGAGGGCGGGAGTGGGTGCTTGCTAGCAGCGATGGCGCTGACGACCGAAGCTGGTTTGGGCTTGGGTGGTGCGGCCGTGAACATCTTGACGGTGGCCAGCCGATGGAGCTCGGCCGAGTTGGCGTGGTCGATCTTCTGCTGGCGGAGTTTGGCGAGGTCGCTGTAGCTGGGGATGGGCGCAACCTGGAAGGCCTCGGCCTTTTCGGGGGTAAACCTGGAGGCGTTCTTGGACCGCAGCTGCCAGCGGAGTGACGACGACCGCGGGCGGGTCCTGGTCTTGGCCCCACTCCACTGCTGGGCCGCGCGGCTTGCCTCGGCAGAGGCGCGGAACATGGCAGTGCGGAGCGAGTCGCCGCCGGGTGACGGCGACGCCGAGTCAGAGCTACGCTCACTGCCGACGGCGGCGGTTTCGGCGGGAGTCTGCGGCGTGGGCGGAGAGGGCGCGGCTGTCATCGAGGCCGGGACGGCGGGGAACGGAATGCGGCCTTGTGGCGGCGACGGCGGGTCCGGAAGCTGGGGTGTGGGCGTGCGCGGCTGTTGCTTGGCAGCGGTACCGGTCGAGCCCGAGTCCTGCGTGACGAGTGAGGAGAGCGAGCCTGCAAGTGGGTCGTCGGGCGAGTATGGGTGGGTAAAGTAGTGGAGGATGACGGCGAGGAAGAGAAACTTGAGGATGATGGAGACTGCGGTGAGGGCGACAAAGTAGATGGCGCCGACCACAGTGGTCGTGCGCATGCCTTCGTAGAGCAAGTCTGATGAGCGGTCACCGGTAAAGGTCTGAAAGACGGCGACAAACGACCAGTAGAGTGTGTCAAAGTTGGCACGTCCAGGCTGGGCAGAGTACGAGCCGCCAAACAACTCCATGCCGACAATGGCAAAAATGAAGAGGAGAAGGAAGAGGAGGACGGCAGTGTACGAGACGGCGGCGATGCCGGAGGTGACCGTGTCAAGGAGGCGTCGCAGCGAGGAGAGGCGGTTGACAAATCGCATGACGCGAAGGATGCGGACGACGCGGAGGAGGCGGACGACGCGGAAGACCGAGATGGCCGACGACCAGCCAAGAGCAACTTCGAGGATGGAGAGGGCAACGACGAGCGAGTCAAAGACGTTAAAGTAGTCCTTGCCAAACTGGCGCGGGCCGAGACCGACGATGCGGATGGCAAGCTCAATGGCAAAGAGGACGATGAAGAAGACGTTAAAGGCATCGAGCCAGTCCTTGAGCGCCGGCGACATGCCATGATGCTCGGCGGCGAGGACGACGGTGTTGAGAAGGATGAGGGCAAGGACGGTGAAGAAGAAGGTGGGCGAGCGGACAACGGCATTGAGCTGCACGATCCAAGCAGGCTTGCCCTCCAGCCACGTGGTGTTGTCTGCGACGCGGCGCGCGTCGGCCACAATGGACCAGCCGCGTTCGAGCGAGGCGGCGCGTTGGGTCGGTTGCGGCTCCGAGGCCTGGCTGCGGATGCTCGGCGCGGCAAAGGCAGCGGCGAGGACGCCCGCGGCGACGCCTGTTTGCGAGGCCTGGCGGCGGATGGAGCGTGCGCGGTCGGCAGCTGCGGCAACCTCTTCTTCCTCGGCGGTGATAGTGAATGACTCGGTGAGGATGGCGAGGAAGAGAGTGACGGCAAAGAACGAGAGCAGGAGTGTAAAGGTGACAAAGTAGAGCCACACCCACGGCGAGACGGCGTCCTGTAGCGAGTACATGAGGGCGGACCAGCCGTCGAGGTTGAGAACGTTCCAGAGGACGATGACAGCGACGCCAAAGTGGTCAAACGACTCAAAGCCGTGTCCCGGATTGGGACCGGCGGCGGTGCAGACGTAGTCCGGCGGGCAGGAGAGGCCGGCGGTATTGTCAGCCAGGCCACAGAGGCGGGCAGTGAGCGGGGCGAGCTCGCCGGTGGAAGCGTGCACGCATCGCTGGCGGAGGGCGCCGCCGAAGAGTTGCACGCCCATGATGCCGTAGATGGCGATGAAGAAGAGGAGGAGGACAGTGGCATCAAAGAGGCCCGGTAGCGAGACGATGACCGAGCGGACGAGGGTGCGCGGGCCGCGGAACCAGCGGATGGTGCGGAGAGTTCGAAGCGGGCGAAAGACGCGGAGGGTGCGGAGGGCGGTGACGTTGGAGCCGGCGAGAATGGGCAGCGCCATGAGCGAGAGGTAGCCGAGGCAAACAATGGTAAAGTCAAAGACGTTCCATCCGGAGCGGAGATAGGCGTGATGGTGAGCAAAGGCGCCAAAAGCGAGTATCTTGAGCATCATCTCCAGGGTAAAGAAGGCCATAAAGGTGAGCTCGGCCACATCGAGCACGCGGGTCTTGGTGGAGCTTGGGTCATCGCTCGGAGTAGACGCCGAGATGAAACCAGTGTTGACGACAATAACAGCAAGGACAAGGTAGGTGAACCACTGGGCGTCGACGATACGGATGGCAGTAGCCCGGAGCGAGGAGTTGATGGTGAAGAAACCAAGAGCCCGCGAGGTGTACACCCCCTCGTTGCCTTCCAAGGTTGGATACTCTTGCACGACTTGCGGCTCGACAAACGAAACGAGCTGTTTTCGAGGAGGAAGTCTTGTTGATCCCAAAGGGCGACGAAAGGGAGAGCGAGTACCCAGCGATGACTCTAGCCTCGCTTCCTCATCAGCATTAGCCTTCATCTGAGCCAGCTTTGTCTTCCAGTGTGCTCTCCTCCGCATGGTTGTCTCATCCATCACACTCCCCCCCGTGCTGTCGATGGCACTGCCACCGATACTATTGCTGCTGCTGCTGCTACCACCGGCAATGATGTTGCCACTGCCACCAGCACTGCCACTGCTGCCGTTGAGAGTGCTGATCCTCACCATGGGCCTGGGCTTGTCGGCCTGCTCAGCCTCCACTCGCTCGCCACTTGGACGGCCACTGCGCCTGCCATGCCCGTCACTGCTGGACATAGGTACGTGTGTGTGTGTGTTGGGGGGGGGGGGGGGGTTGGGTTGGGTTGGGGTTGAGGTTGAGTGAGGGTTGGGTGGGGTGGAGTGTTTTATGTGTATGTGTGTATGTGTATGTGTATGTGTGTGTGTGTGGGTGGGTGGGTGCGGAGTGACCGACTCCCACACCACAAGTGCGGCAGGTTGACACAGCTTTGGGGCAAAGCGGGCAAAGCTGCCACACAGCGCCTGACGACCTTGTTTGCTCAATCGGTTGATCGATCGATCATTCACTCGTTCGATCGATCATTCACTCGTTCGATCGATCATTCACTCGTTCGATCGATCATTCACTCGTTCGATCGATCGTTCGCTGGTTCGCTGGCTGAGCGGCAAGCGCTACCAACCACACAGGTTCTGTTGCTCATTATGGCGATCAAGTCTGATATTGTAATTCTACCACCATCCCTACTTGATCATATGTTCTACCCCATGATGTTTTTACCTCATTCGGCACTCTTTGAATGCATCAAATGTCCGCGATCTCCATACCCTCCCACCCGATGGGCCATAGAGGGCGTGCGAGTGATGGATGGATGGATGGATGGATGGTTGGCGAGAGAGAGAGAGAGCGAGAGAGAGCCACGTGGTCGGTAACACTACTCTGGTGGACGGGAGATCCACGAGGGAGATATAGCCACAATCCTGATACCTTCATCTACACATTCCTCAATCTGTTATCAGCCTTGTGTCTCTACATCTGCTCCTCTACACCTGCTTCTGCTCGTCCGGTCGCTGTCTCCTTGCCCTCTCTTTGGTTTGTTTGATTGAACGCTCGCCGGATCGTCTGCTCGCATCGCATCGCATCCACGGCACGCTCTCGATCCCGTACCGCGCACGCTCTCGATCCCGTACCGCACACGCTCTCGGTCCTGCGCGTGGCACACTTTTGATTCTAAGCTTTGCACAGCGTCGCTTACGCATCCCGTGCACGCTCGAATCCGCCGCGCATTCCGGTCCTCACAGGCTTGTTCTCGCGACTCGGCCAAGGACACACGCGCCACACCTGATCGGGCACTTGTCGTCGGCCTGACCTTGTCTTGGCTATGGACTTACCAAATGGGGGCCTAACAGGCCTCTCAGCAACATCGCAGGCAACTGACTCGACCTCGGGTGCGTCGTCGAATCAACTGCCGGCACCACCGGTACTCGGCGTCTCGCCGTCAGCTCGGCGGACCGAAGCTGTGCCGATGAACGTGGCTGCCGCCGACGAAGTTGCGTCGGCGGCGTCGGTCAACTCGCAGCCGCTGTTTGGTTCAGAGCTGGCGCGTGCTGCGGGTGCGCCACGGCTCGTTCTCGATCTCGACGCCTCGGCCCCGACTGGGAGCGTTCCTTTGCGCGGCGTGGAGCCGACGCAGGAGGAGAGCTCTGACGACGACGAGACCCAGATTGGCATGGCGGATGAGACTCAGGAGACCCAGCCAACCACTGCAGCCCCTGGCGCGCGAAAATCCGTCCTCAAGCGCGCGTCGGACGTCCTGCCGGCCAGCCGCTCCACGGTCATCCCGTCGTCGGCATCGCCGCCGAGTGTTGCCGCCCGCACCCGCCATACGGCGGGCGAGACCGCGTCACCGCGCGAGACGGCATCGCCGCAGACCTCGCCGCTTGAGCTCACCCCGCATCCAGAGAGCGGCAAGGACGCTTCGAGTGAAGAGTCCAAGTTTGGCGCCGTTGTGTTCTCGACCTCGGCCGCAGGCTCGGGCTCGCAGTTGACATGGGGCGAGACGTCGCACGGCGTGCCGCCGTCGCAGGACTCGTTCTCGCAGGACTCGTTCTCGCTCGCTGTAGCTTCAGCAGAGCCGGCAAGCGGTGAGCCGAGTAAGGAGGCTGCGGCAGATGTGGCAAGCCAGCGCCCCAACTCCGCAGCCATCGCCCATCTTCAGGGCGCGCTCGCCGCCTCGCACACGACGCTGAGTCCTGCGCAGGCTGCAGAGCTGGCCGGCACGGCCCGGACACTCGCAGCGCCGGGCCACGCGCAGCGGTCGCCGGTCGACATCGGCTCGGACGATGACGACGCAACCCTCCCGGGCGCGCCGCTTGCATCTGGATCAGGCAAGGAAGGGTCGCTGGCGACGCAGACGACACAGGCAACGCCGGCGACGCTTTTGCAGACGCCGCCGCGGCATCCCGGCAGCGGCTCGTCGTTTGAGACGCCGACCAAGTCGGTGGCGTCGGCGGCATCGGCGCTTGAATCTTTGGCGGTCCTCGCCGCGCGGCAGCCATCGCCGTCGCCGGTTGTCTCGCTCGGCGCGTCGGCGGCGGCACATCTCGACACCAGGCGGGCGCGCGCAGGCTCGCCCATGCAAGTCGTGGTCGCCGGGGAGGCACGGGCGTCTCCGTCCAACTTTCGGTTCATTCCTCCGCCGCGCGAACGGCGACGGCCGTCGCCGTCTCCGTCGCCTTCAGCCCATCTTGGCCTTGCGCTGCTGGAAGCCTCTGCCGCGATGGCGCTCGAGTCGGGTGGGAGCCCGTCGTCGCGTCCGCGCCGCCGGTCACTCGAGACCGGGCGCGCGCTCACTGCCACACCGCCACCGGTCAGCTCGCGAGGCGGACGCTCGCGTTCCAAGGTGGTCAGCTCGCGGCGCAAACGGTCGTCGTCGACGACTGCACCGGTGCGGGCGCGGGCGCGGGCGCGATCGTCCGAGGCCGAGACCGAGTCGCCTGCGCAGAGCTGCGCTCATTGTCGGGCGACCAAGACCTCGCAGTGGCGGCGGAACAAGCTCGGCGCGTCGCCGATCTGCAATGCCTGCTACGCGCACACACTCACTCACAACGCACTCCCGCCACTCGATGCCAACGGCAACCGCATCTACGCCTCAGGCCGCAAGCCCAAGTCGAGCGGAAGCAACAGCAAGCGCAAGCGATCGCCGAGCGCGGGCAAGGGCCCGGCGAGTGACGCACCGGCGGCCAAAAAGCGCAAGTCTACCAAGCGCGCCGCAAGCACCGAGGCCGAGCGCCCGGCGGGCATCCTCGGTGGCTTCACCTGCCTGGTCACCGGTCTCGACGACGTGTCTGCGGTCGAGACTAAGGCCTCGGTCGTGGCCGCGATCAAGGGCAACGGTGGGCGGCTGGCGTCGTCGTTCCCGGACTCGGTCGTCAACGCGCCACCCGAGTCAGACGCAGACCCTCGGTCGGTGGCCCGGACCGGGCTCGTTGTTGTGTCGGACCGCCCGCGGCGGACCCACAAGTACCTCATTGCGCTTGCCGTCGGCACCCCGACTGTCCACTATCGCTGGATCCTTGACTCGGCCGGAGCTGGAGAACTCCTCCCGCTCGGCTCGTACACCATTGCCTCGGGCTACTCGCTGGTGACCAAGACCGAGTCAGCCGCCAACGTCCTTGCCCTCCAGCACAGGGTTTTCCGTGGCCTGCAAGTTGCCGTCCACGGATCGCCCAAGTTTATCACATTCTGGGAGCACGTCATCCGCAGCGCTGGCGGCGCGCTGCCGAGTCCGGCCGGCCGCAAGCAGATCCACGCCATGCTTGACAAAGTCCGCCAGGCGCTCAGTGCCAAGGCTGCCGCTTCCTCTGCAGCAGCAGCTGCTCTCACAATCTCGCCGTCGCAGCCGGGCGCTGCCGCCAGCAGTGAGGCGGAAACGGGATCGTCGACGTCACGCTCGTCGCGCCGGCTGCGCGCTCGCAGGAGCTCGGCGTCCAAGGACGACGAGCCGCTCGCCGCCGTGTCGAAAGTGCCAGCGTCGACAAAGGTTGAGACCACTGCCAAGGCCGAGGGGCAAGTTATGCTCGATGCTGGTCAGGTTGACGTGGCAAAGGCGTTCGAGTCGGTCGCCTGGGTCGTGACGGATATCCGGCCCGAGGCGGCGCTGGTTGAAGCGACACGGCTGGCAGGCATTGCGCTTGTCTCGTTTGAGTACGTCATCCAGTGCATCATCAACCAGCGAGTCCTTCCGCCGGATCTGCACCGCAAGTTCCACTACGGGTATGTTCCATCCAATGTGCGCAAGAACTCTGCAGTGTGAGTTGAGTGGGGCGGCTAGAGCGCAGCAAGCGCGACGTCGCCGCCGCCACATTCACCTGCAAGCTCTTTCGGCTTGTCCGAAACGACGAGCTCGAGGTTGCGCTTCTTGCCGTGCTGGCCGAACCGAAAGTGAATCGGGAGCGTCGGGTTGTGGGGAAAGAGACAGACGAGCGACGAGAGGGTGAGAGAGAAAATGGCGGCGACGGTGGCAAAGACATCGAGCGCGCCGTAGGTGACTACTTCGGTGATGAGCGATTCCTCAAGGTCAAATGAAAAGGCGTTGAGCTCGATGGCAAACGAGACGCCGCGGAGACCGTAGATGGCCTTTTGGGGATTGCGGTCAACGCCAAACGGCCGCACCGTTCGCGCGGTGAGAGGAAATGTGGTTGTCTCGCGGCCTTTGAGGTCGCGATGAGTGCGGATGCCTAGCGAAAGAAAAGCCATACCAGTTGACGGAATAGCCACCGATTGGATGGCGGCGATCGAGTTGAGCGACGGCCGGATGTTGGCGAGCTCCGAGGAGCGGCCGCGGAGGGTAAAGAGGCCGTACACCTCGGTCACGCCGCAGAACGTCGCATTGGCGGCACATGTCACCGTTTGACCCATGATCGAGAACGCATACAGAGTATCGTCGTCGACTAGGACGCCTGGCGGCTCGATGAGCGCGCAAGAGAAGCCTGCGAGGGTAAACGGCCTCGCGTTGCACGGGACGATGGTCGAGTTGTAGAAGTCAGCAACTGCTCCGGCGGCGTGCCTGCGTTGGCGGCCTCGACGACGCGTGTGGTGAATGTTTCACAGAGGAGCGAGGAAATGAGCATGGGCGAGAGGACATCGGGCGAGCAGATCAGCAGATCGAGCAGCGGTGCCGTGGTCCGTCGCCGAACCGTGGCAGCTGTGGCAGGCGACTCTCGTGCGTCGACCATGCGCTGGAGCGAGAACGAGAGCGTGACCACGTTGACGGTCACAAAGGCCAAGACCGCGATTGCAAATAGCACTCTATCCATAGGCTCGCTCAGCCACCGGAACGGCGACTTCATAGCTGGTCTGGCCGGGAGTGGGGTGCCAAGGCGTAGCCTTGCGGACGGCTTGTGCAAAGAAGTGGGTGAATTTGGGCGGTGGGGCAAGGTAGGTGGTGGGGGGTGGATTGCACAAAATATGGGGGTATGTACCGGGTAAGTGCCGAGCTACACATGACCGACGCAGGGTATGCAGATGTGGCGGGATGGTGGGCTGTTGGAAGCAATGGGGTGTTAGGGTGACGGGGAGTGGGGCGGGGGGGAAGAGGCTGTCAAAGGAGGAAGAGAGCCTGGGCGCGTGGGGGAGAGGAGTAAATATTTTCTTTGGTGCCCAACAGACGCTGCCGTGAAAAACGTGCTCCTCATGGAGTCTGGGTTCCGAGTCGGCGGGAAAGGGGAGGAGGCGTTTGTGGTGCTGGCATACTCGACGCGTGGAAGGGGACAGGTGGCGAATGCCTGGGGTGAGAGCATGCGGAAGGCGGTGGCCGTTCTCGAGCGACGACGTGTTGTATCCGTCGATGATCTCTGCACTGCTGCGTGTTGTGTGCGTGGTGCCGTTGGCCGTGCTATGCCATGTCCTGCTGGTGGCGCCGTCGGCGACGACGCGAGCCATGCGGACGCACTGCACGTCGTCGGGTGCTGGTGGGCGTTCGGTGACACCGTGGGAGCTGCTGGAAGCGTGGATAGTGGCATCGCTGGCGCTGTTTGCAATCTCGATGGCCTTATCGTTGTTTGCCGCGAGGCTGGCATGCAAGGGCTCTGTGCTCGATCCACACAATGCGCGGGGAGCCGTCCCGCCCGTCTTGGTCATGAAGGCCGGCGTGTTTGTGCTGGAGATGGGATCGGCGGGCATTGGCTCGTTTCTTGTGTGGGGCACGCGTGTGTTGCAGTGTGAGCAGATCAAGCCGTCGCTGGTGGCGCAGCTCCAGGGAACGATGGTACTGCTCTGGGTTGTGCTACTCCTCTCACTCTGCTTTACCTCGTGCGTGTACGTGTCGATGGGCGGGCGGAGAGCAGGCGGGCTGAGTGTAGACTCGTACCGCAAGCGGTGGGAGCGGCGGCTCAAGTGCATGGCATGCATTGCGCGCGGAAAGGAGGGCTACGAGCCGGATCTCTACGGCACGTCGTCCCTTGTCCTGCTCAAGCTTTTCTCGGGCGGCGATCATGACGTGGTGCCGTCTGATGTGGCTGCCGGGCTGGTCGCGCTGGCGCGGGACCAGCGGTCGAACGGGATTGACGTGTTGACGTCGAATCCGGCGTACCTCGCCAATGATGCGGATGCGCTCAACGGCCCGCCGCCCGAGGCCGAGCTCTCGCTTGAGGCTGCGGCGTACTTTGGGCGGTACTCGAACGCGAGCTACGGGTGGCCGCTGTACACGCTCGAGCGGATGACCAAGTGCTGTGGGTGCTGCCACGGGCCGTTCTGCCAGTGTGCGTGCATGTGCTCGGGGCGCCGCGAGGCGAAACAGTTTGCGCATGGCGTGGAAGGCGACAACTGCTGTGGGTACAACATCGGGGCGCTACATGCGAGCCTCCCACCTTTGATTGCGGCATCTGCGGAGCTGCTGCACGCCAACTACCGCAACGCGGTCTTTCAGCCGGCGTACTTTGTGGCGGTGGACAGGGCGCGGTCAACGGTGGTCATTGCCATCCGCGGCACGCTCTCGATGGAGGACACACTCACGGACGCGGTGGCGAGCGCGGTGGCTGTGCCGGAAGCGTTTGCGCCGCCGGTTCCGGGCCTGGCGCATGACGGCATACTGCGTGCAGCGGCGTGGGTGTACTCGGACGTGATGGAGCATGTGGCCGGGCTGGGAGATACCATCCGTGCCGCGCTGGCCGAGTTTGGCGAGGTTGGCTCGATGGTGGTTGTTGGGCACTCGCTCGGCGCCGGGACTGCGGCGCTTCTCACGCTCCGGATGCGGGCGGAGTTTGGGGCGCGGGTGCGATGCTTTGCGTACGCGTGTCCGGCGGTGATGACGCTGGAGCTCGCGCGGGCGTGCGCGCCATTTACCGTCACTGCGCTCCGCGGGTACGACCTTGTGCCGCGGCTTTCCGTGCGAAACACCTTTGAGCTGCGCGAGAATGTGATGCATGCGCTCCGGCGGGAGACGGCGAACAAGCACGCACTGCTGTGCGGATGTGCGCCGCTGTCGTCGTCGATGCGCGAGGGTGTGGCGCGGCCAGGGCTGGTCAACGAGAGCGAGGCACTGCTCTCGGTGCGGCCGATGCAGCGACCGGTACCGATTGTGCGGCCGAGAGCCGCGGCGGCTACGCTCCTACCTGGCATGGACGACGCCGACCTGGAGGGCCTTGGCAGCGCGCTGTACCCACCCGGACGTGTGTTACAAGTCCTGGCCGCTGCGAACAAGGGCGAGTACGATTACGGGTACGTCGACCCGGCGGCGCTGGACAAGGTGCTTGCGGGCAAGACGATGTTCCTTGACCATATGCCGTGGAAGCTCTTTGACGCGCTCGACACCCTCACATGAGCGGCAGGATTGAAATGCCTAGTTAGTCTTGCGGACCTTACCAATAAGGACGGTGATGTCGTCGGTCTTGTCGCCAGCGAGCGCCATTTCGGCCAGTACGTTAGCAATGGTGGCCGGGGAGCGAGACTCGTTGGAGAGGAGGGTCCGCGCGAGAATAGCGAGTGAGACATTGTCAAAGAGCCCGTCAGAGCCGACTACAACGATGTCGCCGTGGCGGATGTGGACCGAGGAGAGCTTGATGCGGTCGCAGACATCGGATTTGATAGAGACGGTGTATGGCTTGTCGACGCGACCATTGTGGCGCGAGATCCGCGAGCGGAAGACAATGCCCGGGACGGGTGCTGCGTGAGAGGAGGATGATGACGACGACGACGATGATGACGAGTAGCTGCCGTCGTTGTCGGATGTGTCTGACGTGTACGAGGTGTCGGTGTCCGAGCCCGAGCCGGACGAAAGGGGCGAGGAGGCGCCGGTGCCCGACGACGACGGCGAGGTTTCTGAATCGTCGACCGGCGAGCGAGAGCGCGAGCGCGAGCGGGATGATGAGGCAGCGGCGGCGGGGTGGACTGGGTCAGCGCGACGGGAGGCCTCAGCTTGGTCAAGGTGGTGCTTGCGAGCGAGCTGCGGGCGAAAGACAATGCACCTCGAGTCGCCGACCGAGGCAACAACTAGCTTGGCCCGAGCGCGGCGTGTGTCGGGGAGCCTGAAGGCGCCGACAGTAGCGGTGGACGAGCCGGGCCGCGAGAGCTGCCCATGGCCGTAGATGATGGCCTGATCCGGCTCGACCGGCGAGCGCAGCTCTGCGCAGCGCTTGGCATACGCCCAAGCAGACGAGCAGAGCGTAGCAGCGGCGCGATGTGCAGCGCCCTTGCCATACCTCCGATTCGATGACGAGACGCCGTCAAAGACGCCAAAGGCCTTTGCAGTCTTGGAGGTAAAGTGGTGATCATCACCGTGCTTGTTCTTCTTCTTGTGTTTTTTGTCAAAGGTAGCCGATCCGTACCGAATGGAGATGTTTGGAATCTCCGATGCGCCGCGCCTGTGACGAGGTGTCTCTGTGAGCAGGAGCTCATCCCCGAAGGAGGGGAGGGAGGGAGGGGGGGGGGGGGGGGTTGGCAGGGAGGCAGGGGGACAGGGAAAGAGGGAAGAGGAAGAAGGAATGGTGCGTACATGGGTGGTGGTGGTGGTGGGGAGGTGGCCGTGGGGAGGTGTGAAGGGCAGAGTGGAGAGTGGCGAGTGGTGTTGGTGTGGGCTGGCGAGCTGGCGGGAGGCTGGCTGTCGCACGCAATGGTCGTGCTGGCCGAGGCAGAGCATAGAGGGGCGGGATGGGTGGAGGTAGGCATGTTTCATCGGCACTGGGGCAGGTGCTTATTACGCGTCGGCGGTGGCGCCGTTGATGAGCGGGATGAGCTCGCCCTTGCGGGCAAGGTGTTTGAGCATGGCAACGATGAAGGGGACGTAGTTGTGCTTGCGGCGGATGTTGTCGAGCTGCCACGCGGCGTACTTGGCCTTCTCGGCCTGGATCTTGTTGATGAGGATGGTGATTTCATCCGGGAGCGAGGCCGCCAGGGCACGAAGGCCGGCGAGGTCGGCCGGAAGCGGCTCGCCGCCGTTGACGAGGCTCGGCGCGTCCGGGTCGGAGATGCGCGAGAGCTCGAGCTCCTCGGGGGTGACGGCGCCATAGGCCTCGATCATGGGCATATCGAGGCCATCAAGGGCACTGCCGTCGGTCGAGGCCTGCAGGGCGGCGGCGGCGGCGCGTAGGGTGGCCTTCTTGGCTACGATGTCCTCGCAGTAGAGGGTGCGGCGGTTCTTGACAACGGCCAGGAGGTTGAAGCGGATTTCGGACGAGGCGTACTTTTCGATGCGGGCAGCAATGACCTCGCGGGCCTTGGCAAGCCATGACTCGCCGACGGGGCCGTGGTTGATGGGTCCAGCCTGAAGGCCGTCGAGCTCGTACAGCGAGTCGCCGAACGGAATGTACGAGACAAAGTGGTAGACATCGTCCTCCTTTGTGGCACGGGCCGACTCCATCACAAACGGCTCCGGGCGGGCAAACGAGTTGTGCATCCGCTTGATGGTTTCCTGGTTGGAGAGAGCGAGGCCACGAAGCTCCGGGTCCATGCTCGCGGCAAAGTCCTTGTACTCTGCAAGAGTAGCCCCGACCTCGATCTGCGGCACGTTGAGAAGGACCGATATGATCGCCTGGGTTGCACACGCGTTGTTGATGACCTGCTTGGCAAAGAACAAGCCCGGATGGGCCGACGCGTCGGTCTCGGCCTGTCCACTCGACGACATGGACGAGTCATACTTGAAGAGAAAGATGAATCCGTAGATGGGCTCAATGCTGGCCATTGTCTCATCATCGAGCGAGTACAGCTCCTCCACCTGCACGCCCTCCACCCCGATCTTCTCGATCAACTCCGTGAAGACGCCTATGTCCACCGAGTAGTGAGTGTGTGTGTGTGTGTGTGGGGGGGTCCTTTGGTGGCCACCGGGCGGGATAGCGACCTGCTGGTGTGCGACCTGGAGAGGCGGCGGGGGGGTTGAGGGGGGGGGGTTGGGGGTTGGGGGGAGGGCGTGTGTGTGTGTGTGTGTGTGTGTGTGTGTGTGTGTGGAAGGGGGGGGGCGGGTGGCGTATATGGACAAGGCACTGTAGAAGAGGTGGTGACGTACCGGGGTCACTCTCAATGGTGCACCATGAGTCGGCCATCACTACTGCTCACCGAGTTGGGTGACTGAGGCTGGGGTTGAGGCTGAGGCTAAGGCTGGCTTGGGTTGGGGTCGCCGGCGTAGCGGTGTCGCAGTGTCGCGGGTCGACGGCTGGCCGTCGGCTGGCGGCGGGCGGGTGGCGGCTGGTAGTGTGGGCGGGTGGCGGGCGGCGGGTGGCGGTGGGTGGTCGGGGGGGGGGGCGTCCTGGCAGACAGACAGATTTTCCGGCTTATCCAAGTCCTGCTGCAGTAGTCTGTTTCGGCAGCAAGGCCTTCGAAAGAGTCACAAGGTCAACTGGCTGGACTGGCAGAGCCTTCCCCTTGACCTTCCCGGACCCTGGCCTCCACCTAACAGTCAGTAGGGACGCACAATGCAAATGCTCGGCCTGTTAACCACAAGTGCCGCTCGCAGCACGCGTGGTCTGGCTGTGTGGCAAGACGTCACCTTTTTCAACTTTTTTTTCCAGACAACTTCCTCCAGGCGCCCTACTCCCCCAGCACGTATGCACCCTACACGCTATCCTCCTGTCGTCAAGCTTCCACACCACCAACCAGCACCATGCCTAGTGCATTTCTGACTCCCTTGCTATACCTCACAGCTTCATCGAACCCTCCTCCCCAATGACGCCATACCCGCCCGGCACGTGCCGAGTGACGTCGACACCACGCCACCTATCTTCACGAACACTCGGGAGAGCACAAAATGAGAACACATTTTACGCCGTGCACATGTTATTCCTTTTCGCAGACCCACCACAGCTTCAGCATGCAGACCCAGATCTTCGCTCTTGTCATTGTCGTTACCCTCGCCCTCGCCGCGACCGCAGACGAGCTTACCTTTTGCAACTACGCCGAGTCGGGCGGCTCGATGAGCCTCACCAACTCAGCGGTTACGTCGGAGACGACCGGCAACGTGGCGTCGCAGCAGTGCGCGACGCTGACGTACACGCCGCCTACTGCGGTGCTCAACCTGCAGCTCAAGTCGTCCGATGGAACCGAGGTTGCGACCAAGGCGTACACGGTGCCTACCGAGCGGTCGGATCGCCGCGTCTTTGCTGTCCGCTCGTCGTCGAGCCTCACGGCCTCGTTTGCGCTCGAGACGCTCGCCGAGACCTCGACGTCGGCGTCGGAGACGTCGATCGTGGTCATGAACGCTGGCCTCGGCCTCACCGGCTCGCTCACCCTTGAGGTCGGCTCGTCGTCGGTCTCGGCATACCTGGGTGTGCAGACGACGACTGTCTCGTCCTCGGGCGATGTGGCGGTCTCGGCCAAGTCGACGACCGGCGCCGTCCTCGCCTCCACCACCATCTCATCGGCGACCATCGAGGCGAACCGTGGCAAGACCCTTGTCTCGGTCCTCGTCGGCTCCGAGTCGTCGGCCGGCTCGACCTCGGGCTCGACCTCAGGCTCGGGCTCGGGCTCGGGTTCGACGTCAAGCACCACGTCGCGCGCGATCTCGACCCGCTCCAACTCGTACCAGTTCAAGACGACCGACAGCTCCGGCAACGAGGTCTCGTCGTCGTCGGCCGCCATGCTCTCGGCGCCCAACGCGGCGCTCATGGCGCTCGCCGGCCTCCTTTCCATCATGTTCGCCTGGGCGTAGGCCAGCGGACACCTTCCTTTTGCAGACATAAACCGTTTACGGCACCCAGCTTGTTGCACATGGTCGCGAGTAGGGGAATGGGAGTCTGCTACGGGCCTCCGTTCATACGCAGGTACGCCGGCGTCGGCGTTTCGTAAACGTCGAGGAAGACGTGCGGGTTGGCCTCGAGGAACTGCACAAGGTCCTGCAGGCACGAGGCAAGCAGTGAACGCTCGTCCGGCGAGTACGCCATCGGATCGACAATCGACGGGAGGCGGACAATGAGCCGCAGCAAGTGCTCAGCACCATAGACGTCGGCGGCGTCGGGCGTGTTGGCGCCGTCGCGGACCGACTCGATAAACTGCAGCCGCTCGAACCGGTACAGTAGCCGCAGCGGAAGCGCGAGGTTGAACAGCGACCGCAAGCCGTCGATGATGGCAATGCGCGGGTCGAGGCCAGTCACGCCGAGCGCGTCAAGAAACGAGCGCAGAACCGACGACACCGTCGGCGTCCGCGGCAGGCTCACCAACTTTTTCTCCTTGGTCACAAACTCGGCGTCCGAGAGCAGAAACTGGACCAGCAGCTCAGGCAGATCCATCTCCAGCTCGGCGCGGGCCTTTTCCACTGCTGACGCGTTTGCAGACGTTGACGGCTTGGCGCGCTTGCTCGCCGAGTCTGAGGCCGAGGCCGAGGCCTTGCGTTTGCGGGACTTTGATGACGGAGCCGAGAACGACGACTTGAGGACAATCTTGGTCATCCTTGCCGCCTTTGACGCCTTTGACTTGGCATCCACCTTTGCGGCATCTGCCTTGAGCTTGTCCTGCTGGGCTTTGTAGTCGCGCGACGCCTGGGTCCTCGCCGCCACCACATCCAGATGGACGTCGTAGATGTAGGGCCGGAGCCGGCCTTCGTTGACCCACTCATCCCATGCCTCGTTCCACCCACGATAGTGAACAAGGTACATAGGCACCCGCTCAGCAGACAGCTTCACGTCACGGATCTTGGCTTCATACATTAGCGGCCCGTGGTAGCAGTAGGCAGGCTGGCCCTTGCCGTAGGCAAAGCCCGCAAGCGGCTCGTCAGCGCTCTTGTTGCGGCGCATGGCCCTTGCCTCAAACGCAGCCCGCTTCTCGTCCATGGTAGCAAGGGGCGGGTGAGGAGAGGATGTAGTGTGGTGGGGGTGAGTGGGAGGGGGGGGGGAGGGGGGGAGAGGAGTGGTGGTGGTAGGTGGGGGTGGGTGGGTGGGTGGCGGTAGTCGTCTGGTTGTGATCGGAGCGCTGCCCGACGGAACTCGGCCGACCCCAGCTCGCTAGCTGGTGCTCGGATGCCCTGCTGCTGGCCAGCTGCTGGCTCTCCGGCTAGCACACTCTTTCTCTTCATGCTACACACAATCATGTCATTGCGTTTCCATGTTCGTCTACAGACGGCGCCCTACTCCCGAGATTGGATCGTCACGCCCTCGAACGAATACTCGGAGGATGAGGTGTGAGACGACGAGTACTGCGCTGTGCCGGCTCTACGGCCGCCATTGCTGGTGGAGCCCGAGTCCGAGCTGCAGCTGTCGCGCCGAGCGCTAGGAGTAGCGCCGTCGTCCAGGCGGGCGCTGGCATCCGCGCCCTCATCGTCAGACTCGCTGGTGGAGACAGCAGTCTTGACCGGCGTCGCCGTCGTGATAGCAATCGCCGGAACTTGGAACGCAGCCGTCGACGCTGAGAACGAGGGCGCCGGCTCAGAGTCAAGGTCGTAGCCAAGGACGTGCCGCTCAAACGACGCCAGCCGTGAGCAGAGCGTGAGCCACTCGGACCGTAGCTCTGCAGATGATGCTGGGCCGTTTGCCAGCGCCGCGTCGAGCCTGCGCAGCGCCGGCGCAGAGAGGGCAAACCTTACGAGCCCACGGAGTTCGCGCGCCCGATTGATGGCCACCGCCGCCGCCGGCCATGTCGAGACCACATATGGCGAGCCGCGGAGGAGCATGCTCCGTAGCGCGAGGACTGCCACGCAAAACCCAGGCGTGTCTGGCTCGTGCAGCGTCGGAAGGAGGAGTCGGAGGAGCTGCGGCCAGTGCCGGTGTGGCGCGTGTGCTGTGGCATGCTCACCGCTTCCGTAGTACAGCGCCACAGGGACAAGGACCCGGAGCACAATTGGGAGCGGCAGCCCACCACTGCTTGGCTCTGGGATCCGCGCCTTGCGCCGTGCCTTGCCGAGCGTCCGCCCCAGCTTGGCCCACACTCGCGAGCTAGTCTTGTACCCGGTCGACGCGAGCGTTGGCACCAGCTTGGCCAGCGCGCTCACTAGTGGCGGGAGAACGTCAAAGTCGGACGCCTCTAGCAGCGCCACAACAAGGAGCATCAGCGCGTCGCGGACAGACGCTGCCGTGTGCGCCGCAAGTGTCAGCGGGAACAGTGGCGTCACCACATGCGCAGACACGTTGAGCGAGAGCCGGTGGGGATACCGCTGCAGCAGCGTGCGCAAGCCAGCGAGCAGGACGCCCGAGCCCGGCCACTGTGCCATGCCTTGCACAAAGTCCACCACAGCCAGCGCCACTGCGTCCAGCATCGCCCCGAGCTGCGGCGACGCGTCGCCGGCCGCAAGCGCCCGTTCCACCAGCCGCTCGTTGAACCACTCGAGGCCGACCGACGCGCTCGCGGCCTCGGAGCTGCTGCTCCGTTGGCTCTCCAACGGCTCTCCCTCGTCCTGCGGTCTTCCGCCACCGCGGCTGCCGCCACGCCCCTCGCCGGCCTCGGCCAGCGCACTTGGCGTCGACGCACAGAGCATCGTACCCATGACCCGGCGTACCATTCTCGCGTGCGCCGACGAGAAGCTCCCACCCAGCCGCGCGAACCGGGCTACAACCTCAAGCAGTGCCACTCCGTTTGCGAGCGGCAAGCCGACCAGCGCGCGCGGCTTGGAAAACGCTGCATCAAGCGCAGTGAACAGCGCCTCAAACGGCGCGCTCCACATCGCACCCGCAAACGTCGCTGTCTCGACCAGCTGCGGCAGCAAGCGGTGCAGGATGCCCAGGTACGCCAGCGTCCGCGACGAGAACGGGTCCAGTGCAACGACAGAGACCACAAGCCGCACAAGGTTCTCCCGCGACGCCACATGGTCGCGGGAGTGCGCGGGCTGCCCGGCCTCGGCCGTCGCGCCTAGCGCAAGCGGCATGCCCGAGACCAGCAGCTCCAGCAGGACCGTCGCCTCGGACTGCCCGGCCGCTGACGGCGTTCCGAGTGCCGCCAGCGCATGGAGCACAAACGTGCGCGGCGCGTACGAGAGCAGCAGCAGCCACGCGTCCTCGATGAGCGATCGAATGACCTGGTGGAAGCCGACCCGCGCATAAAGCGCGAGCAGCGGCGGCAGTACCAGCGCATAGCCGTCTGATTTGCGGAAGAAGAGTGTGAACCGCGGCACAGCGCACACAAAGACGTCCAGTGCAAGCCGCACCACACTCTCGTCGTCCGACCTCATCTGCATTAGCCGCGTCACGCACGACATCAGCGGCCCAAGCCGCCGCGAGTCACACGGCATCAGCTCCAGGAGCTGCCGCACTAGCCGGAGCCACACGCGCAGCTTGGTGCCATGGACGCATGCCACCGCATCAAGTCCCATCCGCTCCACAAGCTGCACCCCCGGCGGCGGCGGCGGCGGCGGCGGCTCCTTCGCCACGTCGAGCCACGACGCCGGCCCGGTCCGCTGCGGCACTTCCACCCCCGGCCTGCCGTTCGGTCCGGCTCGTGACGAGACCAGCGGCGAGAGTGAGCCCGAGCGCGGCCCGCCGCCGCGGCTGCTTGCTAGGCCAGAGCCAGCCGGGCTTGCGGCGACTCGGAGGAGGTGGGTGTGCGCAAACGGCCGCGAGAGAATCTCCTCAAAGTACAGCACCTCGAACGAGAGCGCCTCAAGCAGCGCGTGCATAAACGTGAGCTTGGCCACATCGAGCGCCGCCGTCTCGAACCACAGTGGCGGCCGCCACACCGACCGACTTGCGAGAATCCGCGCCTGGACCAGCACGTCGTGGTCGCGCTGGGTGTCGTGTCGCGAGGGCACCGCGAGAAACGCAGCAGCTACCGTGCCTGGCGGCGTCGACTTGCGAATCTGGGCCGCTCCGCGCGACGCCAGCATGTCCCGCTTTCGCTTGCGCGCCGCAGCGCGATCGCGCTCCCGCGCCGACGTCGCGTACACCGACGGTAGCGTCGAGAGTAGAAACTCGCCTCGCTCGCGCCGCAGAGCCCGCAGTGAAAAGCCGGGAATGTGCGGGATGAGCCGAGCCATGAGCGGAAGCACCATCGCCGAGATGACGTCCACGTCGCGTGCCTGCGCCTTGTACCAGAGACAGAGCCCAAGCAGGTAGTTGAAGGTGTGATACGCAAACTCGGGCGTGATCTCGACAAGTGATGCCCGGATTGTTGCCAGCGTTGATAGGTGTGCCTCTTGTGCCATTGGCTCGTCGACGGCGTCAAAAATCGACTCAAAGATGTAGTGCAGAAAGAGCGGCGCGTTCTGAGCCACACAGTCAGTAACTACCGCCACCGCAAGCGTCGCCACTGCCCGATCGTCATCGTGCATCGAGGAGACCACCCACGAAATGAGCTGGCCAAAGGCACGCGGAAACTCAAACGCTTCTGGCTCTGCATGTAGAAACGCAGGATTAAGACCGTCCAAGCCCACAACCGTCACAGACGATGGAGCTGCACCGGCTGGCCCCTCCACGCCTACTCCGGGTGACGCCGAGCCGATCGCCGAGCTCACCCGCCGCCGCCCGCCGCCACTACCACACCCGTCGATCCCGCCATATCCGCCGCCGCCGGCCGAGCCCGGCGAGAGCCCGTAGCCCTGCCGAATCGCCACCTGCTCGACCCCCGACTCGGTGTGGACAATATGGTAAAGCTGCGAGTGCGGGAGCCGCAGTCGCCGCAAACGATGCAGAGACTCCGTCGATGTCCGCGAGTCGTCGGAGGCCTCAAACTCGTCGTCCGAATCCCACGAGTCGTCCAGCGGCCGAGGACCGCCCAACACAATCGAGTCGTCGCCAAACGTTGTGCCCTTTTCCTCGTTCGCCTCTCCGCCCGCTCCATGCGCTGCGCTCCGCTTGTGCTTCCGCTTGGCCTCGAGGTCGGCGTAGTACATCTGGTCGATGGCGGCAAGCTTCTGGTGGTACTTGGAGACGTGGACCGCAATAGAGCCCGACGCCAGTCGGGTCCGCTGGCGGGCAATCCGTGCCCGAGTCTCGTCACGGATTCGCGACGAAGCCCGCGACGAGAACTCGTCTTCAGCATAGATTTCGGCAGTTGTCGAGTTGGCGTGCATCCGCTCCATGGCCAGCAACTCGGCTTGCATGTCCTGCAGCCACTGCGGAAGGTCGTCCGACGTGGCTAGCGGTCGCGAGAGCAAGTTGGTGAGGTCGAGCGACGACGGCGAGTCATCTGCCGCGCCGTTGGCTCCGCCACGCCGCCCGTGTGCGCTGTTGGTGAGGCCTGTCGGCGGCGTCGGTGGCGGCGGCGGCGGCGCCCGGTTTGCAGCCGATGGCGACCGAGACGACGCTAGCGCCGCTGAAGCCAGCCGCGCGCGCGCCCCGCGCTCGCCATTGAACACATCTGTCGCTTCAAACGCCACCGTTGCTGCCGGCGTGTACACCGCATGCGCCGAGCTCGACGCCTCCCACTGCGAGCGGACCGACATGTCAAGCGAGCCGACCCGCGTAGGCTGGAACGGGATATGCGAGTACTCGCGCCTCTTGGTAATGACGCCCTCTTTGCGGGCAAGAAAGTGTCGATGATTCCAAACAACCACAAACCGCTCCAGCGCCGCCACCCGGTTACCCGGCTCGGGCGTAGCGGCTGGATCAAACAGCGATTGCAGCCGCGCGTTGGCCGACGGCCCGTAGTCTTTGTGCCGCAGCGCAAAGAGGAGCAGAAAGAGAGCGTTTTGGACTGCATCGTACGATGCGCTGTTAAGGAGGGTCCACAGCGGACCGAGCAGCTCATCGAGCTCCGGCGGTTGGAGGTGGATCATAATGACCTTGAACAGCCGCAGGATCCCCGAGAGGTGCGCATCAAGTCGCGGAAGGACGTGGCCGAGCGGCGGGTGCGCAGCGTGGGTTGCTTCACTCAGCGCGCTCCACAGTGCCGCGGTGGTGGCGCGGCGGCGCCCGGTTTGCAGCCGATGGCGACCGAGACGACGCTAGCGCCGCTGAAGCCAGCCGCGCGCGTGCCCCGCGCTCGCCATTGAACACATCTGTCGCTTCAAACGCCACCGTTGCTGCCGGCGTGTACACCGCATGCGCCGAGCTCGACGCCTCCCACTGCGAGCGGACCGACATGTCAAGCGAGCCGACCCGCGTAGGCTGGAACGGGATATGCGAGTACTCGCGCCTCTTGGTAATGACGCCCTCTTTGCGGGCAAGAAAGTGTCGATGATTCCAAACAACCACAAACCGCTCCAGCGCCGCCACCCGGTTACCCGGCTCGGGCGTAGCGGCTGGATCAAACAGCGATTGCAGCCGCGCGTTGGCCGATGGCCCGTAGTCTTTGTGCCGCAGCGCAAAGAGGAGCAGAAAGAGAGCGTTTTGGACTGCATCGTACGATGCGCTGTTAAGGAGGGTCCACAGCGGACCGAGCAGCTCATCGAGCTCCGGTGGTTGGAGGTGGATCATAATGACCTTGAACAGCCGCAGGATCCCCGAGAGGTGCGCATCAAGTCGCGGAAGGATGTGGCCGAGCGGCGGGTGCGCAGCGTGGGTTGCTTCACTCAGCGCGCTCCACAGTGCCGCGTCTGCTGGAGTGAGGACCGAGTCACCGAGTGCGGCCACGGCTTCGCCGAGCCAGGCGAGTGCAATCGACGACCAGACTGGACCAAGCGGCGTCCGCGCCAGCTTGCGAGTATGGTACCAGAGCTGAACAATGAGGACACGAGTCGGGATGGGATGAATCCACAGAGTGCCCGGCGACGGCGTCGCTGCCGCAAGCACGCACGCAATTGCCGCTTCCCACATTCCGACGTGAGCAACAAGCCGTTGAAAGGACGCGCCAGAGTCTTTGGCCGCCCGCCGCGCTGCCACCCAGATCCCAGCGTAGTGGAGCAAGGCATGCGTGCCAAAGGCCAGAGGCGTCAACTCGAGCGCTGACGCGAGCACGTCCGCCGGGAGGTAGGTGAGCGGTCCGAGAGGCCCAAACAGGTCCTCCAGCGAGAGCAGGTACTTGAGGAGTGCAACTGTGGGCGCATGAGCGGCGACTCCAGAGCCGGCCGAGAGTGCGGCGGCAAACGGGCCGTAGAAGACCGAGGGTGTGAGACGGAGCGTTGTCTTGACCGCCCTCGCCATCGCCAAGCTCTGTCCGCTCCACAGTGGAGACGACGACATAAGCGGATACACGGTGGCCGCAAGATCGAGCGCCAGCGTCGGCCCGCCTGTCTCCATCAGCCGAACATAGATCTTGAGCAGCCGCTTGGGATGCGGCGTCGCAGAGTTAGCCAGCCGCTCTGCCATCCACACCGTTGCGTGCGGTGCGACGAACGGCGATAGGTGCGGCAGGAGCGCGGCAAGGAGCGGATCGTTGTCCGGCGAGTCAAGCACGGCAGAAAGTACCGCATGGACGTACGGCCCGCCGAGATCGATGACGGGAATCGGGATGGAGCCAAAGTCTGGCGCAGCAGATGCAAGCGTGTGCGCAAAGAGCTGCGCAGGTTGCAGCTCAGTGACGCAGCACACGTCGCGCCAGTGAAGGAGAACGTACGAGCTAGCTGCAGTCGCTACAAGCTTGTCCTTCGATGCAGAGGCCTCAACAAACGCCGCACAGAGTGCGTGTGGACACGAGTCAAAGAGCAAGGCGTAGACATCGGCGATGCGGGCCCGGAACTCGGGGAGCGACGAGTGCGGCGCAATGGTGCTCAGCGCAGCCTCGAGGTGAAAGAGCGGCGGGAGGAGCACGTCGAGATAGTCACCGATGGCTTGCGGTGGGAGCATCCGCGCCAGTGCGCCAAGAAAGCCGAGCAGCGAGGCAAGGCCGTCGTGGGCAATCTCGACCACGCCGTCGAGAACCTGAGCAGCAAACGACAGTAGGAGCGGTGCCGACGCTGACGACATGTGCGCAGCACGCGAGGCCGGCCGCGAGACTAGCGCCGCCTCGATCATTTCGAGAGCGGTGACGCCGGCAACGTCAAAGGCACGCGCACACGCAGTCGATGCCGCGCTTGGCGAGTGTGAGACCACGGGCGCAAGTGCACGGGCAGTACGGAACGGTGCAGCCGCAATGCGGAGAAGTAGCGGGAATGACGGGAGAACCGCAACGCTGTCGTACTTGGGCGCGGCGAGAACGGTCATAATGTGCCCCATGTGGAGTGCCAGCGACGAGAGGAGAGCATGAACCTCGGACGGGGCGCCAGCCAGCGCATCGTGCGGCAGAAGAGCCATAGATCTGAGCGTCAGCTTGGCTTTGTCCGTGTGCGATGCCAGATCTTTGCCCATTTTGTCAGCCTTCGTCGACGCCACGACCACAGCGGCCAGCGAGGCCGGCGACGGCGGGGAGAGCCCTGCCGCTGGATGTGGCTGAGTTCTCGGCACTAGAGCGTCCCATGAGGTAGCTGTCCTCGGAACGGAAGCCAACGTTGCCAAGTTGGGAACATCAGCCCTTGTAGACGTCGGTGGCGGCAGTGTGGGCGGTACCTGAGGGCCACCCAGAGTAGCCCTGTTTGCAGACTCGCCCGCGCCAGCGCCTCCTCTCTGCGGTGTGAGCAAGACAGATGACGACAGAAGCTTCTGTGCTCTCTTCCACCCTGTACCTGCATTGGAAGGACTCGCGCGTGTCCCTTTTCCTTGCTCTGACCCCGACTGCTCAGTAGTCTCCTCCATGGAGGCGGAGGGTGAGGAGGTGAGGTGGTCGGGTGGCACCGGAGAGAGCGAGGGGGCAGTGGGCAGTGTGACAGGTTTGGCTCTCACACTCTTGGGCGGGACGGAATTGCAGCAGCACGATCGCGCCATGTGATCGACAACCTCATGGTGGTGTGTAGAAGCAAAGAGGGAGGGGGGGGGGGGGGGGAGGGGGAGGGGGGGGGGGGTCGAGATGGCCGTAGTTATGGTCATGGTAAAGGCGATGGCAATGGTGCGACCGATAGACATCATCGCCAGCATGCTGATCAGCTCTAGCAATCGTTACCTACCCATACTCAAAGCTAGTATGCCGTGATCTTTATGCCACCACATGGGTGAATGCGGTGTGGGGAGGGCAAGTACGATGAGTGACCGAAGAGTGCCGACAATGCCACCGAACGAGGCCGGGAGACGGAGACGGAGACGGCGAGCGAGACAAAGACCAAGGCCAGCTCGGCTGGGAGAGGAAAGGTGAAGGACAGACTCGACTCTGGCTGGTGCTCAGGAAGAATGGCGGAAGAGCAAGCGGAAGGAGTTGCACTTGCTAGGCATGTGGTGGAAGACATCCGGAGTAAGTGGGGCGTCCACCAGAGCGCCTCGTCTGAAGTGGTGTCTTTCCTGCATGAAGCCCTCCAGAGAGCGCTCACCACACTCTCGTCGGACATCTACAAGTCGGAGACACACTTTCTCCTGGAGCTCATTCAGAATGCTGATGATAATAGCTATGCTAATGGAGCTGAGCCTGGTCTTGAAGTCCATTTGCTTGGAGGACACGATGACAAGGCTCGCATCGTCCTGCTCAACAACGAGCTCGGCTTTCGTGAGCGCGACGTCCGTGCTCTGTGCAACATCGGCGACTCGACAAAGAAGACTGCGCTCGGCTACATCGGCGAAAAGGGCATCGGCTTCAAGTCGGTCTTTATGGTCTCGCACGCTCCGGCTCTGGTCTCCAACGGCTACGCCTTTCAGTTTGCAGCCAAGCCGCCCGGTGTCGCCGACGACTCGGCCGAGGTCGGCCTTGGATTTGTGGTGCCCGAGTGGATTGATGGCGACGCCCGCGAGGTGCTGGGCGTTCCGCCGCCGGTCGGCCTTGATGGCAAGGCCGCCACGGCCATTGTCCTCCCGCTGATGGAGAGCTTTGCGTCGGCGAGCTCGGCAGCGTCGCTGTTCGACGATCTGGGCGCATCGATTGGCCACACGCTCCTGCTCTTTCTCCGCAAGCTGCGACGCCTGACGCTCGTCCGCGACGGAGTGGCACACGTTTACGCCCGCGAGGCAGCACAAAGCGCACTGGCATACAATGCGCCCGATGCGCCGGACGCACCGGTTGACGGCGCGGCGTGCGGCGGCCAGGTTGTCATTACCTCGCAGCCCGGGGGCGCCGCCCACGCGTTCCTGGTGTATAAGACGGTTGTGGTGCCGCCAGCATCGGCGCGTGAGGAGAAGCGGGCCGGCGTGGCCCTGTCGGAGATTGTCATCGCGTTCCGCACCGAGTACCTTGCGTCACTCGCCGAGCTGAGCGCCGAGCCGCTGTACGCTTTTTTGCCTGTGCGGTCGTACGGCCTCCCGTTTCTTGTCCAGGCTGACTTTCTGGTTGCTGCCGATCGGGAAGACCTCAAGGCCGGGCCATGGAACGAGTGGCTGCTGCGACAAGTGCCCGAGGCTGTGCTCGGCGCGCTGGCGCACTTTCGCGACGCCGCGTCGGGAGGCAGCAGCGAAGTGAGCATGCAGCAAGCCGCACTGCTACTGCGGATGCTGCCTGCGCCCGGGCGTGGTGCGGCGGCGACAGTCGAAGCTGAGTTTGCGCACCTGGTCCCGCGGGTCATCGACGCGCTGCGGTCGAGCGCGTGCGTGCTCTCTGAGCGCGGGCGGTGGATCAAGCCAAAGGCCGCGCTGCTGCCGTCAACTGACGCGCTGGCCATTGCGCCGCCTGCGCTCCTGGCCTCGCTCTGTGGCCTCGAGTATGTCGACGCCGAGCTGGCGGCGGCGGCGGCTCAGGACCCAAGTTTTGCCGACGTGCTCGCTCGGCTCGGCGTGCGCTCGTTTGACACCGACGTCTTTGTGGCGTTTGGCAGCAAGCTCAAAGGCACGAGTCTGGCGGTGACGCTGGCGTCGGCGGGCATTGCCAGCGTCGGCGAGTGGACGAGCGCGGTGTATGCTTACTGCGCGCGGGCGCAAGTGCCGGCTGACGACCTAGCCTCGGCGGGCGTCCCGCTTTTTCCGATGGCATCGTCGGGCGCCGTGCTTACGGTCGGCCAGGTGCGGAGCTCTGCGACGCCGGTCTTTGCGCCGCTCGAGCTTGCATGCGAGGGGAGCGATGCTGAGCTGGCGGCGCTTGCCCAGCTGGCAGCTACCGACAGCAAGTTCCGGCTTGTGGCGCGCGACGCCGTGGCACAGCTTGCGTCCGAACCAATGGTCCGCGCGAGCGTGCGAGCGTATTTGAGCGTGCTCGGCATCCGCGAGCCGTCGGTGGCGAGCGTGCTCGAGGCTCATGTGGTGCCGTCGCTGGCTCGCGCGGGACGGAGCCGCGATCCGCACACGAGAACAGTTACTGCGGTCGGGCATGGCGAGCTCGAGGCACTCGGAGTCTTTGCGCTGTTGGCGGTGGGCGTTGTCGGCAGCGGTATTGTCGAGGCCGTGCGCAAAGTGCTGCTGCTGCGAGCGGCAGCGCCGCGCGAGAACGAGTACTGGCACCCGACCGAGATGTACCTCGGAGCGTGCTACACCGGCTCGTCTGTGCTCGAGGAGCTGTTCTACGGCTCGGGCGGGGTCGTCGCGTTTGTGCACGAGGCGTACAGTGCGGCGTGTGGCTCTGTGGCGGCGACGGGCGAGGTGCTCGCCGAGTTCTTTGGCGCAGCGCGGGCGCCGCGGGTGGTGCCTGTCCAGCGGGTTGTGGCCGGGCGCGGCGCTATTGCGGCGCTCGGCTGGCCGTCAGGCCCGGGGCTCCGGTACGAGGTTGCCGACTACGAGCTCTCTCGCGAGTTTGTGGGCGCAGCGCGGCATTGTGCCGACAAGATGCTTGCGCTGCTGGACGACGACGGGGAGCGGTCGGGCCTGTGGGCGAGCGAGTACGAGGCCAAGTTGTGCGGCGTGGTGCGAACTGAAGTCTGCGGTGGCAAGGGTAAGAACGCAAAGCGAACGAGCTCAGTTGTCCGCGGGTACGCGTCGCGTGCAGCGAGTCAGCTCGGCGAGGCGCTGCTGGTGCGGACCTCGATGGGCCGAATGGCAGCTCGGCTGGCGTTTCAGCTCGATGGCGCACACAAGGTTCCGGGCATCATCGCGCAAGTCATGCCGATGATGGAGGTCACGGTGAGCAACGGCTCGCTGCTGTCCGCGCTGGGTATTTCGACCTCGCTCGACGTCGACGGCGTGCTCAAAGTGCTTGACGGGCTGGCAAGCGCAGTGGGAGTGTGTGAGTATGCCGGAGGCGTCGAGCTCTTTGCGGCGCTGTACAAGCTGCTCTCAGAGCTGGCAAGCGCGGCGGAGCTCTCGCGGATCGAGGCCTGGTTCCAGGGCGGGCGTCGCGTGTTTGTGCCGAGCAGTGTGAGCAGCGATGGGGCGCAGGTGAGCGGCGAGTGGATGAGCTCGGGCGAGGTGTACTGGAGCTCTGCGGCAGTCCACTCGAACCAGAGCGAGTACGCCGGGGCGCTGGCTGACGTGGTGTACCTTGACGAGTGGTACGAGGGCTCGCTCAAGAAGCTGTTTGTCAACGTGGCTCGTGTGCCCGAGTCGCCGCCCGTGGGGACGACGGGCGCGGTGGTGGCGCGGCTGGTGGCCAAGTACCCGGGCGTGTTCTTTGCCTTTGATCCCCCGTCAGACTACAACCTGCTGCGGCAGCTGTATGGCCTGATGGCGCGGCAGCTGCGGGCGGCGGCGCTGGCGCCGGGCTCTGCCGAGCCTGTCGGGTGGATCCACGAGCTGCTGGCGACCACGCCGGTGTTTGTGGTGAGCGCCGTCGGGCCTGCCGACGGCAAGCGGTTTTACTCGTTTGTACACGGCGCGCAGGCACTAGCCAACGACGCGCCGCAGCTCGCGGACTTGTTTGTCGGCACTGCACTGCCGACGTTGGCGCTCTCGGAGAGCGACCTGGGCACGCTCGCGCCGCTCCTCCGCGAGGCCGGAGTCCGGTCGCTGGCGGCGTCGCTCTCGGTGGCGGTCTACACCGAGGGCGACGCGCCGGCGGTGAGCGCGCCCGAGGCCGAGGCGTGGAATCAAAAGCTGGTGAGCACGCTCCCGCACCTTGTCCAGTACTGCTACCACTGCATATCGCCGCGCGATCAATGGGAGTACGAGCTGGACCCACTTCGGCTCGGCCTGCAGGTCGTCGGCGTGCCAGGCCTACAGGCGCAGTACTACTTTAGCGACGACGTGCAGCTGCGATCGGCGCCGACGTCGGCGTCGATTCTGCTTCACCGCGGAACGCTGTATTTCGACCCGAGCTCCCCGGAGCTCTGTGACGACGCGTTTGCGGTTGCGTTTGGCGACTACCTCTTCGGCGGTGTTCTCCGAAACGACGGCCTGTCGTTGTCGGACAAGGCTGGCATTGTCTCGTTCCTCACGCTTGTACTGGGCCGGCTCGCAGCCGGTGGCGAGGCCGAGGTCGCCAAGCTCATGGCCGCTCGCGGCCTGCCGGTGTATCGCCAGCGGGTCCGTGCGCCGCGGCCGCGCGCCTCTCGCAGCCGGACCCGCGCACCACCCTCGTCGTCGTCCGCGGCGTCGCCTGCGCCAAACGGTGGTGGAGCGAGCAACAGCGAGTCACGGGCGGCCAGGCTGCGCAAAGAGCGGCGCAATCGCGGACGGCGCGGCCGTGGTCGCGGCCGCAGCGCTCCACCATCTTCATCTGGAGACGGAGGCCAAACCCAGGCCCAGGCTCAGGCCCAGACTCAGACCCAGGCCGGCCGCGGTCGTCACCGGAGTCGGCGCGGAGGTGGAAGAGGTCGGGGTCGGGGTCTTGGCCGTGGCCAGGCCTGAGAGCTACCGCCGTTGATGGCAGCGCATGTAAAAGGTGGCGGCCAATCGGATCGGGTGGCGGTGTGCCATGGTGGACTGGGCTGGGAGCAGAGGGAGAGGGACTGAGCATTGGCGAACTGACCACTCGTCGCTGTTCGGTCAATTGGAAAGATGGATTCGGCAGCAGTGCAGCGGCAGGTGGAGCATATGACGCGGTTCTTCCTCGCAGAGGCAAGGGAGCGTGTTCTAGAGATTGAGACGGATGCGGAAGAGCAGTTTTGCATTGAGCATGCCATGCTCGTCGAGCGCGCTGTTGCAACCATCTCGTCAGAGTTTGAGCGCAAGCGGAACCAGGCTGAAGTCGCCTCCAAAATGTACGTCAGTCGTGTGACCTGTGCCCGTCGCCACCTCCCCCTACCCCCCTGACCTCTACCGACGCCTACCACCAGAATCAAGCCCTTCTGTGCGACTATACTTGGTGTACACGTATAGCCATGTCTGTATTTGTACCATGTCGAGTATGGGTTGTCCTTGCCTGGTATTTCGGCTTGTAGGTCGGCTGGCGGCTACCCTCTCCCTCCCGCGTGACTTGGCCGTCATCGACAACGAGCTGCTGTTGGGAGCCTGGGCTTCAGGCAGGCAAAGGGGGACGGGGAGAGGGACGGGGGAGACGGGCGTGGCTCGAGAAGGGCATGGTATTGGAGAAGATGGATGGGGCGAGAGGGTGAAAGGTGCTGGCGGTGGCTGTAGCGGTTGCGGCAATGGCGGTGGCGGGGGCAGAGGCCGGAGCAATTTTTGGCAGAGGTTGACGTGGAGGTGATGGCAAGCTCATGGATGATCGAGTGTGTGTGTTTGTGGTGGCGGGTTGGGGACTGATTGGGTATATGGGGAGATAGTCGCGTGGCGAACATCAAGAACGCGGCTCGGCTGGCAGTGCTGCGGGAGCGGAACTCGTCGCTGCAGGAGCTGTTCCAGAAGGCACGGCGGAAGCTGGCGGCCAAGGGTACGGGCGAGGGGTATCAGGCGCTGTTTGAGAAGCTTCTGATGCAGGCGCTGATCAAGGTGATGGAGCCCAAGGTGGTGGTCAATGTCCGTGAGGCAGACCTGGCGCTGGCCAAGAAGGTCATTCCGGGCGTGGTGGCCGAGTACGAAGAGAAGACTCGGACCAAGATCGAGATCAAGCTCGACGAGAAGCGGTTCCTCCCGGCGTCGCCGCTCGAGGTGGAGGACGGCGCGCCGTCGTGCTGCGGCGGCGTCCTCGTCTCGGCCCGCAAGGGCAAGATCATGTGCTCGAACACCCTCGACACTCGCCTGGAGATCGCGTACGAGAACCTGCTCCCGCAGGTCCGCTCCATGCTCTTTGACGAAAGCGAGTAGGCCGGGCTGGCGACTGCAGCCATACCGCGCCCGTAAACCACAAAGCCCCATCACGGGTAGTAGAGCGGCTCTCACCTGTCTCGTTGCGTGTGACCGAGTCCGTCGGTGGGTCAAGCAACATGGCGGCGCTGGGCAACCAGCTGTACTTTACAGGCACGGCAGAGTGCGAGGCGTTTGTAGCCAACCCACTGCGGGCCGACCGCTGCCGCGAGTGCCAACAGAAGCTCGAGGATCACCGTGAGGAAGCGGTGCCTGAGGACGCGGCGTTTGCCGTCCTCGCCGCTCGCTCGCCGGCCAATCGGATTGCCAGCTGGGCAGAGATTCTGGCGCGGCGCGACGGGACTGCTGGAAGTCAAGGTGGAAGCGAGCAGGGTGGCGACACCGGGCGAGCTGCGCTGTGGCACGGAGGGTACTTGGCATGCAAGGCCGAGTCGCTGGCGGAGATGGGCGTGAATCGTGTGGTGGCGACGGCCAAGGGTCTGGAGGCGTTCTTTGTCAAGTGGGAAAGTCGCTGTCAGCACTGGAGGACGATGGGCTCGTCATTCATCGGGTCGAGTGGATTGATGCGGAGAGCCAGGAGCTTGGCCAGGAGGAGATTGCCAACGCGGTCTCGTTTATGACGGACGCGCTGGCATCGGGCCACTCGGTCCTCGTCTTTTGCGCGCAGGGCAAGTCGCGATCGACTGCACTAGTCATTGCCTTTCTCCTCACCACCATCCGCTCGCTGACGTACGACGACGCTTTGGCGTGGGTGCGGAGCGCGCGGCCGCTGGCAGAGCCGAATCCTGGGTTTGAGCGCCAGCTGCGGGCGCTGGCGGAGGCGCGATGATAGCCAACAGCCCCGGCGCGGGGCTAGAGCTTGGACGGTAGCGTGGGATCGAGGCACCAGGCTTTGCGGGCGGCCGGCGATGCAGACGAAGCGTAGGCCGCGTGTATTGGGAGGATAAAGCCGACGTGGACCCGAGTGCCAAGAACGCCTGACGAGAGGTTGGAGGTGACGAGGCCGATGAGGTCGCCGGTGGCAGCATCGAGTAAGGCGCCCCCCGAGTTGCCGCGATGGACGGCGGCGTCGACAAGAACGAGTGCGGGTCCACTCTGCTTGGACTCGGCCCATACCTGGGTGATTGTGCCTGAAGTGGTGACCGGGCCCAGCGAGCGCGGGCCCATTGGCTCGAGAACTGGAAAGCCGACGACAACGACGCGCTGGCCACGGACCAGGGGTCGATTGGCAAGTGAAATCGGGCGGAGGCCGAGTTCTGCTGCTGGCTTCAACCACGTCACATCCAGGCCATCGGGCGACGGCGCGAGGCGCGATGCGGCGACGGCGGCGGTGGCGGTGTATGGATGCGGAGCGAGGGTGACCGGGGCGTCAGCATCGGCAACGACATGGGCGTTTGTAACGACGGCAGTGCGGCCACCGGCGCGTCGGACGACAATGCCGGAGCCGTACTGGTCGCCGCATCGGACCTTGACCACTGGCAACGACCGCGGCGGTGGTGCGAGGAGCGGACGGCAGCGGCGCGGAGTACCGCCGGTAAGAAGGGCAAGGAGCGGGCCGGTGCCGACAAACGGAAACAGCTCGAGCGCCGCAAGGCCGGGTGGCAGCAGCGGCGCAAGCGTAATGCCGACGACGTGGCCTTCCGGTGAGAGCAGGATGCCGCCCTCGGCGCCTGGCTGCAACCTCGCGTCGATGATGCCGGCGACGCTAGCAACTGGGAGCAAGGCAGCGACCGAGCCGGCGAGCTGCATATCGGCAAAGACAGCCGGGCAGAGGGCGGCAAACGGTGAGGCGAGGACAGCAACCGTAGTGCCGACCGCCAGCTCAGCGCTGGGCTCGACATGGAAGCTCCTGGCCGACGCAGCGTCTGACGGCGGCGGAGATGTCTGGACGCGGCACCAGCGCATGGCGCGGACAAGCCCATCGACCGGGCGGGCGGCAGACGGCGTGGCATCGGGCTCAGCGGGAGTGACCATACCGGCCCATCCTACGCGCCATCCGGCTGAGCTCATTAGGCCGACGCCCGACAGAGCGCTAGCGAGGCCGCTCTCGTCGACGATGGGCACGAGCTCCACGGCCGGGTCACTCAAGGAAGTCCACGGCCGCTGATAGGGCGGAAGAAGCGGCCGGAAAGCGATGGCGGCAGCGAGGTCATCGGGTGGAACACACTCGGCGCAGGCCATGTTCAGTTCGGCGAGGATCCAGGCCGGGAATATGAAGACGCCAGTGTTGGAGATGGCGCCCGAGACCGAGGTGATGACAGCGCCGACGTCGTCGCGGGCAAAGGCGAGGATGGAGAGGATGGCATCGGTGAGGCCACTCGCATCAGCATCAGCATCAGAGGATGATGATGGAGCGTGAGTAGCAGCAAGGGATCGAGGTCGATGCGGAGCTCTATCGGGCACGGTGTGAGGCGCATGGGGGAGGGGGAGATGAGTGTGCGGAGTGGTTGATCGGGACGTGTCGACTGCCGCACAGATCACCACACGTGGGCAGATGGATGGCCATCCCGATGCAGATCCCCGCAGATAGACATGCCGTCCAACACATTGGGCTTACAGAGCTCTTTGGTGCTAAACACGCTCATGAATCCTATCGCGCTCCCCACAGACCACTATCCACACAGATCACCGTCCACACAGACCACTATCCACACAGATCACCGTCCACGCAGACCACTATCAGATCACCGTCCACACAGACCACTATCCACCGGATCGGATCACCGTCCACACAGACCACTATCCACACGGATCACCATCTCCACGCATACTCATCCCTTGCCTCATCTAGCATACCTCGGTTCCTCGCCAATCCCCATCCCCCTGCCCCTGCCCCTGCCTCTGCCCCTCCCCCCTCCCTGCCCCCCCCCCTCCCCCCATCTGATCCCCATCCATCCCCCTCCGCCTCACTCGCCCCCTCCCCCCCCCCTCCAACCACTGCTCTCCCCATCACCATCACCCGCCCATCACCATCATCACCCTCGCCACAAACACACGTATGGCACAGGTATCTCGTGTACAACAGGCTCTAGAGAATGTGCTCGGCTCGCAACAGACCGGCTCAGGCAAGGACTTGTCCAACGCAGCCACGGTAGCCGGCCTCCTCTTTGCCTCCCTCCCGCCACGATTTGCTGACTATGCTGCTGCCTTTGAAGGCATTCCCGTCGATCTCCTAGATGGCTACTCGCTTGACGACCTCGAGTCATTGGGTGTGCCCAAGCAGGATACCGGTCACGTCAGAGTCACCTTTGCTCGCTTTGTCCGCGCTCTCAATGCCGTTCCTTCTCATGATCTCCTCGCTGGCGAGCTCAACGATGACGGTCCCGCAGTCGCCAAAGTGCCGCCGCCATTGTCGCTGGCTGGGGCCGATCCAGCCGAAGCCGCCAAAGCAAAGGCTGAGGCCAAGGCCAAGGCCAAGGCCGAAGCCAAGGCTAGAAAGCGCCGCAAGCGCGAGGAGAAGCTGGAGCGGCAGCGGATCCGCAAGGCAGAGGCCAGGGCTGCCGCTGCCGCTGCTGCACTCAAGGCCGCCGAGGCCGATGCTGCCGCTGCCGCTGCCGCAGCTGCCGCCGCCGAGGCTGATGCTGCGCTCGCAGCCGCCGATGCCAAGGCCGCTGCCGCTGCCGCCGAGGTCGAGGTTGTCAAGCGCTCGCGCAAGCGGAAGCGCGGCGCAAGCCCGTCGCCCGAGCCGCAAGATGTGACTGCCATCGCCACCACGCCGCCGCTCACCGCTGTGTCTCCTGCTGACGACGACACGCCTGTCCGTCCGTCGAAGCGTCGCAAACGGGGTGCTGAACCTGAATCTGCCCAGCAACCTGCTGTCCTTCCTGACGTACCCTCATCGTCAGACTCGAGCTCGGACTCGGATTCGAGCTCGGACTCGGATTCGAGCTCGGACTCGGATTCGAGCTCAGTCTCGGACTCGGACTCGGCCTCAGGCTCTGCCTCAGACTCGGCCTCAGACTCGGCCTCCTCATCCGGCTCGGAATCAAGCTCGGACGCAGACTCGGGCGCGTCGTCCGCCACGTCCTCGTCAACCTCCACATCCTCCTCCTCCTCCTCTTCCTCCTCCTCATCATCTGCCTCGCCCCCTTCCTCGCCCGCATCCGCCCCTGCACCCACACCACCTCCTGCGCCTGCACCCGCGCCCACATCCCCATCCAGGGCGCCACCGTCGACCCCACCCCCTCCGACGACCGCCGCTGACAGTGCGCTGGCGGCCGCCCGCGCCGGTTACGCCAAGGCGCGTCGGCTCGCCAAGTCGGCCCAGGCTAACAAGGATGCGATCGATGCGCATCCGGCAGCGCCGCTCACTGTGGCGCCGCCTCCGGCCGAGCGTGAAGCGCTGGCGTCGCCTTCGCCCGAGCCGTCGCCGGAGTCGTTGCGCACCCGTCGCCCGTCGCCGCCGCCCCCCATCCGCCATGCCCCGCCCAAGAGCGCTGCCGCTGAGTCAGCTCTCGCGCGGGCGCAGGCCGCTGATGTAGGCTCCCCCTCGCCGCTGTCGACCTCTTCGTCGTCGTCGTCGTCATCGTCCACATCGTCCGACTCGGACGACGATCTTGACGCGCCTGCACCGATGGAGGTCGCACAAGACGTGCCTTCTCGTCCGCGTGTGCAGATTCCTGTTCCGGTCCCGCACCCGCCGTTTGACGATGACGCCGGCACCGAGTCCGAGTCCGAGTCCGACTCGTCCGACTCGCTCTCGGACGTCTCAACGTCGGACTCGTCCGACGATGCGGCGGCATCGGCGTTTGCCACGCTCATGCAGCAGCCGGCAACATCGCCGGCGTCGGCGCTGTCGCGGCAGGTCCCAACCTCGCCGCTCGCGCGGGTCAACACGCCGTCGATCATCCAGTCGTCGTTTGTGCGGCGAACGCAGGCTCAGTCGGCGTCCAACGCCGCGCTCAACGCTGCGCTCCTCCGGTCGCTCCGCTCCAAGCGCAACGGTAACGGCTCGCTCATTGCCGCGGGCCTTGTCACTCCGACGCCGTCGGCCCGTCATGTCATCGCCGCCACGCCGTCGACCGCAGAGCTAGCGCGTTCGCTGCCGTTTACCCAGGCGGCGCAGCTTGACAAGGAAGAAGTCGATACTCTTTACTCGGCCATCAACGCCGACGACCTGTCGTACATCGAGTCAATCGTCAATGACGAGGAGCGCTGGTAGCTGGTGTGATGGCTGTCGAAGATGGTGGCGCGATGAATGAACTCGATCATGGTCGCCGCCGCTTCTCTGCTCACCCTGTCTGCGAGCACAGCTACAAACCGGGCCCGGGAAGTGCGGCGGAGCAAGCCCATCTCGCGTGCATTCTGCATCTCCTGCGCCATTGTGCCCATGGTCGCGTCGCGCGCCACGCACCCGTACGCCTTGACGTAGAGCCCGAGCATCGGCTCCGGCGTACACGCCGGCGCAGTCAGGACGGGCCCGCGCTGCACGCCGCAGCTCGCGCGCATATCTAGTACCACGGCTTCGTCGTCCATGCCGGCGTCAAGCGCAACTACATGCCCGGTGCCCGCCAACACGGCGTGGCTCGCCAATACAAAGTCACCTTTGCGCCCTGCAAGCCGGTCTGCCGCCGTCACCATGTTGATCGACCGGATGTTCTCGCCAAAGACTAGAATGAGCGCACGCAGCGCCGCGGCAGCGGCTTCGCCGCTCATCGCCGCCACGTTGACCAGAGCACGCCGCTCTGCATCGGCACCGCGTCCGGTGTCCACCACAACCACCGCCGGCCCGGAGCACACCCCAGAGTCGATGACGTGGATACCAGCGGATGCATCTGCCGCCCGTCGGCTTGCAGCCTCGTCCGGATGCGCCGCGAGGTACGCTGCAACGACGTCTGCGGCGACGCTTCTTGCATGGGCCCATGCCTCGATCCGGGCCTGCGCGTCTCGACACCACGGCGAAAGCGCATCGGCGCACGCGGCGTGCCCGCCAAACACGACGTCAATGCCGACAGCTTCCAGCGCCGTGTCAACGGCGAGCACGTCACCGACCGCCAGTGCGAGCTTGTGCGACCAGGACGTGAGTTTCGTGTCGAGCTCGGCCCGCGACTCTACTGCGAGGTGGACGGTCGGCAGCGTGTCGTGGGCGTCAAGAGCTGCCCGAAGCAGATCGTCGTCGACCAAGCCGGCCGCCTGCAGCACGCCCTCCACCGCTGCCATGTCGTCGCACATATTTGTCTGAAGCTTGGTCATCTGGTGCCAGTGGACCGCGAGCGCAGTGCAGAGGCCAACCAGGTGGCTCTCGCCGTCGGCGAGCGTGACTTTGCCGAGCGAAGCCTCTTCCACACAACCCGCGTCCCAAGTCGGACCTGCGAGCGTCACATCAGCTGGGACAAACAGCGGGAGCGGGAGCACCGCCACTGCCGCCTGCCACGCCGGCATAGCCAGCCCGGTTCCGATCTCAGGATAGAGCGCAGCCTCGAGAGCTGCGTACCGCGCGACGAGGGCGCCCACATCAAACTCGTTGCCGGTGGCCGCGGCAGCTCGGATGGTGGCGTGGAGCTCGGCGAGAAGCTTGGTGGCAGGATGGCGCGCGAGCGCGCTTGTGGCCAGTGCAAGCGCAACCGGTGTCATTGGCTCGAGAACGGCGAGCAGAAGCGCCGAAGGGATGGCCAGAACGTGCGCCATGCCCCCGCGCGGCACGCTGTACGTCGCGCTCCGCACGCCCATGAGTGCATAGTGCTCGCCAAAGAGCACAAAGGGGGCGACGGTGGACTCGGAGCCGTCGCTTGTGCTCGCGACGACGCTGCCCTCGAGAAGAACAAAGGCGTGGCCGTCGTCGCGGACGCCGCCGGGCGTGGCGAGCAGTGCACCGCCCGAGTACTCAAGGTAGCGGACGCCGCGGGCAAGGCGCGCGAGCGCATGCAGCGGCAGCAAGTTGAACGGCGGAGTATCGCCAAGGACAGCCTTGATCTGCGGCTCGCCGCCGACCATGCTACCGAGGTCGACGCCACGTGAGCTCGTCGCCAGCTCGGTGAGGGTACAGACGCCGGCCGGGAAGCGCGCCGGCGACCGCGGAAGCGTCGCGCGCCACGGCGAGCTCGGCGGCGTCGACTCATCCGAGAGAGAGTCTGACGTCGACTGGGCGAGGCCAATGGTGATCGAGTGGGTTCCGGCCAGCGTGCTGCGGAGCTCCATGAGCAGGACACCCAGCCGGTTGCGGGCGCCCGGCGCGGTGCCGCCCCAGTACGGATCCGCGGGTGAGTCCTCGACGAGTGTGGCGTCGCCTGTCTCGAGTAAGACCTGGAGGATGTGTTGGTTCTGTACGCACTTTGCCTTGAGCGCCTCGAACATAGCCTGCTCGCGGCGTCGTGCCCACGCAGGTGCATTGTACACGCCTGCGGCGATGGCGGCTTGGACCGCGTCCTTGGCCATGTGTCGCGCGTCGGCGGCGGTGAGTGCGCGCGAGACAGCGATTGCCGCTTTGGGGTCAAACGCCCGCACCTTTGCCGCCTGATAACAGTGCTCCGCGGTGGCGTACTCGACGTTGCTGAGCGTGAACGGTGCGATGTACTCGTTGTTGAGGCAGACATGCTCACGCATGACAAGATCACTGCCGAGAATAATGGGTATGGGAGGGGGGTGAGTGCTGCGGGGAGGGCGGGGTAGGGGGCTGGGGTAGAGCGGGATAAATGTCAATCTGGTCAGCATCTGGTCACCCGCAGCACTGCGTACCTCTTCTCACTTCCAAAATACACCACCGTAGCGAGTGTAGAGCCAGTGGCATGAGCATGCCCATTGCGGGGCGATATGTTAAGTTGAAGCGAGTTTGATGAGCCTGTTGAGCTCTCGTTCGACTCCGAGGTCGACATGGACGTGATGAGAGACAGCTATGAAGGGTGAGCGGCCGGGGTGGTCAGGTGGCAGTCAGGACCTGGTCACGTTGACAGACACGCCGGGGTGCTGGTGCGTCACAATGACGTCGACGGGCGGGTGGGTGGGTGGGTGACCATAAAATTGATGCCACGCGGCAAACTCGCCAACGCCGTGACTGCGTCTTCAGCCCAACGTGTCGGCGGACTTCGCAAGTCGGCCGCCGTGGTGGTAGTGGAAGGGAGAGTCATGCATGGGTGGGGAAGGGAGGAGGGAGGGGAGCGGGCAGGGAGAGGGGAAGAGGAGCGGGTAGCCCGTGGACACGGGCACGAGGGAGTACGGGACGACGATTTACTTCTTCTTCTTGTTCTTCTTCTTGTTCTTCTTGCCCTTCTTACCCCCGTTGCCCGGCGCCTTGCCTCGCTTGGCAATGGTAGGCACGATGCGACCGACGGCGCGCCAGAGCGCCATACGCGACGGGATTTCGTCGTTGAGCAGCTTGCCCTCCTTGGTCTTGATAGCGACGCGGACACGGCCCTTCTCGAGGTAGTCCCGCGAGTACATGGCCTCGGGCTCGGCCTTTGTGGGGAGCTTGAGGTTGACTCGGCAGATGGTCTCGACCTCGGTCATGGTGGGGTTGTCGCACGCGTCGGCCACGGCCACACGCCGGCCCTGCTTGAGGCTCCGCTTGGCATTAATGTATATGGGGTAGAACACCGTCCACTCGTTGTCCGGCGGGAGCTCTGCCTTGGTCGCCATGGTCAACGGGTGGTGAGGTGTGAGTGTTGGTGGCGCGGGGGAGAAAGCTGTTGCCGGCCGACGGTTCGCGGCCGATGGCTCGGTGCCGACGGCTCGGAGCTCGTTCAGCGACTGGCTTCATTACCTGTGCGCGCTAGAGCAAGGCGCGGCCAAGCCAGGCGGTCGATGCCATTTGCACAAGGGTGCGGACGCCGCGGACGTGAACGAGCGATGCATCGAGTGGGTTGAACCGGGCCGACTCGAGGAGAGTGAGGTAGGCGTCGCAGTAGTGGAGCGGGAGGGAGATGTAGCGGACGTCGGGAGCGAGGCCCGGATCGGCAAGGAGCTCGCGGGCCTGGTCGACGTGGGCTTTGGCGACGACGGCGACGTCAAAGACGGCCTCGCAAAACGGGTCGTCGATCTCGCCGGCAAAGACCGAGTTGACGGCGACGCCGTGCTTGAGAATGAGCTCGATGGGGATGGCCATCTCCTTCTTGGGCAGGGTCAACGGGAGGCCGCGGAGAAGGGCGACGAGGCCGGCGGCCTTGCCCACGTGCGAGGCGACGTGGTCGGCGCGCGCATCCTCGACGCCGAGGATGGAGAGCCCGGCGTAGTTGAGCGACGACGCGGTGGCCTCGGCATACTCCTCCAGCTCGGCGAGCGTCTGCGGCTGGGCCACGCCGAGATCGCCGCGACGGGCGGCAAGGACCGATTGCAGCCAGTTCTTGGTGAGCAGCGGCGATGCTGCCGACTTGAACACGTTGGCCGCCAGCGCGATGACCACCTCGGACTTGGCGCCAACCGAGTCGGCCGGCAGCAGCCCGTTGCCCTTGGCCCCGGCCCGCATGGCGTCGTCGACCACAGCCTCCCACCACGCAAACCGACCCATGCCAAGCTCCGGCCGCGAGACCTTGGACTTGATCTTGGCCGTCTCCACGTTGAACGCTCTCAGCGCGTAGAAGCCAGCCTGCGCCTTGCGCGGCCAAAGCAAGCCGCACACATAGTTGTCACGATCGCCGGCCTTGGTCGTCTCCAATGTCGCCCGCGATGCCGCCGCCACGGCCTCTGCCGCGCTTGCCTTGCCTCTCAGCGGCACGACCTGCCCCAGCACAGCGACAGTGTCCACCGCCGGCCGCGGCATGAGCGCGCCCATCCGCGCCACCGACACGCTGCACGCCCGCGCTACTCCGCGTCGCACAGCAAGCATGGAAAGAGATACTGCAGAGAGCAGGGTGTCAAGGGTGCAAGGCGAAGAGAAGAGTGTGGTTGTTGCCAGAGGCCAAGCCAGGCGGGGGGAGGGGGGGGGGGGGGTAGGGGAGGGGAGGGGGAGGGGGGAGGGGGGGGAGGGGAGCCCGGTCCATAGTTTGAAGACCTTTCCCTGGGGATCGGTGACGGCAGGCGGCAGAGTGATCGCGGCCACGATCACCGTCACGTGTACGGACACAGACAGCAGACGACGGGGGGGTGGAGCGTGGAGACCCGTCGCTGACGCTGGTGCTAGCACACACCTCTCACCCTTCTTCATCCACACACGCCTCTCCCGACGCCATCTCACACACGTGGCTGTGGTGATATGAGCAACTTTGGAGAGCTCGTGGACGTCGAGGCGGAGACAGCGCCGCGGGAAGGAGGCGTGCCGAGTATCACCGCCGTCCCGCCCACGCCCGACGCCTCGCCTGCGCCGGCCATTATGAGGCTCGCGGCGGTCTCAGAGACGGCGGCGGGGGAGGCGCGGCCGGCCAAGCCGAGTACGGCCCCGGTCTCGCCGGGTGCAAGCGGCGGCGAGGCTGGTGGGACAAGCTCGGCGGCGGTGGGCAGGGGTGGAAGCCAGGCTGGACCGTCATCGTTTGCGGCGCGGGCGCGGCGGCGGCATGAAAAGCTCTGGGGCGAGGTGGAGGGCGAGCAGATCAAGGTGTATGCGACGACGTGGAACTTGCATGGCTTGCCGACGCCTGGGATGGAGACGCTGGCGACGTTTCTGCCTGCGTCGTCGATCGATGCCGACGTGTATGTGGTGGGCACGCAAGAGTGCGAGCAGTCGATCTCCAAGGCGTTCTTTGTGTCGTCGAAAAAGGCGTGGGAGACTGCACTCGGCCACGTGCTGGGCCCGCAGTACGTGCTGCTCCGGTCGCACACGCTGATGGCCATCCACATTGCAGTCTATGTCCGAGCCTCGCTGCTAGAGGCCGTGACGCATCTGCGGTCGGACGCGGTGGCGACGGGCATCGCCAACCTGGTCGGCAACAAGGGCGGAGTGGCGGTGTCGGTGCATGTGGCCGGCGTTGCCATGCTCTTTGTCTGCGCGCATCTGCCTGCCCACCAGGGCGCGGTGAGCGAGCGCAACGAGGCATACCACCGGATCAACGCCAACCTAGCGGTCGTCCCGCCACGGCTGGTGGCGCCCGAGTCGGCGGACCTCTTTGACGCCTTTGACGTTGTCATCTGGTTCGGCGACCTCAACTACCGGGTCAACGGGACGCGGGCGCTGGTCGACGCGGCGCTTGCCCGCAATGAGCTCGACGTCCTGCTTGGCAACGACCAGCTGCGGATCGAGGCCGAGGCCGGACGCGCCTTTGTGGGCCTTGCCGAGGCGCCCATCGCCTTTGGCCCGACGTACAAGTTTGATGCCGGGACTAGCTCGTACGACTCATCGGCCAAAGCCCGGATCCCGTCGTGGACCGACCGCATCTTGTACAAGCCGTCGCCGTGCTGCCGGCTTCACGCCTACGCCGACCGCGCCAACGTGCTGTACTCGGACCACAAGCCGGTCTTTGCCACGCTAGTTGTCGATGCCGACAAGACCGAGGCCGGCACCGCCACCTCGCTGCCGCCGCAGACGGTCCTCGGCATGAGCGAGCACGACGTCGACGACATGATGCCCGACGACGATGCAGGCGGCGGCGATGGGTGCGTGGTGAGCTAGTGTGTGAGGGGCGGCGTGTTTGCTTGTGTCATGGAACTAGAACTTGCCATCAAAGCCGACAAAGCCGGCGAGGAGAAAGAGCGGAAAGAATGATTTCTTCTCGATGTGCGAGCACCAGTTCCATGTCGAGGTGAGGCGGCCGTCGATGCACGAGCCGGCGGACGACCAGTTGTTGGCGCCAGAACCATCAAAGCCGTAGCAGAAGAAGTTCCTCAGAACAAACTTGATGGCGCGTTCCGAGCCGCCGACAATGTCGAGCATGCACGGCGACATGGAGGGGATTGCGCGAACGCAGTTGACGACGGGCCAGAGGATGCGCGGGACCTGAACGTACTTGTCGATGATGACGAGCGCGTTGGGCACGTTGACGTCGCCCGAGTGGATGGCGGACGAGCCAATCCAGCGGCCAAACTTGGCCTGGACCGAGCCGAGGATGCGCGAGAGTGTGCCTGCGCCCTTGGGCGCGGACATCATGCGCTGTAGGCCCTGGCCGGTGTCGCGGAGTCGGTAGTTGCGCCCGCCGAGGCCGTAGAAGCTCCCGCCGCCCTTCTGCGCGGCGCCGCCACCGCCGATCAGGTCGGCGTCGCAGGCCATGGCGAGCTCGTAAAAGTTGTACTGGATGGCGCCCCAAAGCTCAAAGGTCTGAGAGACATACTCAAACTGGGTGGCGTGCGAGTGCGACAGCCGAGCGCCACCCACGCCAGCTCGGATGGCGAGTGACCAGGCATCGTCCTCCTCGGGCGAAAAGTGCTCATTAAGGAGCTCGGTGATGGCCTCGACGCATCCGCGGGCGTGGTCCAGAAACGCGTTGGCGTCTGATATGGAGAGGATGACCCGCTCGACCTCGTCGGCAGTGAGCTCGTCGTCGGAGCTTCCGCTGTACTCGCGGATGAGGTAGCTCCGCGCCGCCCGCTTGGCGTTGAGGTCGTCGTCAAGCTCGGCGCGCGATCGGCCCAGTAGCGAGACCTCGGCGGTGGCGGTGGGCAGGTACGGGTCGTCGAGGAGGGCGAGCGCGCGCGGCCCGCGATCAGAGAGCATGCTGTACACCGTCTGTATCGGCGCGACCAACGGCTCGTGGATGCCCATGTCCTCGCGAATCGCCTCCGAGTCCATGAGCATGTACATGAGCTTGCCGTACGATGTCCGCAGCTTGTCCGGATTGAGTACCTTTTGCCGGCGGACAACCTCAAACATGGTGGCGTACAGGCCCGCATTCTTCCCGTGGTCGCCCTTCACCAGCTTCTTGCCCTTGTTGAGGTCAGTGGTCACCACAAGGCCGGCCACAGTGTCAAGGAACTCGTCGAGCTGCTGGGTCATGATCGGAATCTTGGACCGGTAAGTGAGGACGTCGACCTTGTCGGTGTACTCTGAGATCTCCAGCGCGGCCTCCATCAGCGCGAGCACCTCACGCTCGTCGCGAGTAAGGCGGAGCGGAATGAACGCCGCACGATGCTTCAACTTGCGACCGTCAAGCACTGGCAGCATGCGCAGCTCGGGCGTGGGCGCGCTTGGCATCTCGCCGTCCTGTGGCGAGGCAATAGCCATGGGTGTCGGCGACCGCGACCGGCGCTCATCATCATCCTCCTGTGCCTCGCTCTGGCTCGCGACCTCGAGCGACATGGGCAGCACCACCCCCGACACGTGCCCGCCACGGGTCAGTCTCTCCATATCGTGGGTGATGTGCTCCTTCCGGCTTCCAGAGGCGTGAATAGCGGCAAAGCAGACGCCGCAAAACTCCTCGGCGCATTGCTCGCAAAACAGCTCCCAAGGCTGGTCTGTACACTCGACACACATGCCTATGAGCTCTCCTGGTGTTGCGCTGTGGCTCGACATGAGTGTGTGGAAGGGGACTGGTGGGGGTGGGGGTGGGGGGTGAGATGGGGTGGGGTTAGGGGGGGGGAGAGGTGGGGTGGAGGGGCGAGACGGGAGGGATGGTTGGACTTGGTCTCGTGGACGTACTCAGGTCGCGCGGGAGGGGTTGGCAACGAGTTGATGGAATGTCCATGGACGGATCGGTCCATGGATCGGTCATCGGATGGGCAGCGTGCGTGTGTGTGTGTGTGTGTTTGAGGGAATATGATTGGAGACAGGGGATCACACGCATGCCCGGATCATGGAGAGGGTGCAGACGAAGAGCATGAGCGTCAAAATGGAAGGATCGGACGGACGGCGGCCGGTGGAGGCAGAGGCGTGTGGAGTGTACGACATGGCTGGCTAGGCCTTGTGAGTCAAGGCGAGGGCAACACCTGACTATTGGAAGGGTACAGGTGTGTGGACGGTATGCCTGTTGCTCCTCCCACGCCAACCAAAGAGGTCGATGTGCTGGATGCGCTGCCGGAGCAGAGGCATGTGAGCAGCGAAGCAGCGACGGGAACGGCTGTTGGGGACGGGCGACAGGAGCCGCTCTGGCCAGCAGATGGCATCGATGCCTACGTTCCACCACCTGGTGCACCTGAAAGTCAGCAATCGCCAGTTGTGGCCATGCAGCTGGCGGCTGCCGACGCCGCAAACGCCACCGAAGCGGTCCGGGCCTGCGTCATCGCCGACGTCACCAGGCGGAAGTAGCGCAAGCGCAGCCAGCCCATGCCGACCAGCTGCCTACCGCAGCCTAGGAAGGGTAGGTAGCATGTGATCCGCAAGTGTAGAACCACATCGCCCAAACATACACACACATGAACGCACAAACATGCCAACACATCCTACCTTTGGCTGGCATCGGGTCGCCGCTCACACGAACCACCCGCCATGACGAGCTGATGACGTGCGCCGAGGCTTGCAGCCAGCCGAACAATGCCACGTGCCTAGGCGACCACGACCAGCACCTCCCCTGCAGACCCACCCCACCCCACGTAACGCCCACCCCACCACCACAACAACAACACACACACACACACACACACACACACTATCACACATACACATGTCTGGAGATGCAGGTGCACTGTCACGGTCTGCGTCGTCGGTGGGCCTGGGCGCAGTGTACGCGCCGCGGCCTCCGTCAACCGCCGCCCCGCCCGAGGTCCGCCTCGCCAATCTGGCGCCTGTAGGCGAGCTGAGGACACGGCTGGCATATCTTCGTCGCAGGATCGGCCGCAAGAGCATGTATCGCAGGCAGAGAATGCAGGTGCAGCAGGATCAGCGCTCGCCGCGGAGAAGCCGGGTGACACTCGCTGGCTGGCCGGAGCACGACGGCGGATGGGACTCGGGCGGCGAGGACGGCGGCGGTGGTGACGACGGCAGCAGCTCAGGATCGAGCGAGCTATCGCGGTGGGAGGCATCGCGCATTCTGGACGAGGCGGTGCGGACGAGCGAGCGGCGGATGCTGTCGGGCGGCGGTTCGCTGCACGACGTGCTCAAGCGGGCCGGCGCGGCGCCCGAGTCGCCCGAGGACTGGGCCGAGTTCTACAAGGAGGTCCGGCGGATTGCCAAGCGGCTGCTCGACGAGAAGCAGGCGGCGCTGCAGACGCAGATTTCGGCCGAGTACATGCCGCTGGCGCGCGAGGAGCTGGCGAGCGTGCGAAGAGCGGCCAAGCTGCCGCAGCAGTCCGCCATCCCGCTCATGCCGTGCCGGCTCGGGCACTACACCAAGCGCAACCTGACGCGTCGGGTCAAGCTCGACGTGGAGGCGCGGATGGAGGCCGAGTGGACGATGTCCAAGATGATTCCTGTTGCGCGGGCGCACTTGACCTCGGTTGTGGCCCACGTAGCGTCGCTGGTGGGCAATCCCGAGGCAAGGAGCCTGCGGCTGGCCAAGCTGCAGCTCTCGGCCGTCCCAAGCCAGGTGGCAGTCCTCCCGCAGCTCACGGCGCTCGACATGTCGGACAACTACGTGTCGAGCCTTCCGCTGGCGCTGACCCGGCTGACGAACTTGATGTCGCTGGACCTCTCGCGCAACGCTCTCCGCAACCTGCCGCACTTTGTGGGCGCCATGACCTCGCTGACCAACCTCGAGCTCTCTGGCAACCACGTAAGGGCGCTGCCCGACTCGATGACCGCGCTTCCCGCGCTGCACACGCTCGACCTCTCAAACAACAGCTTTGACGAGTACCCAGCCGTCCTCGCGTCGGCCATCTCGCTCGTCAATCTTAACGTGGCGCACAACGCGCTCACCCGGATTCCGGCAATGCTTGGCGCGCTCTCGCTCCTTGTGGTGCTGGATCTCTCGCACAACGCGCTGGTCACGCTTCCGAGCGAGGTCGGGCAGCTCGCGCAGCTCCAGGTCCTCCTCCTCTCGCACAACACGCTGCGGAGCCTGCCGCCGGCGCTGTGCTCGCTTCGGAGCCTACAGCGGCTCTCGGTCGACCACAACCAGCTCATGCACCTGCCGGCCGGCATCGGGCGGCTCCGCTCGCTCGCGCGGCTCGACGTCTCGCACAACTGGCTCACCACGCTCCCGCCTTCTGTCGGGTTCTGGCGCACGCTCGAGGCGTTCAACATCGACTACAACCTGTGGATCACCATGCCGTGGTCGGTCTTTGACCTCGTCGCCGCCACCCGCTCTATCTCGCTTGATCCCGAGTCGCGGTACTCGCTCGACAACTGGCTCGCCGACTTTTGCGAGCCGGCCAACGTGCCCGAGAATGCGCCGTCGATCCCGGTCTCGCTCTACACGCCTGCCGAGGTCCGGGTCATCCACGACGCCGTCGCCGCCGGCCACACCGTTCTCCAGCACATGCGCCCGCTCGGCTACAACGAGGTCCTCGAGCGCCGGATTGCGCTCTCGGGCCTCACCGGCTCCAGCTCGCGCAAGACAACCGTGCTCCCGGCCGCCGCCTCGCTCGCCGCCGCCACCCTCATGTCGCGCATGGGCAAGGCGCCCGTCTCGCTCGGCGTCCGCAAGGCCCGCCGCCGCCTCGACGCTCGATCGCGCTTCCTCGGCGTTGTCAACAACATCACCGCCAATGTCCGAAAGAAGCACTCGGGCCTCCGCCTCCTGCAGCGCCACATGACCCATCACAAGCCCAAGCCGCCGCCGCCGCCGCCGCCTGCGTCCGCCAGCAGTGCTGGTAAGGGTGACCGAGTTGATTACCAACCGGATGGCAGTAGAGATGATGGTAGCGGTGATGAAGATGTGTAAAACGGTGACGCGCACCTCAGCCGAGCTCCTACCGCCCAACGGTGTGGTGTGGCGGTCGTTGGGCGGTGGCTGTCACTCGACTCGACTGAGAGAGCGAGGCAAGATGAAGATCACCCGGCAGAAGCATGCCAAGCGAGTGCTCAAGTTCTACCACATCAACTTTGACCTCCATCCTCCGTTCAAGGTCCTGGGTATGTTGTGTGTGAGAGTGTGTGTGTGAGAGAGCGCAGGCGAGCCGTGGGCATGGGAGGTGGTCGACAGGATGGATGGATGGGGAGCGGGAGGCGCCGTGGGGAGAGGGATAGCGGGGCTGTGATACTCATGGAGAGGACTTGAGACGACACGCAGTGGATGGCAACTTTGTGTACGCTGCTGTTGAGCACAAGATCATGGTGGCAGAGTTGGTCTCGTCGCTTCTGGGCGATCCCAAGGTCAAGCTCTGTACCACCCGGTGCGTGCTGGCTGAGCTGGAGAAGCTCGGCTCGGCGTTCAAGCCGGCGCTCTCGGTCATCTCACAGTACAAGATCGTCAAGTGCGGGCATGAGAGCCCGGTTGTGGCTAGCGAGTGTCTCGGCTACCTTGCCGGCGAGTCGAACCCGATGGGCTTTCTCTTTGCTACCCAGGATCGGTCGCTCATGGCAGAGCTCCGCGAGATCCCAGGCTCGCCCATCCTGTACATCAACTTTAACCTCATTGCCATCGATCCGCCGTCGGACAAGTCGCTCAAGATGGCGCGCAAGATGGATCGCCGCAAGCTGCGGGTGCCGACCAATGAGGCCCGCCGGCTCGGAATCGGCGGCGGCGAGAAGAAGAAGAAGCGCAAGAAGACTAAGGGCCCCAACCCGCTCTCGGTCAAGAAGAAGAAGAAGTCCAAGGGCAAGTCTGGTGGGAGTGACGTCGAGCGGCCGGCCAAGCGGAGCAAGGGCCTCGATGGCGCCGCTGTTGCCACTGCCGCTGCCGGCAACAGCGCTGGCGATGAGGCCGAGCCTGTCGCTGCCGCCTCGGCTGCCGCTGTTGACAGCGAGGCCGCCGGCGAGGCCACCGGCGAGAAGCCCAAGCGCAAGCGCAAGCGCCGGCACAAGAAGAAGAAGAAGAGCGTCGAGCTCGGGCTGTAACATGCAGTGCGACAAAAATGTGTCATGTATTGGGGGACGGGAGGGGAGCGGATGGCTACATGATGAGAGCAAGGAGCGCGGCGGCGATGGTGGCAATGGCCAGCGCGGTCGAGTTGGGGCCGGTGAAGGAGGCAGCCGAGTTGAGCGAGTTGCCGTTCTCGTCCGTGGTCTCGAACCGGAGGCTGCCGGACGAGCGAGTCTCGATGGCGCGGGCGGTGGTGGCGACGCCCGAAGTCGAGCCCGAGGTTGAGCTCGAGGTCGAGGTCGAGGTCGAGGTCGAGGTCGAACCAGTGGTCGAGCCCGCCGACGACTCGGAGCCGATAAGGACCGAGACGATGGTCTTGCCGGCATTAGCGCGGAGCTGAGCCTGGGTGATGGTGGTGGCGGCGACCTCGGCGCCGGCCGAGGTCTCGGCGGAGATCTTGACATCGGCGGTGGTGTCGACGGCAACAGTGGAGAGGCCGAGGTAGGCGGCGGCATTGACCGAGGCGCCGACGCGCATCGAAAGCGTCGACGTGAGGTCGAGGCCCTGGTTGATCACCACCACGCTCGCCTTGTCGGCGCTCTTGGAGACCGAGGCGAGTGTCTGGAGCTCAAACGAGGTGGACGAGATGAGGCCCGAGGAGCGGACAGCAAAGACCCGCCGATCCGACCGGTCCGACGGCACCACGTAGCTCTTGGCCTGGATGAGCGCGCCATCGGAGGCCTTCTTCAGCTGCAGCTGCAGCGTCGCCGCCGCTGTGTACGAAAAAGCAACGCACTGGTTGGCGTTGACCGTACCAGTTGTTTCCGAGGTGACGACGCCGTTGGTGAGGACGACGGCTTCGCCCGAGATGTAGTTGCAGAACGTGAGCTCGTCGGCGGAAGCTGAGAGCGCAAGCAGCGCAAGGAGCGCCACGACGGTAAAGGTAGTGTTCATGGAGGTAATCGCTGCGAGGAAGAGACAATTGTGCCAAGGTGCGGGATAAGAGCTCTCATTAGCCGCATTGCTGATTTGCTCGCTGCGGGAGTCAACGCTAAAAAAATGGTGGTGTGGATGGTTTTCCTTCGAAATTGGCAGCCATGCGGAGCTTCGGGAACATCAGAGTGGGCGGGTGGCGGGAGACGGAATTTTTGAGCCATTTTCAGTCAGTCGCGCCGCGACAGACGCACGGCACCTGCGTGGTGAGGCGACCTGTGAGTAGGGCTGGGAGGACGAGGGGCGGTACAACGCTCTCATTAAGGTTGCTGGGGAAAGAGATGGCGGTGCGCAGAATGAATGGGGCGTCGCGGTCGCCTGGAGTGCTCTCGCCTGTGAATGGTGTGGCGCGTGGGGGCGGCTTGGCGCGCTGGCGGCGAGTGACGCGAGTGGCGCCAAGTCGACTCGAGCTGCGGCCACACCCGGGACGCCTGCCACGCCGGGCACGCAGTTCACCTCTGAGTTCCAGGAGTGGCTTCATCGGAAGACGGCCGAGCGGAAACAGTTGCTTGCTCGCGTCTCGCGCATCATCGAGGCCCGCAAAGCCAGCAGGAGCCCCGGTAGCGAGAGCGAGGACCGCGGGCGGATGCAAGGCGAGGTGAACGAGGCGGCGGTACGGGCGGCGGCCTCGATCTCACCGTCGTACCGACCGTACTACACGTCGATGGTGTCGTCGCGTGGCGGGACGCCTGGGCTGGACGCCAAGGAGAATATCAGCGTCGGGAGCGGCGTGGACGGGATGAGTCACAGAGGCTGCGAGCTCTCGCTCTCGCCGATCCGGGCGGCCGACGCCTCGCGTGGGACCGACGAGGTCTCGCTCGAGTCGTCTGAGGCCTCGTTCCGGCTCGCACGGCTGAGCAGGAGCGGCAGCGGGGCGTACCCGACCTCGGTCTCGCAGAGTTCGGTCTTTACCGAGCCTGTCGAGTCGTCAGTCCTGGTGTCGGCGAGCAAGGACATCCTGGTTGTCATCTCGCCCGAGTCGCGGGCAAAGACCCAGGCGCTGCGCGACGAGAACGAGGCGCTGCGGGCACGGGTGGCGGCGCTGGAGGCGCAGGTCGGCGCGGCGGCGTCGCCGGGCTCGGTCGATCGCTCGCGGACGGTGATCAAGAACTTGTCGGAGCAGGTGGCGGCGCTGGCGGCCGAGGCCGAGGAGCAGGCCGAGCTGGCGGCGCTGGCGCAGTCGCAGGTCGAGACGCTGACCAACGAGAAGCTCTCGCTCTTTGTCGAGGTCGCGCAGGGTCGTCAGGCAGTCCTCGTTGCCGAAGAGGAGAACGCGGCGCTGCAGGCACAGCTTGCTGCTGCGCTCCGCGACGCACAGACCGGCGACGCCACCGCTACTGCTACCGCTGCGGACGCCGCCGCCGACTCGGCCTCGGCCGCCCGCATCGCGGTACTCGAGGCCAAGTGCCGCGAGTACGAGGGCATGCTCCAGTGGCTCCGCGAGGTTGTGGCCCTCCTCCGCCAGCCGCAGTTTGACCAGTTTGTCATTGCGGACGCCCTCGAGTCGGTTGCTGACGTCTCGATGTCGCGTGACGACGACGACGACGGCGACGTGTCCGGGTATTTGTAAACTAGCATTGTGATGTGGCAAGGAACGCGTGGCTATGCGATGGCGCACCCGCCCTCACTGGCAGAGGGAGAGGGCGGCTGAGGGTGGAGCTCGGCCATTTGCGCGGCGGCACGGGTCGACGGCGGGCGGCGGGCGGCGATAAAGTCGCGCCAGACCCGCGGGAGCATGTCGAGCGGGTCCGGATGGGGCTCGTTTGCAACCCGGAACTCGAACGGGCCGTTGAGAAAGTTCTCGCGGTCGTCACGCCAAGAGAACAGCCCGGCGCCGGTCTCGGCCCGGAACGTGCCGAGCTCGACGACCTTGATGGTCCCATCGGGAAGGACCAGAAAGTCGATGACATACGAGTTGTGCGGAAGGGCTGGCGCTACAGTCGATTCAAAGAACTGTGTCACAGCGGCAGCGACATCATCCTGTGAGGCAACGAGGTGAGGAAAGTGGATGAACGAAAAGTACTGCGTCAGCGCGTTGAGCTTGTTGTTGTGGACAAAGCCACGGAGCTCGCCGCCAGGGGCCTCGAGCACCGCATCGTCCCACACCCGCAGCTGGATGGTGACGTCGAATGAGGCATCTCCAAAGGCGAGCATTCGGGTCAGATCTTCAAAGACCCGCGAGGAGAGCACCAGAAGCGCGACGACGTCAGTGCCGGTTCGGACCCGCAGAGCGCGGCCAGTAGCAATGACAAAGGCCTTGATCTCGTCGTTGACATCGGCCTCGTCGCCCTTTTCTGCATACAGTGCCTCGAGCGCCACCGCCACCTCGTCCTGCGTCGTCCCGTACTCGGGATGATAAACGACGACGTCTTTGGGCGACCGGGTGGAGAGCTTGACAAAGGCACCTGCCTCGGCAAAGGCGCCATGACCAAGGATACCATCGAGCGTGTCTGCGATCTTTGCGGCGTGCTCCTCGGCCTCTGTGCGAGACATGACCAGCGTGTCTTCCTTTGGCGGCGACCGCGAGCCGAGCCTGTACAGCACCTGCAGCGCCCGTGCCTGCTCGGCCGAGAGCGGCAGCGAGGTTGTGGGAAAGGTGACGTCCGGGAGGAGATGCATCCAGGTATCGAGGCCAAAGGCAGCTTGATACGCCACCCGTGCATACGCTGCATGCAAGTGGTCGGGAATGCCCTTGGCCGTCATGGCTTCGGGCGTCGGAATGAGCTCGCTGTGGAACGCCGTCTTGGCTGACATGTATTCACTATGTTGGCGGAGAGTGGCGTGTGCCCCCCCCCCCCCCCTCCTCCCAATTGGGGGGACAGGGGGGCATGGCATTGAAAGGAGCGTGGGGAGCAGAGGATAGCACAACGTGTGCGGCCGTGGTGATGGAAGGAGTTGTTGGCTGGGCTTGCGGGTGCGACACCTGCAACGAGAGCAAGTCCCACGGCCACACCCACACCCACACCCATAACCACACCTGACGCCAGCAAGGAGCAGGCAGGCGGTGACGAATGGCACGGACAAGAGGCCGGGGGCGGCCCACGGTGAACAAGAAGAAGAGGACACGGCTGTCAAATCCAAGGCGACGTAGGGCTGAGACCGTGTCGGCTCCGCCGCAGCCTGTCGGCCCCCTCCGGACTCGGTCTGGGCCTCGCACTCGCGGCCGACCAAGGCTCAAGCCGAAGCCTTTCTCAAAAACGTCGCCAGGCATGCCCCGCATGTCTGCGATGAGGTCATCGCGCTGCTTGGCGCATACCGCGCAGGAGTGTAGGTAGTAGATGCCGGGACATGGCGGCTCATGGCGGCGAGGCGCTGGTTGAGGGATGGGAGGGCGGGAGACTTACAGGGTAGGGTGTCTGTGGCCGGGAACGGGGTGGGGGTGGAAGATAGGGCCGACTGCAAGAGCGTGATCAACCAGATGAACGCGTTGATCGGGTTCGAGTCGCTGCTGATGGTCGAGTTTAAGGGATTTCTGGCGCCGGAGGACCGCAGAACACCTTTGCTTCTCAGGCACATGGAGCGGCTGCGGCTGCAGCTCAACTCGCAGGCCGAGGTGGATCGCAACCGCAGGCTTGCTGCGCAGTGGAAGGCTGGCCACGGTGGAGGGGTGGAGGGCAAGGGCAAGGAGGAGGCCGAGGCAGCACACAAAGGTGCAGAGTTGGCTGGCGTGACCAGCGGGTACTCGCGGGCCCAGCTGGCTCGGATCATGGATGCGCTGCGGGTGGCTACGCCGACCAAGGCACACGCCAAGACGGTTGACATTGTGCGCCAGGTTATGTCGCAGGAGATGTCGTGTGACGATGCTGTCGACGCCATCGAGGACGTGATAGGCAGTGGCGAGGCGGCTGCCGAGCTCAAGCGGTACCTGACCGGCGCGCTGCGGCCCGAGGAGGACCAAGCAGCGAGCAAGTTTACGGTGCCGAATGGCCAGCTGGTTGAAGCGATGCGGCGTGTGCTGCGGCTCGGGCCCGGTCGGGGCGATATGAGGCGGACTATGCCAATGGCAGCCGGGCTGCTGATGATGAGTGTGGTCGCCAACGCGCCTATTGCTGCCGACTTTGTGGACTCGTTTGAGGATGTGCTAAGCAAGAGCGAGCTCGCGGAACTGCACAGCCTCTGCAGACAGACTCCGTGGTGCATGCTCGAAGGTGGACTCGCTGTTGTGCGTGCGCCGATTGTGGATGTACCTAGCGCCGACTCTGAGGCGCAGATGCGGTGGCTGAGGGTGGCGGCGCAGTCGGCAACCGAGGCTAGCAACGTCATCAGAGTTGACTACATGCCATTTCGCGCCGACACGCCGCCAGACGCGTTGACCTCTCTTGCAGGTGCAGCCCTCGCGGCAGCTGGCCACATTCCGATGTATGCACTCCCTGTCGATGTCGTCGGTGACAACGAGGTGGTGGTGGTGCCCAGTTGCAGCTTCGGGAGGGTACGAGTGGTGACGGTTGTGGCGGCAACCCGGATGCTCTCAACCTGGGTCCGCGACGTGGTGCCAATGGAGGCTATCACGCCGATCGCAGTGCCGGAGGTTGCCCACGCAATTCCTGACAGCTATGTCGTCAACGTCGCGCACTTCTCTATCGTTGTTGGCAACAGTCGCCTCGAGGACTACCTGCTCGAGAGATCTGGTCCGGGTTTTATCTACCTGTACGGCACGACGGCAGTGACGGCCATTGTCGCGTCGCGGCACGGCATGCCGTGGCACGACCGCGGACTGTTTGGTGTCCTCGAGGCAGTGCTGGCGGTGCTCGGCCGCAACCCGGAGCGGGCGCCACCAAACAAGCTGATACTCGAGACTTTGTGCAGCAAGGCGAGCAAGTTTGACAAGGCCGTCTTTGCCCTCGAGTGGGGCCCAAACCAGGACAGCGTCAAGCTGGTGACTCGCTATCACCCGGCTCCGATCCAGTAGCGGCCGCTACCAGGAGCGGGACGTCCGACGATGACGACGACGCCACCGGCGAAGCCGGTGCTGACACGGTAACTGGAACATGAGCACCGTCGCCCTCGGCTGGCAGATACGAGTGGGCTTCGGAGAAGAGGTTACCAAACATAAACGGGTCGTTCTTGTCGACGGTGAGCGCGACAGCGGCAAGGCCGGCGAGGCGGAGCACGCCAACCAGATACATGTCCATGGGAATGGATGCGATGGCGAGGGCTGGGACAGCAAAGACGACGTCTGCCGCAAGGGCGAGGAGGCCGCCGGCCGCGGGCAGGCAGCGCATGCCGGCAGTCGAGGCCCATGGCGATGCGGATCCCTCGAGAATGCGCGCAACGGCGGCCCAACCGGCAGCGGCGGTGCCGAGGCCGTAGCAGACCAGCGCCGCGGCCAGCGCCACGTGCTCGGATGCCGATGACGTGTGCCCGTTCACACCGAGGCCGATGCCAAAGTAGACGGCAGCTATCGCCATCGGCGCCGCCGCCATCGGATGTGCAGTAAGAAGCTGCAGGCGCGACTCATCGCCGCGCTGCTCGGGTGCCGCCAGCGCGGCGGCAGCAGTCATGCCGGCCAGCCCGCGGCAAGCCAGGTAGACCTCGAACATCCACGGCCGGCGGATGAAGAAGATCGCAGCGACAGCCTCGGCCAAGAGCCACGCGACAAGCCCGGCGGGAAGGACAACGCCGTGTGGTGCCGCCCAGCGCTTGCGCGACCAGACGTGGAGGATGAGGGCGAGTGGGGCGAGCGGAGCAACAAAGGGGCCCGCGAGGCCATGGCCGCCGTGGGCGACAACAACGAGGAAGACAAGCGAGGAGAACGAGGCACAGACGAGAGAGACGGTCGAAGCGAGGAACCATTCCGGATGGAAGGTCGACGCGTCGCCGGCGGGTCGCATGAAGGGGGGGGGGGGGGCGAGCCGGAGAGGGAGAGCGGGTGAGGTGCCGTGGCACGTGACGAGTCGCACACGCACCTGGCATGGTCGGCTGACGAGCGCACGGGCAGAGTGCGCAGGTGGCTTGGGCGAGGAGGCGCTGGATGAGTTTAACAAGGGGCTCGGGCGCGCTGCAGCCGGGGAGAGCCCGGTTGGTGCAGCACGCCGTCAGGATGATGGCGATGCAGGGGCGAGCCGAGCATCACCACGTGGTTGACAAGCTCAAAGGGCGCAGAGTGTATGCGGGTACGCGTGCAGATACGGGCGCTGCGTGGAACATACGTAGTCTTGGAACTCAGTCTCCAGACGGCTACGGATGATGCAGTGCTCGCAGGATCGCGACAGAGAGGACGGCGCAGGCGAGATGTGTAGCGGCGGGCTGCAGTAAGGCCTAGCAAGATCGGAGCGGACCTTGTCAGCACATACTCCAGCTCGGCGAACACAGCCACTGCCGGCCTTCTCTGTCGCTTATCCTCAGCCGCCTGCAGTGACGCGGCCCGGGTCGTTGGCCTTGACGTCGGAGAGGCCACGGATGCCACGATGGCGCGGCTGGCCGCCAGGGCGACCACCACCCGAGCCACCGCCACCACCGCCACCACCGCCACCGCCACCGCCACCACCAAGCGACGAGCCTCCTCCCAGCGTGCCAATGGTCTTCCCGCGCTTGTGCGCCGGTGCATAGAGCGACTCACGTGCATCCATCTGTATCGGGGAGGGGGGGCGTGAGTGCTGACGTCCGAGCTGCGGGTCATTGGCGCAGTGTTCCGAACTGGGCAGGGACGACGGACAGGGTACGTACCGAGAAGAGGGTGGCTACGAGAAAGTAGGCAAAGTTGACAATGCCCCAGAAGAGGTCGGGGATGAGGGAGAGCCGCAGAAGCGGCTGCGAGCCCGTTTCCACCTGTCCGTTGCGGATGTAGGTCATCGTGCGCGAGAGAGGGGTTGGTTGAGCTCACGAACTCGCATCGATGGCCACAGAGGCAGGGAATGGGTCAGCAAGATCGGGACTCGAACGGAGGATGTGGTGACGGAGGTGGTACGCTAGGGAAGGTGAGGCGTAGGGTGGGGGTAGGCCTGGTAAGGGAGCGAGGATGGGCGCGGATGTGTGGTGGAATCAACAGGGGAAAACCAAGATCAGAAGATCGTGCTATAGCTGACATTACCAGAGATTGCAGCACGAGCTAGATGTGGTAAAAGGCTGGCTTGAGTGCCCGCTACGGATCTGGAGATAGAGTTGGCACTGATCAACACGGTACGTGTATTTGCTTGACTGGTGCTGGCTGTGGAGGTGCAGGGGTGGCTGAAGAAGAGCTGGCGTCCAAGCAGGTGTTTGGGCAAAAAAAGAAATATGCCCCGTCAGATTAAGAAGCGGAAGTTGGACACAATTCTCTTTGGAAGCAGCACACATCATGCTCTGCAGCAACTGTAACATGTTCCATGGCACGCCCGAGACGAACAACCTATGCTCAGGTTGCTTTCGGGCAGCCAATCCGTCGGGGGCGGTGGTGGCTGGTGCGCAAAAGGCCGAGCGGGCCACGCAGCTGTCTGCGTGGACCGCAGCTGTGAAGACGGCAATGGCGGGCGGGTCGGAAAGCGGTGTGCGTGCGGCACTGCAGAGCGAGGAGGTGGCGTGGATGGACGATGCCGAGCGGGAGCGGAGGCTCAAGCGGTTGGTGAGCGAGGCGGTGAGGAACGGCGAGGCAACGCAGCTGCGGGCGGCGCTCGAGGGCGGCATGCCGGCGACGCCGGGACTGATTGCCGCGGTCCGGCTGCGCAGCGCTCGGCCAGAGTCAATTCAGGCCGTCTTTGAGACGCTTCTGGAGCTTGTGCCTGGAGCTGGCGAGGCGCTGTCGATGGACGATGCGATTGAGGTGCTGTATCGGGGCGGCGACGTGTTTGCGGAAGAGCTCATCCTCAGCATGGTGACCGACGAGCGATTGGTCCACGTCAAACTCACGGACAAGTTCATCAAGGCGGCGCGGTACGCCAACTCGCGGACCAACGGCGGGCCGTTTGCCTCGATGACTGCATTCATCAAGAAGCTGGAGGAGATGAGGCGGGTGCAGCGGCGCGAAAAGGCGGCGGCGGCCAAGCGGGCGCGCGAGGCTGCGACCGCAGACGACGCCGAGCTCTCGCGCGCGACCAAGCGGGCCAGACACCTTGGGACCAAGGCTGGGGATGATGAAGCCGGCGCAAGCACGTCAGGCAGCACATGCACTGAGGTTGCGACGGTGCCGGGCATGGGCTCGGCGATGCCGCTGACGAACACCGGGCGCTTTGCTAGCCGCATCTACAGCTGCGGCCTCGTACTCGATCCGGCGACCGCGAGCCACGAGGGGCACGGAGATTGCAGCACCGACCCCAATCTCGAGCTGGCGACCAAGGTCACCAAGCAGCTCCAATCGTGGATGTTCCGGGCCGAGGGGGCACGGGCGTTTATTGTGCGGCCCGAGACGCTGGCTGAGGCCGGAGCCGACCTGGGCGCGGACGATCTGGGCCTCTCTGCGCTGCTTGGCGCGGATCTGGACATGTGCCAGCTTCACACGCTCAAGCTCAAAGACTCGCGGAAGACGTTCTTTCACAAGCGGCACTACTTTGACTATCGAATCGACAGCAAGCGGCTTGCCAAGACCAAGGCCGCGACGAATCTGATTAAGCGGCTGTGCGTGAAGAACTCGTGCGTCTTTGTCCAGTACGGCCACGAGGCGACGGCGACGTTTGACCCTGTGGTCTGGATTGTGGGCGTGGTCAAGGATCGCCAGGGTTCAGAGGTGAACGGCGGGCTCGCTTGCGTGGCGTGGGATGACGAGCATCAGGACCACTACCACCACGGATCGATGTAGCAGGCGGAGGCTGTGGCCAATGAACGCGACGAGACATTGCGCACTGCCGCTGCAGGCAGCACTCGACTCTATATGTCTGCGACGGGATCCGGATCTGGGTCCGGATCAGCACGTGGACGACAGCGCACTTATGCCGAGGCTGCGAGCGGCTCGCGTGCGCGATGCAAGTACTGGCCGGCGTGCACGCGCGGCGACGCATGTGCGTTTGTGCATCCGTCCGAGCCGTGCGAGCACAAGACACGCGACAGCTGCCCCGACGGGCAGTACTGCAGCAAGGTCCATACCGGAGAGGCCGGATACGGCACAGTGAGCAAGCCACGATGTCGATACTGGCCTCAGTGTAACCGTGGTGCGGCATGTCCGTTCCCGCACCCGAGGTCCAGGTGCCGCAACGGGACGGAGGACGCCTGTCCGTTTGGCTCCCAATGCCGGTTTCTCCACGATGGCGAGCCCGGGTACGACGATGACGGCAGCGGGCAGAGCGCCTCGGGGGCGGTCAATCTTGACCTTGTTCACGAGCTGCTGGCTGCGTTTGAGGCGAGAGCGGCCGGGGACGTGGCCGAGAGGCCGACGGCAGAGGTGGTGGCGGTCGTTCCGACGCTGCGTGTGGCCGGCGACGATGGGTCAGTCTCGGACAGCGACGGCGGCGGATCGGGCTGGGATGAGGGCGAGGAGGCACGGGTGATGCGAGTGGCCTCGTTTAACGTCCTGTGGATGAACGATCTGTTTAGCAGGGTACCCGAGTCGTCAAGCGGCGAGTACACGTTCCTGGCGCATAACGTGAAGCGCGGCATTGTGGACGTGCACCAGTTCTGCTGCACGCTGGCGGCGATGATCATCAAGATGGGTGCTGACGTGCTGTGTCTGCTCGAAGGGCCGGATCATGTATCCAAGATGGAGCTGTTTGTAGCGACGTACCTGTGCGGCAGGTACCGGGTGTTTGGCGGGCGCGACGGGTATGAGCAGCGGATCTTCTGGCTGGTGGCTGTGGGTGAGGGTGCCGTTGTGGCCGATGTGCGGCTGGCGAGCGACGAGGCGACCGAAAAGCTGAGCGACAAGTTCTACGTGGACATCTCGGGCGACATCCGACTCCAGGAGTTCCGGTTTGTTCGCATCCCGCTAGTTGTGGACGTCCAGCTTGCTGAGGCTGATGCTGGGCGCAGCGCCTGGATCCGGCTCGTCGGTGTGCATCTTAAGTCGAAGGCTGTGGCCAACGAGCTAGACCTGTGGAACGGAAGCGCGGAGGAGCGCCAAACGATGGTACGCAAGGCGGTTATCAATCGGCGCAAGATGATGGCCGAGGCTGTGCGGCTGCGGTCGTATCTGGACAGTGTGATCGACGGGGCAGGCGTCGACGGCGTCGTGGTGGCCGGCGACTTTAACGACGGCCCGGGTATGGACTACTTTCAGTCGCAGTACCTGACAGCGCCGGTCGCCGATATGATCATGGGCTCGTCTTTCTATCCCTCGCGGCAGTTTTTGCATGGCTTTCTCCACCTCGTCCCACCAGGCGACGCTTACACCATCACGCACAACGACGTCATTGACGACGTGGCGGGCCGCAAGCTCCTCCTTGATCACATTCTGCTCTCGCCGTCGGTGGCACCGAACGCAATCTCGGGCGGCATCTTTCACGAGCTGTTCTCGTTCTTTGGTCCGCGGCAGGAAGTGCGATCGCGGCCGTCGTTCGAGGTTGCCGCCGAGCCGCGGACACTCCTCAACCGGGTGCTCTCGGACCATCGTCCCGTATGGTGCGACCTCGACGTGGCCGGCCTGCTCACAACCAGTGAGCGGCGGCGCGGTGGGCAGTACGTGCCGCTTCCTGCGAGGTCGATCTACATCGACACCGGCAACGGGCTCTCGACCCGGCTGTGGGTGGCGCCACGGAGCAGCTCGCCCAGCGAGGCAAGTAGCGAGCGCAGCGCGCGCTGGGTTTGGCGAATCACTCATCGCGGACGCGGCAGCAATCGAGCCCGGCGGCGGGACCGTCGTGCAAATGGACGGCACGCACGCACAAGCAGCTCGGCCAGCAGCAGCGAGGGTAGTAGCGGCAGTGGTGGACACAGGCGGCGATCACGGAAGCGCGGGCGGCGATCGAGACGGCAAAGGTCTCGCCAGTAAATGAGATCGGGGGAAAGCTTGAGCTCGCGCATATGGTTGTGTCATGGTGCAGCTGCTGGAGATGCCATGGGTAGGTGGCCCTTAAACAGTTGGCACGACAACGGTGATTGTGTGGTGCGGCAGCTGTGCAGATGCGCTTTGCGCTGCTCGTTAGGTTTCTGGACCGATCCGGGCTGCTATGTTGTTTTTACTGAGACCGGGTGTGGCCTGTTTCCGGCGGTGCCGAGCATGACCTTGGCTGTGCTGAGCCTGACCAGGACCGATCGCGATGGCGACTGTGGCGGATCGTGAACCTTGGACACGCTCATGTACAATATGCACTAGCAGGCGCTGGCCTTTGGCGGCAGCAGTGCCATGGACGACGGTCGCCACATCTTCGCTGGAAACGTCTCGGGTGCGATGGTGGGAGATTCGAACGCCGCCGTCTGTGGGCTCACCCAGCGGTGCCTGAAGGTCGATCTGCTGGTGAGGCCCATGGCGCAGGGGGCATACAGCGTGGCCACAGTGCAGCGAGAAAAAGCGCCATGGAGCCAACAAGGCCATCAAGCGGCCAGCATCAAAGCAGCCATCGGTGACCAGCCGCTCTCAACATGGGTGAGATGTGGAACGTCTATCGTCCCCTCACAACGGCAAGCAGCGGCGTGGCCATGGTCAGCGCCGCCGCCATGACACATTTATCACAAACCTGGTCATCGCCGCCTCGGGCTTGGGCTCCCTCTTCTCCCGCAGCAGCAGCAGCAGCAGGCCCCCATGCCGGCGAGTGGCTGAGCAACGAGCGGCTGGCCGTGACTCGATCACTCGCTGCTCGCCTCGGGCTTGGCCACAGCAGCAGCGCTAGCTGTGGCAGCCACCACACTCATCCCACTCCAGCCATCTACACCCCCTCACCTCCATTCCCTGTGACCACACTAGCCACTCCCCCCTGTATAGCCAGCCGCAGGTTGTGCTGGGCTTGATATGGCTTGATCTGGCTTCGCTGAGGGTGGTCGAGCGGGCGAGCGAGCGAGCGGCGAGTTGCTGACCGTGAGCAGTCGACAGGAGACGACGACACGGGCATCAGGACACAAGATCGGGCGGCAGACCAGTGTAGTCTTATCTATCACCTCATCCCCTATCCCTTCTCTCCCACCCACCCTCCCTTTCCTTCGCTCTGACCAGCCCACTGGACTCGTGTGACCCGTCAGTTCTCTCGCCACCAGCTGGGTTGGTTGACAGGTGGGCTGGGGCAGGACGGGCAGGGCAGGGAGAAGGAGGGGGAGAAGGAGGTAGGGCAAGGGACTGATAGCCATTGCCACACGTGTCACTACCCACAGGTAGATCATACTATACTCGTGCTCTGTCTAGCCTGATCGGGGTTGTGCCGGCGGTGGACGGGTCGGCTCGGGCGGCGATCGGTGGTGAGCAGCAGGCAGCCAGAAGCGATGCTGATGACGGGATGGTGTCGGCTGATGTGGGTATTCGAGGCAAGGGGATTGGGTAGGTGAGATTGTGGGAATAATGGGTATGTGTGGTGTAGGTAGGGTGGTTGTGGGTGAAGATGGTGGGGAATGGGGGTCGGAGATAGGACTGGGTCGGGGGGCTGAGCACCTTCGAAGGGACACCAGGCCAACAGCTTGGGCCTCAGGTGGCAGAACTCGGATTCCGGAATACTGCAGCTGTGGATTGGAAACTGTGCAAGGGGGAAGTGTGGGCGTGTAGTGGAGTTGCAGTGAAATCAGATTGGCCATAGCTGGTAATGAGTATGATGGGGGGCATGTGCGGGGTCGAGCGGTTGAGGGCGTGCTCAACCACCTAGGCCAAACAAGTCGACGCGAAAGTGAGCCGAGGTCAATGGGTATCGATGACAGCGATATAAGTCCTGGTGATAGTGTTGGGTGTGTGATGACCAGTAGTGTGGTCGTGGGTGAAGTAGCTGGTGGTGGGAAGGAGCTAGGTGGTGATGAAGGTGGGGCTGATCGGGCGAGCGGGCGACGGCTGGGCGGCTGGTGGTCGGCGAGGCAGGGCAGCAGAGGAAGCTGGGTTGGGGATGGTTGACTTGGGAATGCTGTTGGTTAGTGGATGGGCAGTGTGGCTGGTGATAGTTGAGCGGATGGCGGTGTCGAGGTCAGGGATGAGGATGGGAGTGAGTTAAAGCGAGGAGGGGAGGAGGAGGAAGAAGAGGAGGAAGCAGAGTGCGCGATGGGATGGTGGTGGGCATGGCCAAGGCATGGGGGTGGTGGTTGTGGCTGGGACGAGAGTGGTGGTGGTGGAGTAGGGGGTGAGGGTGGTCGTTGGTGGTGACCGGGCGTAATGAGTATGGTAGGGGGGGATGAGGGCGGTCGAGACGTGGGTGGCGGGACTGGCGAAGAGGTGGTGGGTATGGAGATTGCAGTGGAGGATTGATGTGGATGGGTAAGATGAGGCTGATGGGTGTGTGTGGGGTGTGGTTGATGAGGGTGGGGGGGCTTGGGCGGCAGGGGCGAGGAGGACGGACGGGATTGGATTGAGATGGACGTCGATGGAGACGAGGGCTTGGGAATGCGGGGAGGCAGACCACTACACTCTAGCCCACCCACTGCATTGCCTATCGCTTGCCCTTGCCCTCTGTTGTCCTTCCTTGTCTTGGCCAGCCCATGGGCATCGTCGTCTGGCTCGGTGATCGGCAGCAGGGGCGGCTGGCGATGAGCAGGCCGGCGGGGGCTGTGATGGGCAAGGCCGGTGGATGGAGGGGAGGATTGGGTTGGAGAGCAGACTGGTAGTCATTGTCATTGGTGTTACTATCTCTATGCATTGCCTCCAAAGCCCTGTCGATGACTAGCCTGCTTTCGGTGGTGCCGGCGGTGGTCGGTCGGCGGCGGGCGGCGGTCGGCGGCGAGCAGCCGGCGGTCGGCAGCGATGCTGTTGACGGGATGGCGTCGGCTAATATGCGTATCGGCAGGCAGCAAGTGGATGGTTATGTTTGCAGGGGTGGTGCGTATGTGTGGTGTGGGTGTCGTGGTTGTGGGTGGAGATGATAGGGAGTGGGGGTCGGAGATGCGCCCAGGGAGGGGGGGTCAGCAGCATCGAAGGGACACAGGGCCAACAACTTGGGCCTCGGGTGGCAGAACTCGGATTCCGGAATACTGCAGCTGTGGATTGGAGACTGTGCAAGGAGGTAGTGCGTGTATGTAGTAAAGTAGTAGTGAAATCAGATCGGGCATATCTTGCATTGCGGTTGGTGGGGGGCGTGTGCGGGGTCGGGCGGTCGAGGTCGTGCTCAACCGCCTAGGCAAAACAAGCCGACGCGGAAATGAGCCGAGGAAGATGGGTGTCGATGACAGCGATATTTGTACTGGTGATAGTGTGAGGTGAGTGATGACCAGTAGTGTGGTCGCGGGATGTGTAGCTGGCAGTGGGTGGGAGCTACGTGGTGATGAAGGTGGGCTGGTCGGGCGAGCGGGCGACGGCTTGCGGCTGGTGGTCGGCAAGGCAGGAGCAGCAGAGGGAGCTGGGTCATGGCTGGGTGGCTCGAGATTGCTGTTGGCTGGAGATTGGGCAGCATGGCTTGTGATGGTTGAGGAGTGTGGGTGTCAGGGTCGGGGAAGAGGATGGGGGTGAGCTGGAGCGGGAAGAGGAGGAGGAGGAGGAGGAAGAGGAAGCGGAGTGCGCGATGGGATGGTGGTCAGGATGGCCAAGGCAAAGTGGTGGTGGTTGTGGCTAGGATGATAGTGATGGTGGTGGGGTAGGGGGTGGGGGTGGTGGTTGCGGATGATGGATCGTAATGAGTATGGTAGGGGGGATAGGGGGGTCGTGACGTGGATGGCGTGGCGGGCGGAGGGGGAGGTGGGTATGGAGATTGGGGTGAAGGTTTGATGTGGGCGAGTTGGATGAGGATGATGGGTGTGTGTGAGGTGTGGGCGATAGGGGCGGCGGGTACTTGGCCGGCAGATGGAAGACGGCGGACGTTAATTGAGTTGAACGTTGAATTAATTAAAGAAAAGCCGGAACAAGCATCAAACGAGGCAATGACGTCCACAACAACAACCAAAGATCATACATGGCTTGCACAGCATAGGTATGAGTAAGCCAACAGGGACTGGACAAAGCTAGCAGGCAATGGGATGGACTCGGGTGACGTTCAGGTCGATGAGGTAGGGCGCGGTTGATCAATCAGATCTGCAGATCAACCATGACCACGACACAACAGGGTCAACACAAAATACAGTGCATGCACAACTATTGACCACGACAAACGACAACAAAGTTGAGAATCGATAGTGTAGTGAGCAAGGGCCGAAGATGGACGTGGGAGTCAAGGTCGAAGAAAACAGGAGAATCAAGAACAATTGAAGCATGACGAATAATGATACAAAGCAACAAGAAGAACAAAAGCAATGATCGATGACGATGCCTGTCAATTGTGGTCAACCATCAAAGGCAAAAGCAACCAAAGCAGAACATGAAGGCCGACAATATCAACCGCAAAGAATGTGAAACATGAACGGCAAAGAACAAGGAAAATGGATAGCCACCAACAAGAGAAGCAGAAAGAATCGAATGATCAATTAACAATAATCAATGACATTCAATTCAATGTCAAACAATCAAACGAGTGACGAGTGGCAAATCATGAAAATGTTGAATGACATCCATGCCACCCACCAACCCGCACATGCCACTCGGTCGAACGAGTGACACGGGTAAGTGTCAATGGGGGGATGGGGATTGTGGATCACCATCAAAGACTCAATCGACGCCCATGCCCAGCCATGCGCATGGTGGGGTAAGGGATGAGTATGGTGGCGTGGGTGGGAATGTGGATATGGGTCATGCATGGAATGGGTAGGGTTAGGGTTAGGGTTAGGGTTAGGGTTAGGGTTAGGGTTAGGGTTAGGGTTAGGGTTAGGGTTAGGGTTAGGGTTAGGGTTAGGGTTAGGGTTAGGGTTAGGGTTAGGGTTAGGGTTAGGGTTAGGGTTAGGGTTAGGGTTAGGGTTAGGGTTAGGGTTAGGGTGAGGGTTAGGGTTCGCCAAAGGGTTAGGGTTAGGGTTAGGCCAAGGGT